TGTATATATTCCCCAATCTCCGTATCTTGAATTAGTTCTAATTCCGTATTAAACAACTATATATATATATATATATTGGCATCTCTACACTCATTTGCTCCCCCATGCATCTTTATCTTTAGCTTTTGGGGTTAATATATATATTTTGAAACATATATAAAGTTTTTCGCGGTGTCCGAATATTAACTAAGTTCTCATCAGATATTAATATAAAATTTGTTCATTTTATCGATCGGACATAACTTCTGTGATGACAAGACGACCATTAATACGTTAAGTCGATTTCTGACTTATTCACAATAGAAATCGATTTCTATAAATATATCGGTTAACCTAAAAGTAGAGGGGGTGAAATCTTGGTAAAATAATCACACAGTTATAAAAACAAATGAGGAAAGTAAACTAAAAACTAAAATGATAATTTCTTTTATAAAAGATAAAAAACAGAAATGTTAACTGAACGTCAGCGAGCATTAATTTGACTACAAAAGTATTTTCTAAAACCCGTTCTATATATTTTGATTTCCAGGACGGGTTAGACGAATCTATACGGCTCTGCATCAGTATGTAAAATGACAATACGTATGAAAGTCTTGTTCGAACTTTTGGTCGGATTGCTGTAGTAATTCCATTCTTGTCGAAATAAAATACTAGTTCCTTGTAATTAGTAAAAAACACTCGTTCCTTGAACGAGACGTTAACAAGAGTACATATTCCGTTTTACTACTAATATGTAATAAGAATACGAATTTTCTTTAATTTATGAAAACGATGTCTTAAAATAAATTTAAAATGCATGATTCGGCCAGTGACGTACGAAGCTTTCGTGCATGCACTAACGAAATCGGAAATCGCCAAATCGGCTGACTAGAATAATATAGTTTTGGTGAATAAATACTGCGTCGACTAGCCTCGGATAACTATAATATCATCATGAAATCAAAAAGTAATTATTCAATGGATGGAGATTGGAGAATAGTCTCACAGACAAATAAATACGTGATTCGCAGACTCACATTTATGCTATTCGGAAATTAATTAGCCCCACCATTAGGGCTCCGATCCTTTCCATGGGTTTTGTACGCTGATTTGTTGCTTTTTCCCGAAAGCTGGCTAAGTGAAAATAGAACTGTAAAAGAAATTACCAGTAGAGATATCATGTATATTGCGATATCGGATCCACCTCAATCAGTTATATGTAATTAAGTGAGAATCAGAATAATTAAGTAGCAACTCACCAGTCACTGACGCATCTGCGGTATTCATTCTCATAAAACAAAAAAAAGGTGCATGAGTTAAGGCAAAGACTATGAAAATAAATAAAAGAAAATCTCTATCGATCGAATATCAACAATATTTAAAGATGTATTAAGATGGAGAAGAATTGAGGTGATGGTATAAGTGTGTCCCACAATATCTAGATTCTCAAACGATAGAGACGGACTTTACCCTACCCTCTCATTTTTTTTAGTATATAAAATTAAGAGCATCTGCAACGCGAGTATTTACTCAGGTCTCTAACAATTTTTTTAATTAAAAAATACAAATAGAAGAGAAAATTTGCTGGAGACGTTTCTTTAATGGGTACCGATGAAGACGTTTCTTCCCTACTTTTAATATTAAAAAAATTGGGAAGAGACCAAAGACTGTATTTGCATTGTGGATGCTCTAAATGTTTCGGCTTTCTAGGTTCTCCCCAATCCTCCATTAATCGTTTCTTTTTAAATTAAGATCACTATCGAGAATATAAACCAAATAAACAAGTGATACTTTAGAAATGATTTCCCTAATGTTTTTAACAAGGATGTGTCTCGTTAAAGTATAGTGATTGTGCGTTTCGATTAATCATCTTATTCTTTATTCTTTATGATCTTCCAATTATTTGATCTTCTCTTAAAAGAGCTAGCATCTTTTAGGTTTATAAAAAATAGTCTTAGTTATGTATATCAGTATATGTGACTTATCATATGGCTATAAATACAGAGCCCTTGCACACAACCTCTCTCATAACTAAACACCAACTCAATATCTCGAGAACCCTTACTATATATTCTCTCTCTATAGATAAAAAAGATATATAAACTCATTTTGGGAGGTCATGTCAGGCGTTTGGGTGTTCAACAACGGAGTGATACGTCTAGTAGAGAACCCAAACCAGTCCGGTAGAGCCCCCACTCAGACGCACGGCCGGAGAAATGTCTTGGTTTACTTGCCGACCGGTGAAGTGGTTTCTTCTTACTCGTCGCTCGAACAAATCCTAAGGAGCCTCGGGTGGGAAAGATACTTCAATGGAGACTCCGATCTCATCCAATACCACAAACGCTCCTCGATCGACCTCATCTCCTTACCAAGAGACTTCTCCAAGTTCAATTCCGTTTACATGTACGACATCGTCGTCAAGAACCCTAATACCTTCCACGTCCGCGATTTCAATTGAAATCCACGGTTAAATACGACGGAAACTTATTACAGAATATATATGCAGTGGTTATGTGAATTGCGTACTTTTGAAAGAGAAGATGTGTGCAGCTTTTTGAATTCGACAAACAAAGGGGATGGCTATTGGAATATCATCACTTAGTTAGCTTGTGTTAATTTTTGTTAATTGATATGTACGCTTAATTGTTGGGATTGGTTTTAAATGTGTCTCCAAGTTTGTTGCATGTAGTGCATGCTTCAATCTTCTTAATCTTTGTGAGGCTTGTGTGGATGTTTAAGAGTAGTGTTGCCAAAAGGTGGCACATTACTTAAGCCGTCGTTGATTTGTTTATTTTTGTAGCTTTGTAATTGTGGTGATCTATATGTATGTAAGTTACGTTTTGTTACTCTTGAGTTTAAGCTATATTCGATTCGCATCGTTGGTGAAGCAATATTCCTTTTCGTTATGTAATTGAAGTGACATATGTCCGAGCAAAACTAGGGTTAATTTTTAATTTTTTAATTTTTTACCCTAATTAGTCTTACGGAAATAATTAGTTTACTTAAAAACACAAAAAACGCACGACACACGTAAGACATAGGTCTGACTGACTGTACGAGGAGAGAAAACAGACATGAGTTTGACTGAGTCATACATAGCACGTCATCAAATTATGTGCCATCGTTGATTGTTCAGATCCTGAAAATAATAAAGGTTTTTGATCCAGCACAGATAGGCAGGCCTGTTAAAAGCCCAACTTATATTTTAGTTGTCGATTACGAATTTGTACTTTCCCGAATTGGTACTCTATCCAAACGAATCCCGAACCCGGACCCAAACCCTGATCCGGATCCTTTCTCGTCGGCTTCAACAAGCGACGAACCGATTGAGAGCAATTTACAGGAAGAGAACTTGGAAGGAAGGAACGTTCTTCTTAAAAACAATTTTGCCATACTACTAGTCTTTGTAAGTTGGTGGATCAGTATTTTGCCAGAATACTAGTTGTTTTGTAAGTTCAAGTTAGTGAATTTGGATTTTGGTAATTCTCAAAATCATCGTCGTAGGCTGCTCTTTTTTTTCTATTGAATTCTAATTATCCGTCTCTCTTTTCGATTCCCAGAAGAAAAGAAAAAAAAACAGTTTTGGAGATAAATTTTGAAGCTTCCAGAAACCAGTAGCTATTCTCTCTTTGTTTCTCATTGCTTTTGATGCTTGTTGGTTTTCTGATTTCTGCTTCCTGGGTTTAATTCAGAAGCAATGTAGGAGCTTCTTGCGTCTGAGTCTTGTCTGAATTATCTTACTTTTTTTTATATTCATTAATGGTGACTCTTTCAGATTTTTAGGTGATGTGTTTGCACAGAATAGAGACTTTAGTTATTTACAATTTCTACCTTTGTGCGCAGAAACAAACGATGCCTCGTAAAGGATTCTCCAATTTCGATGATTATGATGATGGTTTTGATGATGAAGATGATTATGATTATGACTATGATATAGATATAGATGAACAAGGTAAACATCTTCCCATCCCTTTCTTGTGAGGTGGTTTGATTGTCTCTATTAGCTTTTTTTTTTGGTAGTTTATATTCCTCTTTTACTCAACTGCAGAAGCTGCTGAACCAAAGGAAGAAGTTGCTCAGCAAGGGCTTTGGCGATGTGCAATCTGTACTTATGACAATGATGAGAGTATGTTTGTGTGTGATATTTGCGGCGTTCTTCGTCATCCTTCGGCTGGAAATCAAACTATCAATAACAATACAGGTACTAATTAGGCATTCTCTCTTCCAGTCTGTATTCGTGAGACCCTGTAATATAATATTAAATAGAGAAGCTAGTTGTTACAGTTGCTCTTTGCCTCTGCATAGGATACATGAGTTATTGCGTAATGTCTAATCTTTATCATTTGTTTCGTTCTTTGAGGTCCCTTGATTATGCTATTGGTATATGTTTGGCAAACTTAGTGACTGTGGTTTATGTACTTTGATTTTGCTATTCTAGGTGTTTAATTATAGAATAGATGTGTTTTGTGCAGTTGAAGGCATATGCAAAGAATCAATGGTATCCAAATTGGCAAAGTCTCTTTTCGAATCAGTCCCATCTAATACAATGAAAAGGGGTGTTCTTTATCTGCCTGAGCACAAGAATCTTGTGATGGAGCAGGGACCTCTGTCTGGAATTTCCCGTGGGAATATTCATGATCTCCACAAGGCTTTTAGTTCTAAAAATGCCTGCGTTAGTATAGGTTGTGAACTTGGCTATAGTTTGGTAGTGTTATCTGCGTTTCAGTTTTCCTGATATGCTGTTCGTGTTGAGAGTCTATAGCTGGTTTTAGGCATTTATGGCGTTATTCTGACTTTTTTTTTTTTTTTAACTTATGTATAGCACCTTTCAAGTTTGATTCTCCATCCCCAGATGATGTAGTTTCCAATGGACTAACTTCCTCGAGAACTGGTCCACAAGGTATCCACACTTGGTTTTCACTTTGAGCTTGATGCTTTATGTTAAATAGGGATGAAGTCATGAAGATCGTTTGTTTTCCTTCTAAAGGGCTTTGGTGTTTATCGGCTTAGATTCTCTTCAGGAAATTTATTATCTTTAAGTAAATATTTGGTGTTTGAAGTGCGTTCTTTACTCTAACAGTTAGCACGAGGCAGAAAGAGAAGCAAGATAGCGCAGAACAGAATTCTGTAAAGAAAAGAGGAGATAGTTCAGAAACAAGCTCTCGAGGTAGACATGATAACGCTGAAAATAGTTTTTCAAAGGGCAGTGCTGGTGGCATAAAATCTGGCAAAAGTTTGCCAAAAGCAAAAGCAGATATGTCTACTGAGACAAGTTCTTCGTCCAAAAATGTGGAGGTGTCGGAGAGTCTTACTGGTACTATGAACAAGATGTCTTTGACTGAGGAAACAAAAAAGTCCAACGATATTAAAACTAGAATACCAATATCAAAATCTAAGCATAAGCCAGAGGAGTGGATGCTTCTTGATGAAGAATCAGATACACTAAGTCAACTTAATCTTGCCATCGTGAGTTTCTTATATTTATGGCGATTTTACTGAGTTTTTATCAAGGCAGAATTACTGATGGTTGCAATATAATTGTAGGTGGGACATGTTGATTCCGGTAAGTCAACACTTTCGGGTAGATTACTGCATCTATTGGGAAGAATATCTCAAAAGCAAATGCACAAGTTTGAGAAAGAAGCAAAGTTGCAGGTAACCTTTTTTTTTTCAGAGGCTCAAAAATGCAAAATTTTGGTCTGTTTGCTGACATTGTGTTTCTGATTCGATCAGGGCAAAGGGTCCTTTGCATATGCCTGGGCATTGGATGAGAGTGCTGAAGAGAGGGAACGAGGAATAACAATGACTGTTGCTGTTGCTTATTTCAATTCCAAAAGACATCATGTTGTTTTGCTCGACTCTCCTGGGCACAAAGATTTTGTTCCAAACATGATCGCAGGAGCAACACAAGCAGATGCTGCAATTCTGGTCATAGATGCATCTATTGGTGCTTTTGAAGCTGGTTTTGATAATTTGAAAGGCCAGACAAGGGAGCATGCTCGGGTTCTTAGAGGTTTTGGCGTGGAGCAAGTCATAGTTGCAGTCAACAAAATGGATATTGTTGGGTATTCGAAGGACAGATTTGATTTGATTAAGCAGCATGTTGGATCTTTTTTGCATTCCTGTCGTTTTAAAGATTCGTCTCTGACATGGATTCCATTAAGTGCCATGGAAAACCAAAACTTGGTGGCAGCTCCCTCTGAAAGCCGCCTATCCTCATGGTAAGTTCATGTGTCCATTTCCTGATATCTAACCTTGCATTTTTCTGGTACAGCTAGCTGGTGAATTGCTTAGCCTATCTGAAATGGTTAAATTTTTGCTGAAATACAGGTATCAGGGTCCATGTTTATTGGATGCCGTTGATTCTGTCAAGTCTCCTGATAGAGACGTCTCAAAGCCTCTACTCATGCCTATATGTGACGTTGTAAGATCGACTTCACAAGGGCAGGTATCTGCATGTGGCAAACTTGAAGCTGGAGCTGTTCGGCCAGGATCAAAGGTACACAAGTTTCATGATGGGATATTTATCTCCTTGTTTGGTTGCATGATTGTACTTTCTTGTGGATGTGCCTTTAGTATCTTGTTTTAGGAAGCGAAAGAAACTGCTTGAACTGATACTCACATTCCTGGAATTTTCTGCTAGATAATGGTTATGCCATCGGGAGATCAAGGAACCGTACGGTCTCTGGAGCGTGACTCTGAGGCTTGCTCCATTGCAAGAGCTGGAGATAACGTAGCAATAGTTTTGCAAGGGATCGATGCAAATCAAGTAATGGCAGGAGGTGTTTTGTGCCATCCCGATTACCCGGTTTCAGTAGCGACTCATTTGGAATTGATGGTGCTCGTCTTGGAAGGCGCAACACCGATCTTGCTTGGTTCTCAGGTAAACAAAAAAAGCCCCCTCTCTCGCATGCTCAATCTCCTATTATCTCGTCTCAAGTTTTCTTATCCTTTCCAATTGAAACATCTATCATTTATATAGCTGGAGTTTCATGTGCACCATGCAAAGGAAGCAGCAACGGTTGTGAAACTTGTGGCAATGCTTGATCCCAAAACAGGGGAGGCAACAAAGAAGTCTCCTCGCTGTCTAACTGCTAAACAGAGTGCAATGCTTGAGGTTTGAAAAATCTCTTTTGACTCGTGGCGTGAAACATTACAAAAACTGATTCGATCTGACAATTTTTGTTGTAATAATTGCAGGTGAGTCTTCAATATCCAGTTTGTGTGGAGATATTTTCTGAAAGTAGAGCTCTTGGAAGAGTGTTCCTTAGATCATCAGGAAGAACAGTCGCGATGGGCAAAGTTACACGGATTATCCACGACTGATAAAAAACCCTCTATTGTTGTAAGATCTTTGCTTGTTCATCAGAAATTGAGTCGTCCCAAGTTTTGTCTACAATACTTACTATATATATAATATATCCTAAAATTCGTTGCAAAAATTATTCAATTAAAATTTCAATGTGTAGTTCTATTTTTTCTTGTCTTTAAGGTTTTAAACACAATAACATTTTTTAAGAGAAAAAAGTATGTCATTTACGTTTTCCGGAAAGCGAACATATTGTAATTTTAATAATTCTATAGAGATTGACATTACTTTATTTCCTAAGGTACTCACTGCCGAAAGAGACGAGAGTAATTGGTAATTAGTATAAACCAAAAATTAGTCTCCAGAAATAAAGTTCGTAAAATATGTCCAGTGTTTTGTCATTTGTGATATTCGTTTTGAGAATTTTTTTTTTTTTATCTTTTGTCTAACAATACAGATTACGGTGTTTCGTTTTTCCGCTGGCGGTACACAACACCATTAAACTGCTATAGATTTGATGTTTTTTTTGGCAATTTTCCTGCAACAATTTTATTGGGAAGTAACAAATTCGTATTTCCGTACGATTTAGTATGAACTATAAAGAATGTAGAAAAATAGAAAGAGTAAAGTTGGTATGAACTAAAAAATGTTTCAGGTTCGAATCAACAGTTGAGCTTTCATCTTATATGTCCCATTTGTAATTGTACCCAATTGGGTCAAAGGAAAAAAAAAGGTGATATGTACAAAAGAAGAGAGAGAGAAAGAGCAAGATGATGTAGAGACATTCACTTGGTGTCTAGTGAAGAATCAATGTATCTGCATCATCTTGGAATCATCCCACAAAGCTAAAGTTGGGTGTGGCATTATCAACTACAACGATTTTTCCTCTTCCGCAGAGGTTTTGCAGATAGGGCACCAATTCTTCATCCGCAGCCATTGTTGTACACAGCTCACATGGTACATATGCTCACATGGCATAGTCCCTACTTCATCTCCAGCAATATACTCTTCCTGCAAGACATTATATGTATATAACATTAACCTCTTCTTCGTTTCACTAAAACCCGTATACCTTATTGTCCAAATTCAGCTCAGACACTAGATAAAACAGTGGATTAGTTTATATAGTTTGGGAGAGACCTGGCAAATACTGCACTTGATATCATCATCCTTATTCAGAGAACTGGCACAAGTTTCATCCGTCTCCAGATAAATACTCTTCTTGAGGCTTCTCGAGAGTGCTTCTTCGCTTAGAGCTGTGCTCACTGTACCCATTTTATCCCCCAAAGCTAGTAGTTCCTGCAAGATTGTGTTCATATGATTTAGCTTTAATTTTAATAGACAGTTTGATTGGTAAGCTAAAAATGGTGAATAAGAGCCCAAGGGATCAAGATGTAAAATCCAAGACTGACCTCATATGACATATTATCAATGTCAAGCCTCATATCCCTATGCTGATCGTAGAAGCTGATCATACCATTTGAGAATAGATTTGTCTCTAAAGAAGCCAATTGCTGTGGGAAAAGAAGCAGAACAGACATTAGAAACGTCAGAAACACTCTATACTCGGAGAAACATGTTCATATCAGAAGACCAAGCTGCTGATTACCTCGTAGGTAAGCTCTTGATCACGTTCAATTCTTTCCAGGGCCAACAATACCTGAAACATTTTCAAAATAGTGTTATCATGACCAAAGATCATGTCAAAGCTTCTAATGAAATCAGACAACAAGGTGACGGAAGCTACCTCTGCAATTCCATTAATGCTGTAGCGACTTAAACCATCCCGGTTCTCCAAAGAGCGTGAAGGGTCAGCTTCTGAGGGGCTACCAGGCATCATGCTACGTAACCTGCCAGTACTACTGTTCGGCCTGGTGTAACTATTTGATGGACTAAATGAAAGAGAAGGAGTGGGATCGGTTGGTGTTGCAGGACGAGGTGTTTGTCGAGAAGTGGCAGGGGATGCAACAGATCCAAGTCGCCCTGATCTACCAAAATAACCAGTTCTACTACCACTACTTGAAACAACACTGTTGTCCCTGATAGTTGGTACTATTCGATTCCTTCTGTTATCAGAAAGTGTTATGCCATTACCATGAGAAGAACTTTGACTCCTACCCTTCACCACCGGCACGCTAGTCTTATTGCCTTTGCTAAAGGAGCTGCTCTCTCCATCAGAGTTTTTCTTATTAGTCAAAGTGATTTTTGTTCCCGGGGTTGAATGAGTTCGAAGAACATCAGACACAGAGTTGCACCTCATGTTCCTGCTCAGACCACCTCTAACAGTGTGCTCGCTACCAGAAGATGAAGAAACAGAGTGACCCATTAGAGCATCTCGAGTGCGTAAGTCAGATTTCTGATGACTACTTCTGATGGTTCCTCTACTTGAGTTTCCAGCCTTTGCCATTACGACCTCTCCAGAAACAGTGTTTTGAGACTGAACATTGATTATGTCTCTTTTAGTCTGTTTGCGTGGAAGGATGGGCTCCACTGCAGCTGGATCATCACTAATACTGCTCGTCTCTGAAGAATTTGTGTCCAAATTAGAAGAGGGCTGTCTCTTGGCAGTACCTTTGGCTAGTTTTCTTAAGTATCCAAATCCACCCGGAGTTCGAGATGAACTCGCAACAATTTCCTTTCCATTTGAGGAAGAACAAATCGGAGGCCGACCAACTTTTGTATTGTTTCCTGTAGAGCCAATCCGAGTTCCTTTGGTGGAAGTTACCTTCGCACTACAGCCAATTCGGCTGCAGAAAGGCACATTCTTATCATCTTTCTTGTTCATATTCTCACGCAGAACAAGACCACTCGCTTTTCGCGGAACAGCCAGTCGGTCAACTAATCGTTTGCCTGCACGTGTATCCATGAATCAAAGAAACCCTTTCTCTGCAAACAAAAAAGTACACTTTCAGATATTTGAAATTCATCATTTTAAAAAGTGCATCCAGCGTGAGCTGTATCAAATAGAATATTCACTAATACCAAACAAAATCTACAGATAACATCAAAAAAAAAAAAGCTTCAACAAGAGAATAAAGCCATCAAAGCTTTAAGGAAGGTCTTCCACCAAATGAAAGGAAAATTTAAAGTATCACGGAGAGGAGAAGAGATAACCACAGAAAAAGCTTACGAGGGAGACCATGAGAGTAGATGTATAGATCATCTAGAGCAAAACACCTGGTGTTTATAACTTGATGAATCATAAAAATCAGGCCACAAAGATGATTATGTGATGGTGGGTAGAGAGAGATGAACAAAGAAACCAAAAGAGAGAAAAGAGGAGGTGACTAATGGTCCCATCCAAGAGAAAATAAAGGGGCTGATTCGAATTACACGGACTTTCCAATAAACACAATGACCCTTTTTCCCGGGATTCCAGGTTCATCACTTCAAAATCCAAACAGAGAGACATACATATATATATATATATATATATATATGGGAGCTGAGACAATTACAGAAACTCTGCCCTTCAGAGTTTCCGATCAGAGCTCTAATACAACAATACAGGAATCGAACCCTAAACAGTGAAATTCCGATGGAGATACGTAATCATCTAGCAACCTGGAAATAACAACTTGTACAAAATTGAAATTCAAACCAAAGACAGAAACAGTAACATACGAGAGAATCTGAAACAAAACATATGAGTTATTTTCTCGCGATCGTCTTAAAGAGACTGCGAAAGCTGATACGAGAGAGGGAAAAAAAATCCGGTGTTACCTTTTCCGAGCGATTACTCTCCGCCGTCTGTGATTTTAGAAAAACGTGGAAAGATGTGTGAGAGAGATAGGCAAGACGATATATATTTCCACCAAAAAAATAGAGAAGACGATATATTATAAAAAAATAAAAGATTTTTGGGGTTTATAAAGTTTTAGTTTAGCTCAGAGGAAAAGAAAAATAAAAGTGGCGTAGCAAGCGTGGAAAAGTGGTCAGAGAGATCAAGGCCGTTGATTTCGGGTTTGGCTTAGTTAAAGCCAAATATGGACGGCTGATATGCACGCTGACGTCGCCCTCAGTAGACGGGAGAGTATTAGGAAGAACGAAAACGACACCGTTTGTCGCTAGCGGCGTTACGTACGGTAGACGGAATGATAGTGAATTAAATTTCTCTTTTTTTTTTTGGTTGGGGTCAGATTAATGGAGTTCGTTGGCGATAAAAATTAATTACTGTTGCAAAGAAAATTAGATAACGGATTAGATTAAATAATTACTGGTATTGATGATGTCGAAAAAGGTGTATAAGCAAACGTATCGGCCTTTTTTGGCGTAAATCAACAGACTCTTCTTCCCAAAGGATAAACTAAACTAAAGATAAATCTTGTTTCGCATCAGGAAAAGAAGAAAATCTTTTGGGATTTGTTGCGGTATTGGAGGAGTTCTTAGAAACTGTATACTTTTTATAACCTCGTCTACTTATGTATAATATACACATTTCGAACATGATACGAATCAATCCATATAACCTCGTCTACTTATATTTATTCCAACGATGAATTGCTTTCACTTTTTTTTTTAACGATGAATAACTTGAATTTCACGATCTTAATAACACTCATGCATTTAAAGTTAGAGATCAAATGATCAATCTTTGGTCTTTACTGGATGCACAACATGTGTTTGGTTATTGTGAAATTCTTTTATACAACACACCAAAAAGCGAGCCTATATAAGAACTTAATCAATAACACTAGAATTTAATAAATATACATAAAATTCCATGACCTTTTAAATCCTTCTACCAATAACCTTCCTAAAACAAATACATGGAACGTAACTAGTGGTCTTTAGTAAGAGTTTATGAGTTTGTTGATACTACTATGCATGTGGTAAGTTTTTATCTCAGCTCTGAAAAAAATCAATCTTTTTGAAACCAACCAATTATCATCTTTCGTGGTTTTCAAAGCTCAGAGACTTTCAACGGAAGTTAGGTTTTATCTCTCGTGTTTAACTGTGAGGGATTGCGAAATTGAGTTTTTGTTTTTATCTTGTGGAAAACAAGGAATGGTCGTCAATGAGTTTTTCATTTACCTTAAGGGCTTAAGTATACGACAACCATTACTGCACAATCTCTAGATACGTGTTGAGCATTTGCGACTACGAAATTGTTTTCGTATCGGCTGATGAAAAACTATCAGGTTTTACTTGGCATCTTAACTTAGTAAAAGACAACCAATAAATGTCAAATTTGAAAATCCCTCCAACGGATCAAATGTTTTTTTCTTATCTTATATTTTCGCAAACCACGTTGATTTATATAAACAGTTTATGCATACTTTTCAGATAAGAGATTTATAAAAACACAGTCTGTCTCATTGTAGTTGCACGTAGTATATATATGTATAATGTATCTTTCTTTTGATTTTCGGATATGTAAAATTATTTGATGATTTTTATCATAAAATCTATTCCAAGTGAATAAGAAGAAGAAATATACTAACCTTGATCAGTGATCAGTTAAACTTTAGAATGGATTTGGTTCACCATATTAAATTTTCTTCTCCTTCGATGGACAAAGAGCAAATCCTTTCTATTTTCTACATTGAACCAACATAACATTTAGATATATATATAAGATATATCTGGATCTTATGTTCCAAAATCTAAAAAAACTGAAATCCAAAAAATTGAGCCGAATTAATCTGACAAACGGAACGCCCATTCTTATAATAATTTGCAGATTTGCTCAAAACTACTTGTAATTAAACGAAATCTGCAGGATCCAGTTCAAATTTTACCATTTCGGTAATGATTTTAAATATCAAAAACATATGTACCTTATATATATCCATATCTATTATTGTTATCTACTATTGTTACCACTTATCCATCTATATATTTACTAATTGCTAGCACCTATCACATTATACAATGTACATTAGAAATTATTAAGAAAGTGATTAAGTACCTAATATATCATTTTATAATTTATAATCATCATATAAAGAATAGAACTATTAACTCTGTTCCTCCATATTGGGCAACAAATCACAGAGTAATCTTTTAATTTAAAGTGTAGTTGTTAAAAACATATAAAGAATATAATATGACAGTCAATAAAAAATAAATAGAATTGGTATTTATTGTTAAACTAAATAAGGAAAAATATGATATTCCATTGAATAGGCATCATTACATATAGAATGAAAAAATACAATTAACTATTATTTATAAGGAAACAAAAAGATAATAAATATATTTAGACATGATCACCATCTAATTAATTATAATTACGTGGAAAGACATGTAATGGTAATATAAAAAAGATAGGACTACCTCAAACGAAAGTCTACGGTTTTCCAAAACGGTCGAAATCGTTAAGGAAAAGAAAAAATAAATGGTGGATTCATGGTCTCCACCACCACCACCATCATCACCACCTAAGAAATGCGAGATTTAAGCTCCGTTTACAAAAACAGAGTTCCAAAAATAAAATAAAAACCCTAGTTGTCCACCACAAATCGTTGGAGATTACGTTCCTTGATAGACACGCCTCGTCTCCTTGGTTCAAAAGCTTCTTATTCATCTCCTTTGATCTCAAGGTATTCATCTTCTCGTAGTGATTCATATCTGAATTGATATTGTTAACTTTTAACTTTAAGGCATAAAGGTTGCTCTGTAATGCATTTTTCTGTTCTCTCTATAATTGAGTAACGTTTTTCGGTAGCGTCTCAGGTCGTTATTTGGTTTCTGAATAATGGCAACGACGTCTAGTACAACGAAAACGAAACAGGACAACCAAAACCTCACCAGATCAAGATCTCTCGGCAGAAAGCCAAAACCGGTAGCATCGTCGGAACCTGAAGAGAACGCAGATGGATCTGAACGGAAAACAACTGAGAAGCCTTTGCCCAATTATCTGAAACCCACAATCAGCTCGAAACCTGACCCGGTCAAGTTCTTGAGGAAGAACAATGCTGTCGAAGACAATCAGAAGCTTCTTCGTAGACGATCCTTTGATCGTCCTCCTTCCTCTTTGACTTCTCCATCGACTTCATCATCATCCCAGAAATCTCTCAATACCTCTCCTCCTGCACGCCCACGAGACAGACCCGCTCTTCCAAGAGAGAAGCCTGTCATTGGTCTGCGTTCTACATCTTTCCATGGAAGCAGCAAAGGCGGTCTCAGAGGAAGCAGTACGGTGAAATCGCCTCCTGCGGCTTCAAGAGGATCTCCGTTGGTGAAGAAGAGCGGTTTAAGCGGTAGCAGTTCTTCCAAGAGTAAAAAGGAAGGTTCTGAGAATGTTCCGAAAAAATCTTCTGGTAAGGAAATTACCCCGGAATCTTCTCCTGTTGCGCCTGCTAAAGAGGATGAAGAGGAGATAGTCAAGGTTGAGACCGATGTACAAGTTTCCGACCACAGAGAAGAACCGAAGGATATAGAAGATAAACATCAGGTTGCACAGCCGGATGAATCCGGTGAAGAGAAGGAGACCGGTCCAATGGATGATGCCTCCAAAGAAGAAGAAGAAAGAAGAGAACTGATTAAGGAGGATAAAACAGAAGAGAAAATAGAGGAGCCAAAAGAAACAGAGAGAACCCAAGAAGACGAGGATGAAGTTGAAAAGAAAGTTGGTGATGAGGAGAGTAGCAAGACAGTTATTACTCCAGATAAGGAAGATGCTGCGAATGTCGAAGAAAGTAAGGAAGAGGAAGAAGCAGCTGATGTTAAAGAAGAAAAGAGCGAAAGCAGCAAAGTCGACGAAGGAAGGAAAGAAACAAAGGCTCAAGTAGAAGAATTACCAGAGGAAGGAACAAAGAAGGAAGTGGTGCAAGGGAAGAAGGAATCTCCATCAGCCTACAACGATGTAATAGCAAGTAAGATGCAAGAAAGCTCGAGGAAGAATAAGGTCTTGGCTCTTGCTGGAGCATTTCAAACCGTCATTGACTATGAAACTGCTGCATCTAAGTGATATACATCTGCATGATATCGTCTAATTAGCTTTTCCTATGTCAGTGTTTTTTTGTTTTCGTTTTTCTTGTTAATTTCTTTCTTGTTTTGGCATACCATCAAATGTTGGACAAATGAATTATATGAATTTGCCTGTGAACATATCAATGCTTCACATGAACTAGTCTGGTTTTTTATTTTCTCTTTACCCAAAGAGATTTCTATGTGCAAAAACGTGAGAGTAATTATCTAACAATTGAAATGAAATGAACTCACTCATACAAAGAAAGGATATTATTACTTACATCCACCAGAGCAGCTTTTGTTCTGGTTCAAATAGCCGATACAATTGTTCTCTTGTAAAAGCTCCAACAGCCTTTGAGCTATAACCGCTCCCACAAATCTTTCCGCAATAAACAACTATAACCATCTTATGTTTCTTTTCCAAAATCAGATCTACCACCCGACCAATCGATGTTGTTGTACTCACACATGGAGGAGGGCTCCTCATCATTGAGACCAATGGCGCATCAAGCTACAAAACAAATTGAAGTGCACAAAAAGTATCATCACTTCATCTTTCTTTTTTTTTTTTTTTTTGTCAAATGTCAACAAGCGCATCAAGCTACTCAAGATTTTGTTTTAACTTACATTGTTGCAATCCTCCCGATGCAAAAGGCCTATGCAGCTTCCCCAATCGTCTACAATCGGCACAACTTGCTCCTTGAAAAACCGCATGGCCACATTCTTCAGCTGCAGCGTGCCTAGCAGTGGCCGAGTGGCTTCAAATCGAATCATAATACTTTCTATTGGTTCACCTGGTATCACCTGGGTCAATAGATTGTTGTTAAATACACAAATCACATCTCCCTTTTAGATTAAAATATTTTTGAGGGAAGCTTAGCAAACACCCAGACGTCACATTCCGAGATCATTTCCATGAACAGAGAGAGTGTAGGAAATAGGTAAATCTATACCTTACTGAGTAGATGTGGACGCAATATAGACTTGGAAAACCCCGACAATGCTTCTAAGCGGACAGCAGCCTGCGGTTGGACAAAATTCACTTTATCCACCCGACTACGGTTTTATCAGACATAACATTTGTCTACCTATTCAAATATCTAATGCCTGAAAGTAACTTTTCACATCATACCATGCCTCCACTAGTCGTCCAAGGTATTGCCTTCCACCTTCTAACGATACTAGTAAGAATCCCGAGGGCCTCATCGAGCTGAAACGTTATCCAGAAAATTAATTAGGACCAGGATCATCACTAGACTAGCAGATATCATCAGAAAATGAAAGACACCATAAAAAGACAAAAGCAAAGACTTCCATTCACTAGAAGGCCCAGCACGTCTATCAAATTGTTTATTACCTGGCCAGCATTGAGAGCAGCTTCCATCAGCAGATTATCAGCTTCTTGTTGAGCCAAATTGGAGATTGTTCCCGAAGTATCTGGCCATAGGCGAAGATACAGGTTTCTAACCATGCCATAATCTCCTTGGACAGCAAAAGCACGCATCATAGACAGGTACAAGTGAGGCTTTGGTCGCAATACTGCATTAGCTCCGCTTCTCTTCAATATTTCACCAAAGACACAGAGGGCACCTGTGAACGGATTCAATAAGTATCCAAAAGAATTTCTCCAAATCCATCTACGTTCCAGATTCCGAGAGCAGTACAATGTAACAGCAATTCATAGTAACATACCGCTCGTTGAACCACACTTAAGCATAGCATCAAGTACTGCTGTAAATGCAGTTCGGTCAATGAACAAGTTATCACACAGTTTCATTTCCAGAAATATTTCCTGAAGTGATGACAGATCCTTCGCATCCCCAAATCCCTAAGAAGTAGGAAACCATCATAAGAGTCAGAAGTTGATTACATGTCATGTATATAGCAGAAAGTACAACAAAGAATACTAGGCCATCTCCCTCCACAAAGAATGGGTATGTAAAGAGATCCAGACTGCTTACTCACCTTCACCAAAGTGGTGTATGTGATAACATCTGGTTGAAGATAATCGTCGTAATATTCCTCTGCTTTCTTCTGAAATTAGAAAACAAGACATCATAATCAACATGAGCCAAGCATTACCCCAGTACTACTCTGAGTAACACTTGGAGTGTAAAACTGGCCTTTTAAATACACACGTGTGACCTTCATTTCCTTAAAAAACTTGATAGCCGCATCCAAATCGCCACACTTGATGCAGGCATGGATCAAAGTATTGTAGGTGGACCTATCAGGCTCCAATCCAAGGCGTAACATTTCATCCAGCAAAAGTACTGCTGCTTGTGGAGATCCTGAGGTGATATACCCCTGAAATACAACAATATATATATATATATATATATATATTTATAAAACTTACCTCCTATTGACTATGGCAAAAGCAAAAAGACACATACCATGAAGATGCTATACAAGTATGCGTTACAAAGTACCTTCATCAACAAGTTATAGATGAGAATAGACGGGCCGCCATGCTCTAAGAGTAAAGTTGCATATCGTGCAAGCAGACCATTGGCACGACGTAAATCTCCTGCACTAGAGCAATATCAAGTACTTTTGCATCGGCCTCAGGCCATGATAGTTCCATTTCATTAACACGAAGACTACATAGTCAAGAATTGCAGCAGCCTTTTACAGCTTAAGAATCTTACCAGCATTGATCAGAGCGTCAAGCAGACCATAGATAAGAGATGATGACAACTTGGGCTTCCCAGCAGCAGTTCCATGCTCTATAGACTCTATCATTTGGAACGCTTCATCAATCCTCCGAGCCTTTCCCAATCCCTTGACAAAATCAAACATTCGAAATCAAATTCAGAAGGTGCTGTGTAGTGTTGTTCTTCTCAGGAAAATCAAAATTCAAAAAAAAGAGTCAAAATCAAGTCACCTTCAAGATAGTGGCGTAAGAAACAGAGTCGAGGCCACACCCACCAGGCTCCGACATCTCATGGAATATCCGGAGAGCCAAATCGACATCTCCGCAGTGAACGCAAGCTTCCAGAACGGAGTTCATCACGATTGTGTTCAGCCTCCCATACCGTTTCTTAGCTGCTTCCACCTCCTCCACAATTTGATCCAGCTGGCGACGGCGCGTGAGGAGAACGATGCGAGAGGTGAGAGGCTTGAGGTTGAGACGCCTGGAGGAGGGAATGGCTCTACGGGGATAACGCCGTCGCGTCGGAACGGAGCAGGACGAAGGAAGAATAAGGTGAGGAGTGGCAAGAAACGAAAAAGCTAAAATCCGATACATTTTCAGGGAGACCGGAGACTACCCATCCGCCATTGATGATGGGCTTCACTTCATCTTGAGCTAAGCGAAGTGGATAACGTCAGAGAATCCAAATCGGAACAAAATCAATCAGTTACTGACATTGGCGGGTCGAAAAAATATTGCGATGTGGAGAACAAGGCCTTGGGCTCTGAACATTAAAGCCCAATTTTTTATTTCACTAAAAATTTAGTATTTTTCAAATTTCATCTCCGGAATTATAGAAGACTTTCACGCTTTGATATTCCACGCTGACCGGAGAAGAAAAGACAAATAAATTATACATCTAAACCCTAATTTACTAAAGAGAATAATCCTCCGTCGAAACCATGTCTTCCATGAACAGCAAATTCTCCGCGGCTGACACAGGCGTCTTCTGGGACTTGGATGCTTGCCCAATCCCTACTGGTCTCGGTCCTGATTCGATCTCTGCTAATATCAAATTAGCTCTCGAGAATTTTGGTTATACTGGCAAGGTGTCGATTTTTGCTTATTCTGTTGCGGAGCAGAGCGAAGAAGTAAAGTTTGGATCCGCCGAAATCAAGCTTAAACAAAAGCTAGGAACTAGTAATAAAAAAATTAGATCGATGTATTTGGGCGTTATGTTTTGGGGAGCAAACCATAGTTATGAACCAACAAATTTGATGGTAATCTCAGAAGACCTCTCACCTAAAGTTAATTTCGTTTCGGGGCTTGTCGGTTTGAGCGAAAGAGAAAACAATCTTCTCTTAGCGCACTCTCAAAACAATCCAGGAGGAGTGTTGCGTGATACTGCAACTTCAATATGGCTTTGGAAAAGCCTATCAACTGGAGGGAGCCCTCTCGATGGCCACAGCATGAGGCCAGAACCAGTTATGCCGTCTCCACCTTGTCCTGTTTGCACCAGAAGGGCACTTCGTCTTGCCAATAAGCAAAAGAAACGTCCGACCAAACCATGTCACAAAAAGCGGAAGAGCACCAGAGCGAATCCTGAGGACTAGTCATGTCATAATCTTTAGATAATGTGTTTATTTCTCTGTTGGTGGGAACTCTTCGGTCGCTACGATTCCATTCGTATGGATACCTGCTACGATCCATGATGTTAAGAGTTGTTTTCGTTTTCTTTTGTTTGGTCTACGCAAATGGTATTTGGTTATTTTGTTATGAAAATTTGTTTTTGATTGAAAAAAAAAAGACAAATATCTTATTTTATTTTATTATTTAAATTGCTTCTAGATTAAGCTAAATTTCTCCGGAGATCCTAAATTTCACCTCTTTGACGCGGAAACAAAAAATCCTAAATTCCGCGGACTTATCCTTATAAATATCGAAGCTGCAATCTTTCTAACGCGGAAAGAGCAAACATTCCATTTTTTTGTTACTTTGATAAGAAGAAAAAAGAAAGAGCAAGAAGAAGAAGAAAGAAGGATGTGTTTGGTGTTCGTGTGCGATCAGGACGAGAAAGTAATCGGAAGGTACGCAGCTCCAGGGGCGTGTCCGTACTGCGGCGGAGCGGTTCAAGCGGTTGACGTAGAAAGCCAGTGGAGATTCTGCTTCGTCCCTCTCTATTTCAAATCCAAACGTCGCCATCTTTGTTCCACTTGTGGTAAACGCCTCATCGTCCATTACTGAAACCAAAAAACTCCAACCTCCCAGATCTTTATTTAAGCTGTCTGTCTCCTCTCACTTCTATATGTAAATATCCAAATTTCTGACTTAGCTTTTGTGTACTCTATTTGTAAAAAAGAAAAAGAACAAGTCTTCTCTTTTATGCTGTTCTCGCCATTTGTGTGAATCAAAAGATTATGAAAATTCAGCTCATTATAGCAAACAGAAATGAGATTTTAGAAATTGGAATATATCACTTGCAAAGCTTGAGTTTCTTGAAGAAAGGAGAGACTTGAGATTTGGGATAAGGCTTTGTAGCGATACAAGTCGGTATATTCTCCGGCTGCTCCATCCATAGCTTATGAGAGATTCCTCCTGATTTCAGCTTCTCTGACAAATTCATCATCTGCGTTTCCCCTTTCACCTCCAGAGTCACCTAATCCATTAAAAAAAAAAAACCAAAAACGCGTTTAATCGACCATCGATTCCATCACGCAAATTCGAAAATAAGTATTTAGTGGATTAACCTTGTGCATAGAATCGATGTGCTCAGGATCACAATACAGAAGAGTCACCGGATCGTCCTTGAACGACCAGATCGCCGCCACTGACGCGTGGCATCCCTGCGTCACCACGCTACCAAGTGGCCACGAATCTATCAGATCTCGTCGAAGCACTACGTACTGCACCACGACGTCCTCGACGGGATTCTCCGCCGATTTCTCGTCGTTACGAGAGGCATCGGCGACGGCGCCGTTTACGCCAGTCTGTTGGCTCATGGACGAAGCCGTTGTGATCCCTCGGAGATGAGCAGACCAAATCGTAGAATGATATAACCTAATTCGCACCGCCGGAACAGAGATTGGGCGGGTAGCGAACGGGAATCGAAACGCTGCCGAGACGACGGCGCTCGCCATATGAAAGGAAGACGCACATGGACTTCGCTCTTGGATAAGATTTTTCTTAATGGGCTTTTAAGAGACCCAGTTTTATTTACCCAATTAATGAGCTCATTATTCACCCGCCGGCTTATTTGTTTTTTGTCATGGCTTCTTCTTCGCCGTTCAGATTATGATCTCCGATTCTCTCCAAGCGTAAACCAACATCTCGACGCCGGTCTTAAGTAACCTTGCTCCGTTCGTACATTATCCGGCGCTGCTTAAGCCGTTTCAGCGATCTCTTTTTTTTTCCCTCCCCGCCAATCGAACCTGTTATCTTCTTTACTCGCCGGCGTCGGTAAATTATTATTCTTCGTTCCAGGTTTCCAGCTGCTTGCTAAATCAACCGCTAATCACTGAAATAAGCTCTACAATAGACATTCTAGGGATTCTAATTCAGCCTTGTTTCTGTCATTCTGTGTACTTTGGTTCCCGTTTTTGCAGAAATTGCGATTTCATGATTTCGTGAGTAGAAGTCTGTTTATTTGGTCGCATAAAGATTTTGCTTCTCACTCTTTTTTTTTTTTGTTGTTGTTGCAATTTGTTTGAACCATGGGACTTCACAATTCCTCCTGGGTGGAGAGACTGGTTTAGGGTTTGAATGAAGCTTCGGGACTCTTTTCACCTTTGTTTTTACTCTTTTTCAATGATTGGAATATGTTAGTTTATACATGTTTTGAATTATGTGTTGAATTACTCTTTTTCACCTGCTTGGTCATCAGGCACCTCTCTGAAAGCAAAGATGGGAGAAATGGTAAGTTACACATCCTTTCCACTGTTTTTTTTTTGTTTGAAAACCTTGAAAAGCCAAATTCCGCAACATTGCTTTTACTGCAAATAGATTGTTTCGCTGGAGGAAGATATCCGACTGGATACATCTCGAGCAAGATGTGAGTAACAACTTTTCTTGTTGTTCAGATATTTTTTTGGTTTTGTTTAAAACTGTTGGTAATAATTGGTCCAGTACTCCTGTTCTTTGCAAAAGCTAATTTCTGTGCTCTTTTCCTAGTCACAAATCTTCTCAAGAGGCATCGAGAATTGTCAGATCGTCTTACTAGGTAGGAATGCGCATCTGTATTATGTAGTTAACTTGTCGGTCTTAAAGTTAACTTTGTATTTGGTGATCAATTTTTTTAGGGATTCTGATAAGACGATATTTGATCGGTTAAGCAAAGAATTTGAAGCTGCACGGGCATCCCAAAGTCAGGGTGAGTATGGATAGCTGAATTGCAGGATTATTCATTAGCATTATTCAAACTCTGTGCTTGTACTATCTGTGTGGCTGTAATTTTGCTTCGTAAGTATATACTCATTCAACCTTGTGTTTGTCTTAATTAAATGCTGTCTTCTCTCCTCTGCAGAAGTCTGCTTAGATGGGGAAGAGTGGAATGATGGTTTGTTGGCTACACTAAGGGAACGGGTACAGCATCCATCATTATTGACTTTTAAAAGAGGCGTTCCAGGCCTTAGTATCTGGTGGAGGGCTTAGTAGACTCTTTAATAAGGGCGGATCTCGATCATTTATGTCGTCTTGATAAAGAAAAAAAGTGATCTTTTCTTTGTGGAATGAAATCTTGTATGCCATAGTTTTCTTTTCAACTGTTGATTTTGTTGACTTTTTTTTAAATTGGCGACTAACTGTGTAGGTGCATATGGAGGCTGACAGAAAGGCAGAAGGCGGTAATACAGGTTTTGCACTAGTTACTTATCCTGAAGAACGAGTTACTTACAGAGTGGGAAATAAGGTAACTTTTAGGTCTTAATTTCTTACAAATTCTTCTGTTGAGAAACTTAATTTGTTTGTACCCAATGTCTGTCGGCGTAAGCTTCAAAGTCTAGATGGCACAGATTTTACCATGATCCGTTGAGGATACCCACAAAGAAGACTACGTCAGTTATTAAAGATATACTAAAATCCACATCATAAACCATATGGCAGCAGAAAGCTCTGGATAGTCCAAAGGAAACTCTGTAATTTTGCTCATTCATTTTGGCCTGATGCAATATTTGCCCAAATGATAGATCCAATCAGACCAATATTAGTTGTAAATCGTTGTTGAAGAATGTTGATGGTTACTTTCCCAAATTCTGTAGTTGCTTTAATCTTTTCTGATTTCACAGTTTTGACTGACACTGGGCTAGTCTTAAGTTTGGAGTGAATTCTCACTTTGAAGTGATACCAGGTCGTTTTATGTTATATATTTGACTTATCTATTAAACAGGTGATCTATTGCTTAGAGGGAGCGAGAATTGGAATACAGTATGAAACATCTTTTGCAGGTATTTGAACTATAAATGTTATTTTGTCAAGTTCCAAATGTTTCGGTTTACCAAAAATTAGTGGCAGTTATACCAAAACATAGTGATTTTCTCGTTGGAGGTTTCTTACCTCCTGGTGTTTTGTCTTCATATTTCTATGTAAAGGAAGACATTAGGACTACTCCTGACGATTCCTCTCCCAGTGTCATGATTTAATTCTGTTTTATATAGGAGAAACTTACGAGATTTACCACTGTGTGCTTGAGAGCAAGTCGTTTTTGGAGAAGATGACGGTGCTTGAGCACACAATTCCTTTCTTTTTGCCACTACGTGACTTGGAAAATGATCTTCTTTGTTCGAATGCTAAGGTAAGCATGGTTTCTGGATCTTTTGCGAGATTAAACTTGCTCTGACGTTGTTTTATGGTACATTATCTTCAGCCCTTTTTTTTCTTAAATCTTTTTTTTTTTGTTTATAATTTGTATTGATACCAGAAATTCATCGATAATGTTGGGGATTTGCTGCAAGCATATGTGGACAGGAGGGAACAGGTTTGTGAACAAATGAGTAGTTAGTTGGTCACACTTAGATTGTGCTAGTAGGAAAGGCCTTTTACATTGTTCATTTGGGTCATGACTTTTTCTCGTGATTCTATTGTAGGTCCGGCTTATCAAAGAGCTTTATGGAAATCAGATCCGAGAGCTTTATCATAGTCTTCCTTACCACATGATTGAATTTGCCTTGGATGATTGTGACTGGTTAGCATTTTCATGGATCCATAAATATGACTCCTCTTAACATCTGCTACACTAGATATTGATGTGACCTGGTTGCCACCTAAAGTTCTGGTTTGATAGCTTTTTAAAAATCAAATAATTTTTTTCTGTATTGAAGCAAGGTGGTGGTGAGCCTGAGATATGGAGACCTTCTGTGTGAACTTCCGACAAAAGTGAGAGTTCTAGCGTGGCCAATGCATCAGTTGAAGAGACAGTGTACAAGCCCTAGATTAGGTAAACTTGGAAGTCAAGCAATCCCTGTGCGTTTATCTTTTGCTGAGGATGCATTACGGATCCAGTCACTACCTGAAGGTATTTCCAAGTTTAAAGACCGATCTATGTTCAAGACTTCATTGGTTTTTTTTTTTTTTTTTTGCGGTTATTTATATATTGTTCATTGCAGCATACGCAGAGATTGTAATAAACATGCCACAAGAAATTGAGCAAATATTCCTGCAGAGGAGTCCGAGCTGAAACCTGAAGCTGTGTCCAAAAAATTATATTTCTCTCGCTGCGTCGTTGTATGATATTTGATTTTGATTTCCAACAATGTTATGTGCTACGAAAAAGAGTTTTTACTGAATTGGCTTTGTTCTGCTTTTCTGTTCCGGTTAATCTGTGTTGGGCTTGTCGAGTAGGCTATTACTAATTAAAGCGTTAACCTTTGATTAATTGGAAATGTTCAAACATATATATTACCGGGTTGTTGGAGATTATTAGAAACAGATCATTCACTTTCTTCATGAATTTACGCATTTGAAATCAATAGTGGCTGTAAATAACTAAAATAAACTTATCTACAATAGATACAATTAAAAAAAAAAACTATGGGAGACATAATGGTTCTAAGTTCTAACCTAGTTATATATATACATTTTCTTTATCGGTCCACCATTAGTTGTTTTTCATTTTAAAGATCCTAAGTGAAGTAATTGTAAATATAAAAATAAAAGTATGTCACCTCATATGAATTTACGGTGATAGTAAGGAATCCCGGAGTTGTGTTACCCACTTTGAACTATCTTTCCCAAAACCATCCATGCAAAAACTTTATGGTCTATCCAATGATTTTTCTTTTATTGTTGTTCTGGCCCCATCAATATTCTTAACACAATTTAAGAGATCATGTTCCTAAAACATATTAACACTGAAATTTTAATATAGACAATTCTTCATATATCAGTTTTTTTTGGTATCTTTCATTTATATTTACATTACAAAAATTTACATTACAAAAAAGAAATCATATGAGTTGATGCAACTGACCAACGTCTTTCAAATTCGACAGTAAATATAAAATTCACCGTCAACTATAACTGGCACTCCTTTTGGGTATATTTCAATGGATTTTTCTCTCCTTAAATCATTAAAAATTATTAATTACACTAAAAATATCGAATTAATGACGCAACCAAACATAAAACTTAGTTCTTCTCTAGATTACGGGTGGAGAATCAGATTTAGGATCATTTTTCAGATGTACATAAGAGTATCTCAGTTTAAACAAGAGAAAGAAATCAAAACAGTAGATAACAGATTTACTTTAAATCTATCTTCCTGAGTGATTTATTATTGGAACCTATGATTAAGACACTGGAAAGGTTCGTTGTCAGAAAAAACAAATGTAAAGAACTATTACATGGGCCCTGGTCAGAATATATAATTTGTTTTAAACCTTTTAATAATGGAACCAAAAGTATGAAATAATAATAGTATTTAACCAGAAAATAATAGCAATGAACTTGGATGTAATACCCAAGTGTAAAATAGAAACTATTAATATCAATTTTTTTTTGTATATTGTTCACCTTAATCTAAATTTGTCATCGTATCTTATCATCCATCTTAATTTTTTTTGGAAAACTAAAACATGTTTTATATGAGATTCACGGATGGCATTTTCACTCGGATATTATTTTAAATTTAACTATTTGAAAGTAAAACTAACCGTATCGTTCAAAACAAGAATCTATATATGCCCCCAAGTATTGACGACAATTTAATTGACAACCAATTTACAAGTATTGATCATATTCAAACGATATACAAATATATTTTATATAATAATAGTTATCAAGTAAAACTTTTACGACATGTACCCATGTTAAAATAGATGTATACAGAGTGCAGTTTCTCTAATATTTTACTTTGTCAAATCCAGCTTTAACATATACAAAAAGTAATAATTAGGAAGAAAGCTGAAAAGCATGGTCCTGCTTTAATCGAGACTTAAATAAACAAAACCGCTATTTAAGGATTCGTGTCCCCATCCAATTAATATCTCCACATTCTCGTCTTTCTCCAACTCGTAAATAATAAAATTTATCATAATCCTCAACCACCGTCCATTTTTGGCGCGAGAGCAAACAAACAGAAGAAACATGTTTGAAAAATAGCTACACCACGTGCTTGTCAACGATATTTCCACGTGGCAACTTCGAAGACGATGGCACATGTGGCTTATGTCATACATAAAATAGCTACTACGGGACGGGACGGGGACAAAAGCCTCCGAGCGCCGTTCAGATCGGGGACTAAACACAAAAAATGGCTTAGCTGTTTTCTTTTTTTATTTTATTTTAAAGACCCCTTTAATTTATATAATTCCCTCTTATTATTATTATTTGAGCCTTATGTACTGTTAGTTGATAATTTTATACTGTTATTAAATTTTATTATATAGAAATGGGGTTGATTTCGACAACTAATTTTGTGCCATTACAATTTACAGTTGTTGTCGCTCCATTGAATTGCGAGGATTGGGCCTTCTTTATTTATTTATTGTAAAAATAATTTTTTTCTTCTTCTTTTGGTTGTGCACAAGATTCAAATAATTGATACTAATACTTTCCAACTGAAACTGAACTTGCGAATATAGTTTAAGATTTGATGATTAATACACTACAAATTATTATATTTCCGATACATTGTTGTGGTACATGTGCTTTGAAATTCATGAAACATGAATGTCCCGACCCAACTCGAATATTTGTGTACTTCCGTCAAGCATTGACATTCTATAGACTAATAGAACCCACATGATGATTTTTCATTTTTTTTGGAAAGAGTACAAAAGCCAAGAAAACAAATCATTCATTCGTTACTTATTGTATTGACAACTAGGAAAAAAACAGTAATTTCATATGTACGTTGTTCTTACCATCCAATCATCAAATCTTTGATAAAATTATACAAAACTTTGCTTTATTAGCTAGCTATATATACATATATATATATATATATATGTCTTCGCGCTATTATCTATTTATCTTTTTGTGCTATATTGTCTATTTATCTAATATAATAATAAACAAAGTTTTATACATCATATTCTGAAAGCATGCATATTGAAGATTTAAATGTTGTACATATATAGTCTCTTATACCGAATTGATTTGCTTAAAAAATCGTATGACTAACGATTTAAATGTTGTGACTATATCAGAGTTAATATGTTTTCTTCATAAAATTCTAGATGTTTTATACGAACCAATTGTGGATCAAAAAAAAAAAAAAAAGCCGTCTTCCCTGCCATCGGACTAGTCCAGTGTAACGAATTCAAAGCCTAGTTAATTAGTTGGTGAGTAGTGGAAACCAAATCTGATTATATAGCCAACTCAATTCTATATTAAAAAAAAAATGAAAGAATGATTTGATCGAGTAGGCGATTGGATTATCAACGAATTTTCTGATTAAGTTGCCAAATTATGAATAAGTGATCGTTAAAAGCCAATAATAGACGGTTTAACGACTAAATGAAGTCGTTATTGAGGCCAGTTCTCGTTACTCATAAAGTCAAAATTATGAAACACAATCAAAAGGAAGTGATAATTAAAAAGAAAACAAAAGTGAAGCCCTTTAATTAATGATGTCGTTGGAGCGTGACGTGGACGCGCCGCCTTGTAACTCCGTCTACTCAAATTATCTTTCAGTGAGGTAGAAAACAGAGGAACTGGAAAGAACAGAGAGGAGACAGAGCTGCGGAATTGTGAGACAGATCGAAACGTGTCGATTTCTCTGTCATTCGATCCTCGGATTCGGTCTCGGAAAGAAAACAAACGTGCACACAGATAGAAAGATAAGAGAAGAGAAGAGAAGAGAGAAGAGAGAGAGAGAGTCGCCATTTGAATACTCGAGTGAAAATTGAGAGAAAGAGAGAGAGAGAGAGAGAGAGAGAGAGAGAGAGAGAGAGAGGAATATAATATACATTGACCTCTCTGTCTTTGGGGGAAAGCACATGCTCTCTCTCCTTCAAGTTTTTTTTTTTTCCTCTTCTTCTCCGTAAAATCGCATTTGTTTTTGTATTTCCTATCTTTCACAATTCACATGCTCTCTCTTCTCTCTCTCTTTATTGGTTAATTCTCTTCCCAATGCTCTCGTTTGAAGTTTATTTACTCTAACACTCGCCGAGGACTCTTCAGATCTATTCACTATTCATTTTCTCTTGTAATCTTCTTCTTCCTCTGTTAATTTCCCGGTGACCTGAGCCGGTGAAGGTAAGCTTTCGATCCTTTTTCCCGGTTGCTTCTTCATTTTTAATCTATTCGTGTTTTCGATTGTCCATCTCGTTCTGTTTCTGCCATTGACTCGGTAGATTTCATGATTCCGATCTTTCTTTTTTTTTTTTTCTTTTTTTTTTTGGCAATGCGAGATTGTTCCTGATTATGATCGAACTAAAATCCAAGTTTTGTTTTTTCCCGATCATTGCTCAAAAGTTTGTTTTTTTTTTGTTGTTAAACCCAGTTCCTTGTATTGATTTTTCAGATATAAACTTCAATACTTTCATAACTCATTTGATGGTGAATTCATGATCAGAGTTTTCTAATAGTTTTTCAATCTGAAAAAGAAACTGATCCAGATTTTTTTTTTTCGTTGGGATTTGCAAAATTTCACCTTTTCAAGCTCGTCTTGTTATAATCATAATTTAAAGTTTCCCGGCTAAAAGTTGTAACACCAATTGTTGGTCCACACACTAGTTGTTCTAGTCCCTTTTGGAAATTCCGAACTCAACACATTATTCAGACACTTAACAGATCAACGGAGATGGATTGTCCTTACTCTAATATACGTTGTCTTAAATTCTTAAACAGATCAAGATTCTGGTTAAAGAAAAGTTTGTTGGAAATTTTCGAGTGTTTGTTGTTGTTGTATGAAGAGAAACTCTCCTTAAATGGTCTGCGAGATGGAGACTGATCAGATTGAAGAGATGGATGTCGAAGTCTTGTCTTCGATGTGGCCCGAAGATGTCGGAACCGAAGCAGACAAACAGTTCAACGTTGAGAAATCCGCCGGCGATTTAGACATGTTGAAAGAAGTTGATATTGCCGAGAAACGTACCATGGCCGATTTAAAACGCTTGCCTGAACTCATGAACTCGACTCACCAAGGCTCGTCTCAGCTAACCAACCTTGTGAAACAGTGGGAGTATATGCAAGACCACGCGGTTAGGCTATTGAGAGAAGAGCTCAAGATTCTCACTAGACAGAGAGAAGAAGCCGAGGCCAAAGAGCAAAAGATCATAGAGGAGCATAACTTTGAGAGTCAAGAGCCTGAGAATGTTCCTGTTTTAGATGAGACGAGCGATCTGTTTCGCAGGTTTAGGCAGAAGAAACGAGATAAGTTGGTCGACAGCAAAACGATTGAGATCGATGAGGAGTTTGACACTGTTGCGTATTGGAAACAGAAGGCGTTAAGTTTGGAGAAAATGCTTGAAGCGAGTACCGAGAGAGAAAGGAGATTGATAGAGAAACTAAATGAGAGTTTGAAGACTATGGAGAGTCACTCAGCTCCTGTTGAAGAGCTGACTCAGAATCTCAAGAGAGCTGAAGGTTTCTTGCATTTCATACTTCAGAATGCACCTATTGTTATGGGCCATCAAGTAAGTAAAACGTTCTTGGTCTTGTTTTCGATCTTTTTCAGTGATGTGATCTCTGATTCTTTGTTTTTCTTTTTCCGGGTTTCAGGATAAAGATTTACGCTACTTGTTCATCTACAACAAGTTTCCAAGTTTGCGTGAACAGGTTGCTGTTTCCTCTTTGTTCTGTTGGATTATTGATCATTCTCCTGAGAAAGTGTGTGTTTGAATCAAAACCTGTTTCTTACTAATGTCAGGACATTTTGGGGAAAACAGACGTTGAGATATTCAAAGGAGGTGGGGTTAAAGAGTCTGAAGATTTCAAGAGAGAGGTTCTTGAGAAAGGAAAAGCTTCAAAGAGAGAGATCACATTCGAGACAGATTTATTTGGATCAAAGACGTTTTTGATATACGTTGAGCCTGTTTACAACAAAGCTGGCGAGAAAATCGGTATAAATTACATGGGAATGGAAGTAACTGATCAGGTTAGTGCACTAAGATTACTGACTCAAATCTATAGATTTATAAAATCTAATGTTCTCATCTTCACTTCTATTTTCAATCAACAGGTAATTAAGAGAGAAAAAATGGCGAAACTTAGAGAAGACAACGCAGTGAGAAAGGCCATGGAATCAGAACTGACCAAGACCATCCACATTACAGGTTTGTTCAAGCAGTAAAATTAAGTGATTAAGTTTCAGGAAGATTCATTGTAAAATACTAGACTTAAATGGTAAATTTCTCTTTTTGTGTTTGTTATTGCAGAGGAGACAATGAGAGCAAAGCAAATGCTAGCGACAATGTCTCATGAGATAAGATCACCATTGTCGGGAGTTGTAGGAATGGCTGAGATACTTTCCACTACAAAACTGGATAAAGAACAAAGACAGTTGTTGAATGTCATGATTTCTTCTGGTGATTTAGTGCTTCAGCTAATTAACGATATTCTTGATCTCTCCAAGGTTGAATCAGGTAGAAAATACTGTTTCAAGTTTTGATCTTGTGGTATAGTTTCAGATTCTTGATTTCATGTTTTTTTGGGGTCTTTCTGTGTGGTCCTTTTAGGTGTGATGAAATTAGAAGCTACAAAGTTTCGGCCAAGAGAAGTGGTGAAGCACGTGCTTCAGACAGCTGCTGCATCGCTGAAGAAAGATTTGACATTAGAAGGAAACATTGCAGATGAAGTTCCTATTGAGGTCTAATACACAAACAACACATTCTGAAAGAGTTAATATGACATAGAGTCTCTGTGTGATCTAACCTTTTTTCTTTTCTTGTTTCAGGTAGTTGGAGATGTTCTACGGATTCGGCAGATTCTCACCAACTTGATCAGGTTTTTACATATATCATCCTCAATTATTGGGATATTAATAAAAAGATTTGGTTCCTGAAAGCTGAAGCCTTTATACAAAATTTTGCAGCAATGCTATCAAATTTACACATGAAGGAAAGGTTGGGATCAAACTCAGAGTGATATCAGAACCATCCTTTGCGAGTGATAACGTACTGAATGAAGACGCTGAAGAACAGAACGGTTTGATCGAGACTTCGGTTTGGATTCGCTGTGACGTTTACGACACTGGAATTGGAATCCCAGGCAAGAAAGCAATTCTGATGAGTGAATTGTTCAAAAACATCAAAAGAAAAAAACTCCAGCTAAAATGTTTTGGTGTTCTTGTGCAGAAAACGCCCTTCCTTGTTTGTTCAAGAAGTACATGCAAGCAAGCGCTGATCATGCTCGTAAATATGGTGGAACCGGTCTTGGTCTAGCCATTTGTAAACAGCTGGTAAACTAATCTTACATTTCTCAACACAGAGAATAAAATTATTCATTCTCAGAATTATTCTCCTGAGGCAAATCATTCTGTGTTGTTGTTGTTTACAGGTTGAGCTGATGGGAGGTCAACTTACTGTGACAAGCCAGGTCAACGCCGGTTCAACGTTCACATTCATATTACCTTACAAAGTTGCAACATCAGATGATCATTCGGATGATCAAGATGAGTTCTCTGATATGGTGGATCATCAACCAGAACCAGACGACACCACCGAAGGATATTTCCAGTTTAAACCGCTTCTAGGATCTATTTATTCTAATGGAGGACCGGTCATGGGCAATAACTTCTTACCTCATAAAGTTATGCTCACTAGCCCTCTTAAGCTCATCAACGGTTTTATCACGGATTCTTCTAACATTACTGGACAAAGCGAGACGGTTCAGGTTGAAAACGGTTGTTACATGGATGAATCAAGACTCGAAACCCGTTCTGCTCACTGTCCTGAACCAGGTCATCAATATGAGAATGGGAATGGTCGATGTCCCTCTAAGGAAACCGAATCTTGTAGTAGTTCACAAGCTAGCTCAGAAGGTGGACCTTTAGAAATGGATTCAGAGCTCACAGTTTCATCTCACAGGGAAGAGGAAAAAACGGAGACAGATCTCCAGGAGACATCAAAGCCAAAGATTTTGCTTGTGGAAGATAATAAAATCAATATCATGGTTGCCAAGTCGATGATGAAGCAATTAGGCTATACCATAGATATTGCTAACAATGGAGTCGAAGCCATAACCGCGGTCGAACGCTCTAGCTACGATTTGGTACTCATGGTATGTCAATTTTCTCAAGATCCATAAACTTGTCCTTCTCAAAATCGCTTAACTTGACAAGGCTTTTAAATACAATTTGGGTTCACAGGATGTGTGCATGCCGGTTATGGATGGTCTAAAAGCTACAAGACTGATCCGTTCTTATGAAGAATCTGGGAACTGGAATGCTGCAATAGAAGCTGGAATCGATGTAAAGACATTGGAAAATGAGCAAGTTTGTGTGCGTTCCACAAACCGGCTGCCTATAATCGCGGTTAGTACCTCTTCTTCAAATCACATTAAACACATGCTCTAATGGATAACTTGAGAAAATTAAAGAGTAAAATGGGTTGTGGAATTTTGCAGATGACGGCAAATACGTTAGCAGAGAGCTCAGAAGAATGTTTTGCAAATGGAATGGACTCGTTTATTTCGAAACCTGTAACGTTGCAAAAACTGAAAGAGTGTCTACAAAAGTATTTGCATTGAGATTTCAGAGCTTGGTAGATTTAAGTGTATGTGTTGTGTATAAAATGTGTAGGGAAAAAAGTTTTGGAGAGCTACAAAGTAGCTTTGCTCTCTTAGAGATGTATAGTATCAATATCAATAAAAGCTTGTCTTTTTTATTTATTTATGGTGAGAGAAACGAGGAAGACATTTTTGTTCCCACCATTGAAATCCAACTGAGTAAAGCAGCCAAACTCTACAAAACGACAGAAAGCATAATCAAGCTTCTCGATACAGAACTTATCTCGATTTTTGTTGGCTGTAACGTTGTATTCCATGAACATCCACAATCCCGGGAGGGAAAACCGGATCCGTAGCTGCTCTAACCGCAACTCTTGCTACTGATTCAACTTTCACCGGAGGCGTGAACAAAGGTCCGACCAACGGAAGCTGGTTCAGCGGTTTCGCCTGTTGAAGAATCTACAAAAGCCACAGACACTGTGAATAAAGACGCAATCTTGAGAGATATTGCAATAAAGAGAGGGAATCTCTTACCATCTCCATAGGCGACCCAAAAACTCCCAATGGGATCTTCATGCTCCCAACAGTGCGAGTTCCATATATAAAACCAGGTCGCAAGATTATCCCTGCACACCATCCATTGAAAATCTCAAATGTAGAAAACAGATAAGATTCTCACAAAATTTTGCAGTTGAAACATGAAAGTGTTACCTCCATAAGCAAATCTTGTGAGCAGCTCGGTCTCAGCAGCACGCTGTCAGGATCAAAAGAGAAAGTCCTAAGACAGTGTATATTAACCAAAAAGCACTATGCAATAGCTGCTAGATACAGAGTCTAATCATATCCAAATATGATTGCGATTTGAAAGTATATAAGCACCTTTCCCTCAAAGTATCCTCCCAACAAATAGTTGGCTAATCCGAAATCCGCAGCAGAAATATAGACAAATCTTTTAACTCCTGGTCAATAAAGGGAACACAATTAGAACTACAGTAACATAATGCTATATGCCCTGATAATATATTTCTAGGAAGCCATGGTGTTTATAGTTGTAGCGGACTAATTCACCTAACTTGAGTTTCCTCAATCCACTAATCCTTACTATAAACTCAAAAATTTATTTTCGAAAAACTGGGCTCTCAATGCCCTATGCCCCCAGTGTCTATCTGAGATAGATACTGTACCTCAGAAATATTACTGCTTTCAATAAATATATTTTGAATTATGCAAGCATTTATACAGCACTCTTTAACCAAAAATTATATTAACACTCATACCTTTTTCTGAGGCAGCTCTAATTGCGTTGATGTTTGCAGTCCCGTTAATCTTATACATGTACGAGTTTGAACCAAAACCACCAACACAAGAGATCTGCAATTGTTCATCCGGATACTTTTTAAAACCGCAGCACTGCTAATAAGCAAAAATCGGTGGCGGTCATCAAATTTCTACATCATTCCTGAAAGAGGAGGAAAATCATACCACAGAAGTAACTCCATCAAGAGCATCTTTCAATAAATCAGATGATAGAAGGTTTCCTGGAAAAAAAAAGGAAAAATATAAGACGACTATGAACATACAGGAATATCCTAGTTCCTAAAACATGTTGAGGATTTAACAGTACCTTGATGCCATGTTACTCTGGTAGCCCATGACTCTTGTAAAGACGACCTACCTGATCTATAACCCATACAAATGGTTAATCACAAACCAATATATCGACATCTGACATAGAGCTTCAACTATGAGCCAGAAAATCGAACTTGATCTATTCTCAGACATGATTTCAGCTTCCTACAATCAAATTCATATTAGAACTGATCAGGTACCTGCTAAGGCTAGAAACAGATAAGCCGCGATCTAAAGCTTCTTTACAGACATGTGATCCCACAAAACCATTTCCACCAAGGACGAGCAGCTGATATGAACCAAAAATAAGTTCCATGATCATCAAAACCATGTGAGGCATCTTTACTGATAATCACAATGTAAGATCTCTCGTAACCGAAAAAAACTCATACCTTCTCGGTTGGAGGTGGAGGCACATGTACAGTCTCTGCTTCTTCCACATTGAAGGGCTCATCAATTTTGTTAGATTCCGTCGAGAGATACCTCCCGCCACTGGAGGCGGAAACGAACCTAACGCAACATGAACCAGAAGCACAGAACACGAAAGCTAAGTCGAGAAACTAAACTTCACAAAGGAAGAGAATTAAGAAATTTCTACCACTGCGACGACGTTGGAAAAGTATATAATCTAATAGACAAACCTCTTTCAACGACGAAGCAATAATGAACTACACTGAATCACCTTAATCTACGAAAAGTTACAAAACCAAAATGCGCATTTCACTCAACACCCTACCGACACAGATGCGTAGAAACTTCCAAATTTCCAGAAACGTCCGAGATTCTTAAAAACCGACACGGCCTAGAAGACGGAATCGATTGAGATGCGAATTACGGAAAAGAACTGGGAAGAGACCACTCACCGTGCCTGGGCAACAGACGATTTGTAACGGATCAAACGCGAAACGATCGTCCTCATTTTGTGTTCGAAGCAGTAGAGAAAAGCAATTCGACGCAAAGAGATGAGCAAAGAAAATAAAATTTCGCTAAGAGAAGAGAGAGTCCGATGATGGCGATGGAGATGCGGAGAAAGCACGGCCAAATAACAGAGCAAAATGTCGAAAAGAGCGCTACAACACAGAACACGTCGCCTATTGAAAAGCTTCCACGTAGACCCTGACCCTGACCCGAGGATCCGGCTCCTACCTGATCCGAACCCATGGGAGGCCACGAGAGTCGCGCGTGGCACCAACGCGAGGTCATTAGATATTAAATTGGGCCAACATTAATTGGGCCTAATTTCTAATGGACCAGGATGTGGCGAGTTTAAAGAGAGCAAAAAGGTCTAGTCTTCAAAGGTGACGAGGCTATAGTCCGAGACGTATACGAAGGGAACGAGTATTTCGAATGATCCGGTTACATACTTGATGTATTTTGAAAGATCCTAAGAAGAAGGAAAATATTTTGAATGATCTCGAGGCATATATAACAATGGGAAAGAGTATTACAAGAAGATTAGGAAAGCTTGGAAAAGGGGTTACCTATTGTATGGACCACCAGGGACTGTAAATCCACCAAGATTGCGGCTATGGAGAATCATATGAACTATAGTATCTATGATCTCGAGCTCACAGCTATTGAGAACAACTCGGAAGAGAGACAATAACTTGATAAGCAAGAAAGATGGCGGAAACAGGGCAAAGATGATCAAAATAAGAGTAGATTCACACTCTCTGGGCTTTTAAATTTCATAAATGGGATATGGTCGGCTTTTGGACAAGAGGGGATTATCGTTTTCACCACAAATCATACGAATAATAATTAAAAAGACAATATTGCAATTCCTTTTTTCTTGGTTTGACGATCATATTTTAGTTTCTTTATGAAGTATTGTTTACAAAGTATAACCATAACATAAACCTTAATGGAAAAATCAAATGCAAATGTAGGATAACTATTATGTTCTTTTATACATTTATACATAAATATGTACAAATAGATGAATGCATATCACTATCACACATAATTATAAACTTAAACATTCGTATTTATTTATATATTTAATCCTAAATGCAAACACCATTAACGATCTGTAAGTTTGCTTGCTGTCTTTGAGGGAAGAGGACGCTTCGAAGACAACGTCCTGGTCCTAGAGGTTAGAGGGAACGCTATTTACCCTGTGGGTCACTGAATGCTTCTGAGTACTTAGAAGAGCGAGACTGGCGTTTGCTTCATTTCACCGTCTGAGCCGCTCTTATCTGCATCGGTTGAGCTACTTGCAGGGACCGGTTTTCGATTCACTGATGTCTCTGGTCTATTCCCTGAACCCTTAACGGTCACTTCATCGGTTAAGTTACTTGCAGGAACCGGTTTTCGACTCACTGAAGTCTCTGGTCTATTCCCTAAATCCTTAACGGTCACTTCATCGGTTAAGTTACTTGCAGGAACCGGTTTTCGATTCGTTGCATTCTCTGGTTTGTTCCCTGAGCTGATGTTCTCTGAGTTGATCTGGACTTGGTTAGTTTCATTGGGTGAGATCCTGAGGTCTCCAAGTGGCGGCATTTGATTGGCTTCCTTGGATGACGAGGAGCTGACGTGGCTTGATGAAGCTGTCTCCAAGAAACGAACGACGACACATGTGATGTTGTCTGCACTTCCTCTCTTTATTGCTTCTCCCACAAGTTTCTTCGCCGACTCCTCTGGATCTTCAACTTCCTTAACCATTGCAACTGCTTCCTGAAAAATATGATCATAGATTATAAAGTATTGTTGTCTGAAAATAGGAGATGTTAAAGAAACAATTAACTTCACATACCTCATTAGAGAATACATCCCATAGCCCATCACTGGCTAAGATCAGAAACTCAAGAGAATCATCGATCTTTTCTTCCTATATTCAATGACAAAAGGTTTCGAGAAAATTTTCAGCTGAAGAGCAAGAATAGGCCAGGAAGATCATATGCAATACGGTTCTTTTTAAAGTGATACCTGGATTTCTGGATCAGCAACAACATATTGCTTCAGAAGCCGATCACCAAATGCACGAGAAACCGCAAGAACTCCTCCAACCCTCCAAGTTCCTATTCAATTAGGACTATGTCTTGACAAAAGCATGGAGCATAAATTTATAATCCTATAGTTTCTTGTTACATACCTGCCCACATCACAAAGCCACCAGCATTCTCAATCCTTTCACGCTCATCACTTTGGTCAGGTTTATGGTCCCTTGACACAGCAATGGCTGCACAACACAGATGATTTATATCGAGGAAAATTTAGAAGAAGGCTAGTGAATTATCTATCAGGATACCACATGATATACATTAAAAACCATAACTGATGTCCTTGCAAATTACCATTTCCGCCTCTGCTGATTACAGCTCGTGAATCACCAACATTTGCAACAAGTAAACGATCACCGACAAGAATAGCTGTAGACGCAGTCGAACCAGCATCTCTATTGTGACTATTTTCTGACTTGAGAAGTTCAGAGTCTGTATGGTTGTAGGCATCAGCTGGAAAATTTGAAGAAAATTAGAGTGCATCGTGGATAAGGACATTGTGTTAAGAAAACAAATTTGTTCAGGTTTTTCTGACAGTACTTATAGCTGATTTGGTGTCAGAGATAAACTTTGGATGAGTGATCAGATTACTGAATAGATGACGCTTCACATACTCCGCTGCTCTGGCTCCACCGTGGCCTGGCAAAACAGTAAGTATACCAGTAAAAAATTTCTGTTTCCTAATTCAAAACTAAGCTATGAGATACCAAAACATCCTAATTCGCACCAAAACCAAGCTTCAGGTCATGACGCATGGCACAAATGAATCATCAAGATTCATAAGCTAGGCTAAAACTGATGATTATAGGTTTCTTGAGAGTAATGTATAATACCATCAAAAACTCCAAATAGACCAACGATTTCTCCATCGATACCGTCGATCCTCGTCTCGAAAAAGTCTTCCATAGATGCTCTCTTCCCAGCGGAGCTTGCATATCCATAGCTGAATTTTCCATTCTGGCTGAAATTGAATCATATGTCAATGTACAAAGCACAAGATCGTTTGAACATCCTTGATAAGAAGCAAATGAGCAAACAGAATCAATCAAGTTAAGATAGCACAACAAAGAAAAGAAGGAAAAAAAACGGATTTCACGTGAAGCCAAGCAGTTCTAAGATTAAATCGAGTGGAGATTAATGACCTGAGACCTCCTCCGCTCGCTGGAGCTTCAACAGTCTGTGTCTGGTTAGAATAGGACAACGCCAAATCCAGATATCCCATATTTCTCCAGAGATTTCAAACGCTTACTTTTATGAATCAACAGATAATCTGATCGGGAACTTCGTCTAATCTGAATGGAAAAAACAGGAAGGATCTCAACAACCACGATTCCGGAAACACAGAATCGATCGTAATTTTCGCAATCAAAAGGATACCTGAAAGTTCCATGAAAGGATCAGAAGGAGAGAGAAGTGACAAGTGAGGGAAGAGGAGAAGAAGATGGGAGATTCATGGTTGATTCCTGTGTTGAGAAAACAGAGAGAGAAACAAAAAGAAACAGGTGATCGACGTTTCGGGAAGGGAGCATATTCCGGCGATACAACTGCAAACAATGGTTTGGGTCGATTTATGCTAATAATAGAAAGTAGAAAGAACCAAAGCTAAAAACCAATGGCGGATGTACAAAAGCTGACACGTGACGCTCGTTGAAGCAAAGTGATGCTCGGCGTTTGGGACGACAATTAAGATAGTAAAGACAGAGTTATGGTATGTCTTATTTGGACCCACGTTATTTTAATTCAATTTGCAATAACTTAGAAATTGGGCCCATGGGCCATTGTTTCTTAACTTGAGTGGAGTAAGGATAAGACTACTCTTACTGCCAAACAGCAGCATAAACTTTATAATCGGAGAAGAGTGAGATTGGATCAGTACTAATCAGTCGACGGTACTGTCATAGTAGCTGCTTCTCGTCTCCGGAGGAATTCAATCAAACCCAACCGATCTGTTTGAGCTCAAGAGGAGGTTTTGTTTTCGTCTTTCATGGCGAAGGAACAGCACTTGCGGCCTTGGTTTCTCGATCTCGTACCGGCTTTGGTTGTTTTGCTCGCCGCAGCTCATGTCATCGCCTTGGTACTTGTCGTCATCTTATCGTTTCTTTTCTCTCTTGTATTTGAATATGGTCTTACCTCTGATTCGTTGATTCTCTTGGGGCTCGCAGGGTTACTGGATTTACAGATTGGCAACTGATCGTCGGCCTCAGAGAGGAAAATTTCACTGAGGAAACGTCCAATAGGTTCGTAATCTGAACAACGGTGGTACTTTAGTTTCAGAAACTGGTGGATTTTGCTTCGGATCTAATATTTGCGATTACGGGGTTCTTGTGATCACTGATTTTGTCACTTATGTATACGGAAATGTTTGCTTGAATTTCCGCTTAAACTAGAAAAAGGGTCATTCTTCCCAACTATCTTCAAGATGTCTTTAGGATCTGTTAACTATTTCGTTTTTACCTATACCGACATTTATCATTCATGCATTTTTCGGGTTGTCCTAAATAGATTTTGTAAGAGCGACAATCAGTGTTTTTCTCTGTGCTTGATGGTTGAACTGAGTTCTTGAGCACGACACTTCTGTTCTTTGTTCTTGACACCTCTCATTAACACCTCTGGATATCATTCACCGTCAAAGACTATTGCAGTCCTGTGATAAATCTTTCATAAAGAGAGCTCAGATATTGCCTAATGCTATAACTCTGCCTGTGTGACAACATATTTGTTGGTCGTTGATCAGTAATAAGTATCGGATTGAACATAAATCAAGGGATCTTTGCTATTGGGTTGTTTGGGAGCCTTAGGGCTGGGCAGAAGTATGGGATGCTCTTTAGGTTTTGGTTATCGTTTTGTTTTTGGATTTCTTGTTTGTTCATCGATTATCCGTGATAAATAAAGCAGAGATCAGCTATGTTCCTATCATCATGCTTTCTCGATCAATGTTTCTGTTTGACTCTCTTACCATCCTCACAAACAGATCATTAAATAGGTGGTTTCATATGGCAGGTATCCTTCAGTTGTGTTTCACACATTGTCTCTGAGGGTAAGGCCAAACTTCAATGCTTATCCACTTGTGTTAATCAAGACAGAGTTGTAGTCTCTGTATCGTTACTGGGATTATAAGATTCCTAACCAAGATCACTACTGCATAGTGCGAGAGATTTAACTAGAAGATGTAACCAAGAGTGGAACACTGTTTTTGGAAAACCATTTTATTTAGCTAGAAGTGATATTGAGTAGTCAGCGTTAAAACAAAGATCACGAATGTGTAATATTATTATAGGTTGTAACTTTGATTGATTAGAAACTGGTGATAAATAAAAGAAGACATTTCCATGGCAGGTTTTGGAGAGCTAATTAAGACTTGACAGCAAAACCAAGCCATTTTCTATGTGTAGTTTTCTCATTTCATGTTTTTTATTTTGCTAACGCTCATTTCATGTTTTCATTAATTTTGCCTTTGTTCTTGTCTCTTGACTTGTGGAATGTAGTTTCTTTCACTTTAAAAAGCCTGAATTTGCTGACATAGAGTCTTCCATTGACTACTTAAATTGTAGTCTTTTTAACTGCAACTCTAATGTTTGAAAATCTGACTTCCAGATATTACCTGATTATATATGTTTAATGTCGGTGGAGATACCGACTTGTTCTCGTATCCAATTTTAAGTTTTACCACTTGCTACAAATATCTATCCATTTAACGCTTTTTTAACGCGGAACATTGTTCGTGCCTTTGGATGCAACTTTTGTGATGAAAGCATTGAAAGCAACCAAAAGTATAGAAGTAATATATGTAAATGATTACTAATTGTATATTTTATTAATTACCAGCTACAAATGACAATGCATGCCAATTCCACCAACTAATTAGCTTTTATTTTTTATATTTATTAACAAATTAATGATAATAAGTCGACAAAAAAGTTGTTCGTGCATGCTGCCTAGTGCAATAATTATGATTCGTTGGTTAACAGGTGGTCGTACCAATAATTTCAATTGTAGGCAAATTATTTACCAATCAAACAAGAAAACATGAAAATGTTAGCATTTTTAGAAGAACAAATTTTTATTTTATGGATAAGATATAAAAAAAGATAACTTCAATAAAACGAAGAAGTAAATATCTCATATGATTGTCATTAATTGACAAAAAACATGAAACCAGAGAAGCCAAGGACACTTTTGGAATTGCTTATAAAACTCAAAATCCATTTCCTGCCCTTTATGTTATCATCACACACCGCACAAGTCGACTTTGGAGAGAGAGAAAAAGAAGGGCCAACGACCACATACACACCAAAACACCATGAGCCCTTCCAAGCAGCGACATCGCAGCTCCACCGGCGATAACAAGTCAAAATCAGTCAGATCCGGCTCCTCCGCCGTACCGGAATGGATTGCCGAAGCAACTAACGGCGGATCTCTTCGCCGCGTAAATCCAGACACAGGTACCGACGGCTGGGCTTCTCCTCCCGGCGACGTCTTCTCTCTCCGCTCCAATTCTTACTTGACCAAAAAACAGAAATCTCCCGCCGGAGACTACCTCCTCTCTCCCGCCGGCATGGACTGGCTCAAATCAAGTGCAAAACTTGACAACGTGCTAGCTCGTCCCGATAACCGCGTGGCTCACGCGCTTAGAAAGGCTCATTCCCGAGGTCAATCTCTGAAGAGCTTCATCTTCGCCGTGAATCTCCAGATTCCAGGTAAGGACCACCACAGCGCCGTGTTCTACTTCGCGACGGAGGAACCGATTCCTTCCGGCTCGCTTCTCCACCGGTTTATTAACGGCGACGACTCGTTCCGGAATCAGAGATTCAAAATCGTTAATCGGATCGTGAAAGGGCCCTGGGTAGTGAAAGCCGCGGTTGGGAACTATAGCGCTTGCCTTCTAGGAAAGGCCCTGACGTGCAATTACCATAGAGGTCCTAATTACTTTGAGATCGATGTCGATATAAGCAGCTCGGCCATCGCAACGGCGATTCTGCGGCTGGCGTTAGGGTATGTCACGAGTGTGACGATCGATATGGGGTTCTTAGCGGAGGCGCAGACGGAGGAAGAGCTGCCGGAGAGATTAATCGGAGCTGTTAGGGTGTGTCAAATGGAGATGTCTTCGGCGTTTGTGGTCGACGCGCCACCGCCCCAGCAACCGCCATCACAACCGTGTAGAACATTGAGTTCGGCGAAAGTTAACCACGATGAGGACGAGGATTGAGATTAAAATTGAGCACATACTATCATCAAAACCAGGTCAATGGTTATCCGAATACCATTTCTCTCCTCTCTCTCTCAAATGATCTGGATCATTTTTCATCAATCTCAGTCAAATCTATATTGCTTAATTTATTTTATGGATTTTGTAAATGATTATTTTTTCTCATCGAGAATTTTCATGATCTGTTAATGGAATTAAATCGAAATTCGGCGGATTGTCTTTTTTCCTATTGTTAGTCTGTTAGATCTGTTTAGTGACTTTAGTCATGATGAACCAAGAATATAAGGAATAGTCCACTTTCGTTGGAAGAAGAAGCGTGTGATGATATTTTAGAGTCGTGGGCCATATATGTGAAAGGAGCGAAAATGTTTGAAAACTTCTGAGAGATTTTAGACCGCAACGTTGAAACGCAAAATATGTTTCTTGTTAATTTTTATATTATTAAATTTAAGAAATATTAAAAAAGGAAAAAAAGGAGAGAGAAATTGGTAAGAGAAAAAAGAAGAAAGAGAAAGGAATAATTTTTTTTGCTGACTAATTAAAAACTGACAAGAAGAAACGTTTTTAATTGTTCCCAATTTCTGCATTTTATCCAATTCATTTCAATTATTATATTAATAAATTTTTGTTAGAGACGCTTAAGAGACAGCGTTGTGGATGCTCTTAGACCTCCAAACCCAAAAAAAGTTAGCGATGAATTTTATAACTTTCGTTTAAAAGATGGAGTCAGTTTCACTGAAGGAAAACAATTTCTGGTAGCTTTACAAGATTACACTAAACTATTAGCTTTTGGACTTTGAAATTAAGCAAACGTTTGGGCATCTTTGACGTTACTAAAAGTTTTATTTTTCTGGTGGGTAAATGATTAAATACAGACCACAGATGATCAGTTCTAGGATACCATAAAATGGTACATCAATGATATATCACAGAGAAATATGGAGTTAAAGGCAAATCTGTACCTTCATTTCTCAAACATGGCTAACCCCAATGTAAATAGTTCAATGTTTGTTCTAATATGGGCTTTTTAAACGGTCCAAAAACATTTTTGTGGTTCGCCAAGTTCACTCTGTTCGAATATTCAATGTACAAATTAAAGTTTGGGCTTCTATAATGAAAGGTGCAATAATGTTGTATCAACAGTTCAACACAACCTTATTACTGTACAATTACTTCAAGACCTTTCCCAAAATACATACTTAACTGGAGGATAGAGCTGATTTGTGCCAAATCCATAGAGAGAGAGAGACATAATTTTACCATATTTTTTTCAATTAACTACAGCCATTAGGAGCAAACCCGACCCGCCCGCCCGCACCATCGTAGACAACTTCTAGCGTTTGCTGCTGAACGTTTCCAAAGATGGCAGCGTTATTGTCGTCGCTATTCCCAGCGAACGCCAAACAAACCTGCGATACCTTAAACGGGTACAAAATCCCTTTCGAGCCAAGCTCCACGACGGCGCCGCCGCTGAAAGAGAACGCTACTTTCGGGATCGTCACCGTCTTAAATCCGGTGAGATCGAAGCACGTGTCCAGGATCGAGACGGCCGAGGTAGACGGATACTTTGACATCTTCGCCTTGAACGCGCTCCGCAGCGCCGCGTAGGCTTTCGGCGGAAGGCGAGAAATGACGGTTCCGGAGTCGATTAGAGCTCCCGGAGTAGAGAATACGGTTGATGGAATCGCCAATTTCTGACCGCCGACGGTGATTCCGACGATATCGAGGCCATAGAATGATGTGCCATCTGTGATGGTGGAAATCGGAGTGTATTTGACGGATCTAGAGATTCCGGCGGATCCGAATGTGAGATGTCCGGTGTAGCTAGCGGAAGAAGGAAGGCAATAGGAGAACATCTTATTGTAGGTCGTCGCCGTCTGAGACGGAAATGAGAGCTTGTCGCGGCCAAGTCCGAGAAGTCCGGCGACTCCGGTGAAAAGTCCTTGGTTGTTCTCGCCGCAGCCGAAATAAAGGCCGTCGAAGACATCGGAGCTCGTTAGGGTAAATTTCTCCTTGGCGAGAAATCCAACAGAGAACGATTGGTCGCCGTATTGAATACCGTAGAGGCAATTAGAAGCCGAACAACTTCCAGCGTTTCCTAATCGACGAAGAAAAGAAAAAAAAAACGGTTAGCGTTAACCGGATCTGAATTGGAAAATCGAAGCGGCAAACCGGGAATTCGAACCTGTAGCAGAAGAGAGAGATCCACACGCCGACGATGAGCAGGAGACGTTGTAGTAAGAAGAAGAGGAAGAAGGGTTAAAGATGGGTTCCTTTTGTGAATAGCAAGATCGAACACATGGCTCGCATTGAGTCCACGTCAGATCGCTTCCGGTATCGAAGATCAGAGACAGATCGTGTTTCGGCGTTCCGATTCCGACCGTGACTACGTAGTTTCCTGATCCGAATGTGCTTCCGTCTTTTGCCGGTAGATCCGTGGACTGGCTTTGCCTGACTCGATCTGTGAGTTTCTTCGATAGTTTTGAGTGGATGGATTTTACGCGCGCTTGGTCGAGTCTGAGGACCTCGACATGGTCTGGACTCTTGGCTTTGCCACTGGTTAAACGCGAGCACGTGCCGTGTCTGTGCGTCACGTGCAGTGAGGACTTTGTCTTAGACGCTGAGTAGATCATTTTCGTTAGGCCAAAAAATGTAAAGTATCACACGAAAAAAAAAAAATGCATTATAATATTTTGTGGTTGTTGATGATGTATTAGTATATAACGAAATATAAATGGAAAATTACTTTCTTGTAATTTCAACTATTCAAACAGAGTTGTATTCATAATTATTTATTCACTCACTTAACTAGCTACTAAAATATTGATTACAGCTATATATATGTTTGTCGTTTTTCCTGTTAAACATATATACTATTTGAGACCTAACTATCGCTTTCTATGATCCTGTGATGGCAATATTGATGCCTTAATGGCAAGAATCTGGCCTTAATTGTAATCTGATTGATATAAGGGAAATCAAGAGTGTAAATATCGATGCTTAATAGCAAGAATTTGACCTTAATCTATTCATCTACTTTATATAACAAAATGAATCATCAGAAATTTAACTGGTTACGAAAATTACCTCTGCTAGAAAGAACACAAGATGATGAAGAAGGGAAGAGAGAGCTGAGTTGAATAGTATGAGAATCAATCTCTCTCTTCTCTCTTTCTTGAGCTCCCTCGTTACAGTCCCAACTGAGACATACACAAAGGACTATTATTATATTTAATAAATTCCGGTTAAAGCTCATTTTGCTCTCTTTTTCTCTCTCTCTCGATAGTAGAATGATTACTCTACATGAAAATGGTTGGTCCTTTATAACCAATCTCTTTGCTCAAGAAAGTCTATGGTGGAGGTTGTTAAACCTTAGAAGCAATCGAGTCACATATCACAAAAGTTATGGGATTCTATTCAATTGGTTTCATTAACCAGTTAGGTAGCGACACATCATTTGGCAAAGGAGTATTGTTGTTATTTTTTGTGTTTTGTTTTTCACGCACCAATCTTAATTAAGCAAAATAATAGGGGATAATATTCCACTACATGATATTCATTGAGTATTAAACTAAGTATGTGTCGAATTATATGCGTAAACGTGACTACGTGAGTGATGCTTATCAATGAATTTGAGATTCAAATATCCAGTGATCAATCGATGAATTGAAACACATGTACGTAGATAATTTGTTCCTTGATAATTGCATGATTGTATTTCCATTGTGATATATTGGCCAAGCAATGGAAGATCGAGTCGATTCATAATTATAAGTCTCCTATTACGAAGAAGACTGATAAAACAATAATGCAACCAATAATCAAGTCCAAATAATTAGGCGATATTATTTCACAACCTATCACTTGATTAAAGCATACTTATGCGTATACATGTAAGTAACATATCATATGTTTGGATTAATTGGGAAAACAAAGGTGTTGCTTCACGTAATCAATCTAAAAAAAAAATCATTTATGTAATTTTCAATAAGCATTTGGTAGAATAGAACGTAAAACAGTTCAAGGAATTTATGCTAAAAAAGTTGTGAAGTTAAACGACAGTTGCACAGTACGTGATTTGTATTTCAATTTTTTTCTCTTATTTAAAGCATGATTTTAGACTACATACATATATGGCTATCAACACGTTGAATACATATTGCTCAACTTAGTAGAGACTACTATTTTAAAGTATTTTGATAAAAATTGAACTGTGCCATTTATATATTTCAATAATTAATTCAGGGAACGTCATCAAACGAAATTTTTTTTTTATATATTGTTTTTTTTTCTTATTTTTGTGTTTCTATATCTACTTACATATAAGTTTTCTTATTCGTCAATCGTCATCATACTTTTGGAAGAAACTGTACATTTTATTTCCGTCGTCTATTTGGTTTTTTTTTGGTAACAGTCTTAAGAAAATAATAATATTAAGAAAGTAAACGAAGTGATGGTAATTTGTAACCGAAAACATCCATGTATGATTGAGATAATGTGTCCATAATTCAATTAATTGAATGTGTGGGCCCGCGTTACATTTCCCGGAAATTGATTTGACAAATATTACGAGTTCAAGTGGGGACAAAAGATAAAAGATTCTTTATAAGAATCTGTTAATGTAGTGAAGGTGGGATAAAGCTGGAATCTGTACCCTAATTTCTAGAAACTTAGAAAGTGACTAATCGCCTAATTCTTCTAATGTTGGGTTTTGGAAACTCGACAGTCGTCCAACCTAATTACTACTCCATGTTTGGGTTTCGGAAACTTGACTGCTTAACACTTCGTGATTATTTTGGATCAATTTGTACTAGACAGTTAATTTAAAATATTAGCAAGTCAGTAATTTTGTTTCTTTTTTTCTATATGGATGTTGGTAACAGTCTCAGGCACGACTCTGATTGGGTTCATCAATTATCATCACAGTGTAGGTTAGGACTTACGAGTATATGTTTGTCTTAGACAGAGATTTTTTTTTTTAATTACTGTTTGGTGATTTACCAAAAACCTTATCGATACTTTACTAATTATAAACGCATAATATTATTGATAATATATGTCGTTGGTTCCAAATATGAAACTCTGTTACCCACTTACCCTGTCTTATTGAAGCCCGAATGGAGTGATATTCATTATAATTTTATTTTATATCATATTGTATCCATAGACGGTGGGTGATTCGTATTTTATTCATTTACTAACGAACACTTAATGTCACTCTTTATATGAGTTATCATATATATATATATATATTTTTTTTTATAAAAAACATGAGTTATTATCAAGATAATGCTAAAAGATAAAGGCAAACACAACATTGAGTGTTTTAAAAATATTTAAATAATTACAACACTTTATTACCAAGACTTATATTTCAATGATTAGTATTAGAGTGCTAGTATCTTTATGTCCCACCCACATTCGAATTTAAAGTTTAAAATATGCATTGCATGCGATACACTCGTTAATTTAAATAATTCAGATAAAATGATATATTGATTATTAGAAATCTGGAGTTTTAGGTTTAAAGAAAATACATGTTTTTTAATTAAAATATCCTTGTTTTCATATGTGGTGGCTATCACCCTCTAACAAATATACATGGTCAAATTGAAAAGAAAGAAAAAGACACTTGACAAAGAATAATTGTGGTTTTGTAACTGAATATCAATTGTTATATTTTTTCCTCTGAATGAATCTGAATATCAATTATTGAAGCTGTAGTTTTAAATTATAAAGCTGGTGTAGCATCGGGGAACTTCTTAGTTGTCACATTACATTCCATACTTCCACCACGGATTATGTTCAAAGCCGACGAGTTTTCCACTAAAATCTTGATCCATTAAGTTTTAAAATTAAATACGATTTTCACTCGTATGGGAGTATCTTATTTCAAACCAATTGATTTTAGGTTCTATAGACAGTAGTTAGTCTAGCGTGTGCATCTTGCTGTTATCAGCCTAGGGCAAGCTGCTAAAACCAGAGCTGTGCTTACCATATAGTGAAAAAGGCTTTCGCCTCAAGCCCCCAAAATATGTTAATTTTTCAGGATCCCCATTTTCTTAAGAGGTGGTTAAGTGGTTTATGGTTGGCATGAAGTCTTTTTTTACATAAGATGTTTTCTTATTTTTGTTTATAAGAAAGAAAAAAATGAATAGATATAGGAAATAGATTAAGATTACATTCTCCCAATAGTTTTAGGAAATTGATTAAAATTTGTTTAGATTATCGGCTTTATAACATCCTAAAATAAGACCAAAACCTTAAAGCCCAAGAGAAAAAAAAAATTCATAGATTGCTTATCAGATATTGCTGACGATTCCAGTTTCAGTTGCCTTGGCTGAAAGAAGTTTTTCAAAGTTGAAGTTGATAAAGTCTTAGTTGCGATCAACTATGTCACAAGAAAGATTGAATGGCCTATCTATCATATCTATAGAAAGAAAACTAGTTAATGACCTCGATTATGAGAGTTTGGTGAAAAAGTTTATTGAAAAAGAAGGAAGAAAGATTATGTCTTAATTAGTATTTTTAGATTAAAATTTTATTTTTGAATATTTTAGATGATTTTAAAATTATATTATATTTTTTTGTTAGAAAACCTTTTTTTTAAATGAAAAATGCCCTATTTTTTTAGTTTGCTTTAAGTCCTTATAAACCTTCGCACGGCAGTGGCTAAAACGTGGCGTTTTCATTTTCATAGGACCTACTTAATTCAGTCTCAGAAAATCGGACAAAACTATGTTATATATCCAGAGTGATGTATTATACTATTATCGATAACGTTGCCTCTCTTCTTTCTTGGGTTGTCATCTTTTTGTTAGAAACGAGAATGAAGCAAACTACTAATTGCATTACCCGGATTAAACCGAAACTCTACCGGTATAGAAGCCCAAGAACTGCATGGGTTGGTAAAGGGCCAGTAAACAATTTCAAGCATTGCGGAAAAGCCTTATAGTGGAATAAAAGAATCTAAGATCCATAAAAAAACTGGATCCGGGACAAAAGGCTCCGAACCCGGCTTGAAGAAACGGGTTTGGACTGTAGGAGTAAGATTTTTTAAGCTTTCCTTCTCAGTTTCAGAAACGAAAAAAAGAAAAAGAAAAAACTATTTACAAGGAAACATCTAAATCGTATGAAAATAAATCCGATCTAGGCCTCTTCTTCCCCGATTTCTCTCTCTGTCTCGTCGATCGAAGACCTTAGGTAATGGATAAAGGCAAAGCAGTGATGGGTACTGGTCGGAGATGGGCCGTCGATTTCTCCGATCAGTCCACTGTTCCATCTTCCCGCGACATCCTCGATCCCCCTGGCTTCTCTCGTGCTTCTCCGGAACAGGTTCTTCTTCGTTTCCGTTTTGATTTTGAATTTCTTGGATTTTCTATTGTATTCAGATTGGATTCGAAGTTTTAATTTGGAATTTTATAGGTAATTGAGTTGTATTGCTACTGTTTTTTTTTTTTGTTCTACGGGTTATCATTGATGATTTGGTTTTCAGGATGATTCAGCAACCAGCCGCCAAAAGAAAGACGCTGAAGCTAATTGGAAACTTCAGGTATTTATGTCAAATCTAAAAGTCGTATCTTAAATTGTACGGAATCGATCTTGGTCCTGCTATGTAGATCTTAAAAGCCATTGACTTTCCGTGGATTTGGAGTGTTATAGAGCTTACACAAGACTATATTTTCTATGCGAGATTGGGGTTTGATGTGAATTAAGTGCTAACAGAGATTTGTTTCCTTGATGTATTGAGTAGAAAGCATGGGAAGTAGCGCAATCTCCATTTAAGAATTTGATGATGATGGGTTTCATGATGTGGATGGCTGGAAACACAGTTCATCTATTTAGCATTGGTATTACATTCTCTGCTCTTTGGCAGCCTATCAGTGCTCTCCAGAGTGTTGGAAAGAGTAAGAAACCTTCTTCACTACATCTATTCATCTTCGCCTAAACGCAAATTAGACATCCAATGGTCACATTAGTTAGCTTGTCATATACAAATACATGCAGTTTATCAAAGATCTTTCATCATCATCATCATGTGCATTAGCATCAGTGAAGCAAAAAGGAATCATTTTTAAGTTTTTTTTTTATATCTTAATACTACTATCTGGTTTGTGAATTGAAGTCTAGTATCGTTTATCCTTATATTTAACCTTTACCCTTGTCTGCAGTTTTTGAGCCATTCAAGGATAATAAGGTGGAACTACTGATGCCGAAACTTTTGTTTCTTGCCCTAAACCTTGGAGGGTTAGCTTTGGGTATCTGGAAGGTGAGACATTTTTCTTTTTTTCCTCATAGTTTCCTCTTTCCCTTTTGCATTACGGCAGCACTGCCTTAGATTAGAAGTATAAAGTACTGTTTTCTTATACAAAGAACGTTCACTTTCTCAGCTCAACACTTTGGGGCTCCTTCCAACACATGCATCAGATTGGGTTTCATCTCTACCCCCTCCTCAGGTTGGTAATTTGTACCCGAAGCAAAATACTGTCCATATGTTTCTGCATCATCCCTGAAGCAAGAAGCTGGCATTTTTACTCATCATCTCTAACCTACACGTCTTGTTTTCTCCTCTCTTTTTTCTCAGGAGGTTGAACACTCGGGGGGAGGGTTCGTTTTCCACTGATGAATCTGTGTCTTTTGTATTTTAAATAAACCACTTAAAATCGCGAGAAGACAAAAATATTTTATGAGATAACTGAACCAGATACTCAAGTGATTTTTTTCAATCCTGTCATGAGGGGAAGCTTCATGTGGACCTTCTCATCTTGTCATCTTCTTGTAGCAATTTCAAAAGTCATATACTATAGCTTTTTCACTTTTAAGTATGATGTTCATTGTTCATCATAACCATTAATGTATTATTGACACTGAAGGGACCTATTTCCCAGCTTTTTGTTTTTCATCTTTTTAGACAGTAATGGATAATGTTTCAGGCTAAAGTTTTTCTCTTTATTGCTTTCACGTATGTTTCTGAATGAATCCAATGAAATCGTAGTCGTGACTCAGAGACCTTCTGGTTGATCCAGAGGGTCACAAGGTGGACTCGTAGGTGCTATGGAAACTAGGTCAAGTTTGGGAAGCACAAGATGTGGAACAAAGTGCAGTCTTTAGAATCATGTAAGTCGGTCTACTCAAATACTCTCGACGACAAAAATGTTAAACTTTAATGATTATAAGATTACGAGAAATAAAAGATTTTACAGGAAAACCCAAAAAAAGAAAAGAGAAACAAAAAAAACCAAGAGAAATAGATATTTCCTCACTAATTTCCTTCTATCTTCTTCCGTTCTTCTAGTGATTCATAAACGAACAAATGAATCTAATACGCTAACTTGATCCGATTTTTTCTACCTTTTTTTGGGTATACATCACAAGAGATTTTGATTCTTTGATCTCAAATACTCATACCTCGTTACTGTTTTTCTGAGATTTTTTTTTGTCTGAATTTTTTATTCGTCTCGAGCGAATCTGAGTTTGTTTTCATGTCCGCGAGGATTTCATTTCTGAAAAATCCCGATCCCTGCAATCACTTATCTGATTACAAGCTTAGATATGGTACTGATGGTTACAAATCCTTCCAGAAATTGTTCAGATGCTTCAACGATGGAAGAACTAAGATCAAACCACAAGAAATCGAGATACCCAGATGCAGTTATTGTTCGGTCTATCACAGAAGACTCTACATCTGTTTGATCTGTCGTTCGATATCTTGTTCAAGCCACATCCTTTCGCATACCCAATCTAATAAAGGACATGATATCGCCATTGATGTCGAAAGATCTGAGCTTTATTGCTGCTCTTGCATCGATCAAGTGTACGATCCTGAGTTCGACGAGGTTGTCGTGTCTAAGCAGCTTATTGGTCTGTGTATGTCTGTTAAATCAGGAGCCGATGTCGTTGCCGTTAGATCGAACAAGAAGAGGAGATTAGACTCGCAGCTGATCATAGGATCCAAGTTTTTGGTCTCGTCTAGAGATCGAAGGGAAAAATGGTCGTTTCCTCTGGGATTGAGAGGTTTGAACAATCTGGGAAGCACTTGTTTCATGAATGCTGTGTTACAAGCACTTGTTCATGCTCCTCCTTTGAGAAACTTTTGGTTGAGTGGTCAGCATAATCGTGATCTTTGTCCGAGAAGATCAATGGGTTTGCTGTGTTTGCCTTGTGATCTTGATCTTATCTTCTCGGCAATGTTTTCCGGTGATCGGACTCCTTATAGCCCAGCTCATTTGCTTTACAGGTTCGATTTTCCTGCTTCTTCATTTTGTCTATACAAAGATTTTCTAGAATTTCGCAGTCACATTGTTTATATATGTTTGTGAACATGAGTTTATATCCTCATAGACTTTATGTGATGCTGATTTGATATTTTTGGGTTCTTTTTTTTTTTGGCGGGTGAAGTTGGTGGAAGCACTCAACCAATCTAGCTACATATGAGCAGCAGGATTCTCACGAGTTCTTTATTTCTCTATTGGATTGTATCCATGAGAACGAGGGAAAGTCGAAATGTCTGTATAAAGGTAATTGGGAACAAGAGATTGTTATGTGTTGTACAACTTTATATATAGTTTGGGAATGCTGTGAGTTGATGAAATCTTCAAGATGGAATTTTTATTTCGATGTTTTTCCCTTTCGATACGGATAAGGTCTTTTTTGTTTGCTTTCTTGGTGTTGCAGATCATGAAGAGTGTCAGTGTATCACGCACAGAGCATTCTCTGGTCTTTTAAGATCAGATGTCACCTGCTCAACGTGCGGATCCACGTCAACAACTTACGATCCATTTATCGACATTTCACTTACTTTAGATTCAGCGAAGGGATTATCTCCCGCAGATTGCAGAAAGAACAGAAACAGTGGTGAACCAAGCGTGAACGCACCCATGCCAACTCTCTCAGGTTGCTTAGATTTCTTCACACGGCCAGAGAAACTCGGTCCGGACCAGAAACTGAACTGCCAAAGCTGTGGAGAAAAGAGAGAATCTTCCAAACAAATGTCCATAAGAAGACTTCCTCTGCTTCTTTGCTTGCACGTAAAGCGTTTCGAGCATTCTCTTACCCGTAAAACCTCGAGAAAAATCGATAGCTACTTGCAGTATCCGTTCCGCCTTAACATGTCTCCTTACCTCTCTTCCTCCATCATCGGAAAGCGGTTTGGGAATAGAATCTTTGCCTTTGATGGAGAAGGTGAATATGACGGTTCATCATCATCGTCGTCATCAGCGGAATTTGAGATATTTGCAGTTGTAACTCACTCGGGGATGATGGCATCGGGTCACTATGTGACTTATCTGAGGCTTAAAGGTTTGTGGTATAGATGCGATGACGCATGGATCAATGAGGTTGAAGAAGAAGTGGTTAGAGGGTGCGAGTGTTATATGTTGTTCTATGCACAAGAGAGAGTGATTCAAAAGGCTCACAAGGAATTGAGTTATCAAGTTATCTCCATGGCTGATGCATTTCCCTTTGCTGATTGCTGACTCTTTTACTTGGCCAAAGATTTTGATGCATTTTACCTTAATACTTTTTTTTATTGATTGAAGGTTTATGCAAAATATTTGGAAAGCCAAGTTTAATGATCAAATTTCTTTTTTCACCACTCAGTGCTCAAGGTTATCACATTTTCATATGTTCTGTTTCCATTTTGTTCGTGTTTAGAATGATGTCACTCTTACGTCAGCATCAACTAGAAAACAACACCAAAAATGCGCAAATATAACTACTTATTGAGTGAATGAAGAAACCAAGAATTAAGCATCGTCTTCTTCTGCTTAGCCAGTTGTTCTCACATGCAAATTCTGCAGAAAACCCAAATATCTAAAACTGGGACGTAATACACAAAAACTATGTGTTCTTAGATATTTTTCAGAATCAAGAAAGAAACAAAAGAGGTTAAAAAACAACTTTATAGAAACAACATTCCACGTGTCCTGCAGACCAAACAAACAATCATTTCATCTCATCTCAAGCCTCGTCTGCGCCAATCTCTGTCTCGCTCTCTGCTTCTATCATGATCGTCTCTCTCATGATTTGAGCTTTTTTCTCTTCGTTCTCGATCCTTGTCCAAATCATGTTGTTGCCTACCTCTATCTCTGTGTCTTTCTCTGTCCAAGTCATGATCTCTTACTCTTTCTCTGGTTGATGATTTCTGTGGTGGACTTTGACTTCGATTCTGGCTCTCACTTCGGTATCTCTTTCTAGATGATTCTCTAACATCTTCACGCCTCTCCTTTTTCTCTGGTAATACTCTCTCTGCAGTTGAGAAAAAGCAGTGTTCATTTAGTTTTCAGGTATTATTTATATCGATACAGACATGAACATGGCCATGTACACAAACTAAAGAATTTGCAGCAAGAGGCTTCTACCGCAAAAGGTTGTTGTAAATGTGGAACAATTTCTCCAGTACAAATATTTTTATTGGGGTGCGGTAGTATGAAACTTACGATTTTCTGATAAGCTATCAGCTTCAAGTTTCTTTCGCTGGATTGTGACTTTTCTTTCAATCTCCTCAGAGTTTCTCATCCCCTGTTCCTCGAGAGATTCTCGATACTCAATCAAAGAAACCTCTATGCGTCTAAGCTTTTGTCTGCAGAAACAAAGAGCAAAAGTAAGGCAACATCTCATAACGAAGTTTCTACTGATGCATATCAATTGGTCCGCATTTGCTTTTTATGACATTGTCAAAAGCGAGCAATCCACCTCCAGGATAGACCAAGAAACCCCATACTATGTAATGTTTGTTGGTCAAACAAAGCCACATGAAGAAATAATGCTGAAGAACAAAGTCTATCATGCAAATCATACCTTTGCACCTCGTCGATTTCATTTTCAGGCTGGACACGAACACTTGGATCAGCCTTGAGATCCTCTTCATCGATATTGAAAGTTATGCCACCAGCATTGTCGCTTCGTGAGGAGTAGCTCATCTTATGTTCATCATCAGTTTCATCATCCTCTCTCGCCCATCTGGAAGCTGGCAATATGAGGTTATTTTTCTCGTTTTTCACAAATGCTTTCAGTTCCGGCAGTGGGATTGGTATTGTCAAGGGCAGATTCACAGGCTCTACAGTTTCAACTTTATCATAGCTTGCCCTCATCCGCTCAGGCTCAGTATGAACTTCTTCCCAAGTTGAATGTCCCTGTGGATACTTTGCATTTTCATCTTCTACTTCGTAGAAACGTTGTTTCTCTGCATCTTCCAGGCTTAGCAGCCGAGCAACCATCATCTCTCTACCCCCTACAAGTGACAGACCATTGTGTCTGCAGCGTCTCTCAAGCTCAGAAACTGGTAGATTCATCAGCTCTTGCCTTGCAGCTCCTTTGCCAATTGCAAGTGCAGCGTCTTGATTGATCTTATCAGCATTGTTCATATTACCCATGTGACATTTCTTCTCTATATCAGGCGTATCACCACAGATAGAGTGAAACGTGGTAACACCTGAGTTTCCTGATCGAAGAAACGTGGCACGTAGTCCATTTATATATGCATCTGAATAGAGAAACCAATCTGCCCATACCTGCAGTACCTTAAGAACTCGTTCCTGCAAAAAATGAGATTGAGTTTACAACAGAACTTGCGAACTTAAAGCAACATAAGAAGAGCATTTGCTTTCTGATATTACTTTCAGAGCCTCAGCTGTAATTCTTCCAGTTACACTGCAGTACAGATCATTGAAGCTTTCCATTATATCGGGTAATGTTGCTTCGAATTTCGTCCTATATGCAGAGGCATTTTTAACAGGAGCGCTGCTATTATGAAGAATATCAGACACAAGCATGAGTCTTGCAACTTTCGTTGGAATCGGTGTCTCTTTCAGGGTCAACGATTCTGTCAGAACTTCAATGACCTATGAAATAAGTAATATTTGTTATAAGAAAAAAGCCTGAAGATCTTAGTCAAATGAAACGTAGTCTACAAGTGAGGCAGTTGATAAATAATTGCTTGATAAAAAAAGGGAACTCAAAACATATGTTGATGCTTCTGAAACAATTCTATTAAACAGAGACCAGATTCGTCAACGTAATCCAGAACAAATTATACCTCTCCAGCTGCATCTGCGTTATCCAAAGCAAAACCCATAGCTTCTTTGATTTGACTCCTTTCTAACGTTAGAGCTCGCAACATGTCCTCAAATTCATCCCTTTGAGGATCGGTTAGAGTTTGGTCAGCTTCCACGCGCTGTTATTCCAGTGGTAAGGTATCAATAAACAAACTTCTCCAAAACTATGTAGAAAAACATTTGAAATGTGGAGACTGCAAGGGGATTACCCTGCTTCTCCCAGCAGCATATGTGCCTGTTGACTCTTTTCCATGCTCTGGGCTCCTAGTTGCAGGCAGCTGTGGAGGAATCCATCTATAACGAAGAAAATCAACTTAATGCAATACAGGCGCAAAGGTAAACACAATCCAGCACTGGACTCAGTTTCAAAGCTGGTTAGGTTATATACCTTCCACTTCCAGTTATCATGATATACGGCTCTGTTCTCCACCTTTGGAGGGTATCACCCTAAATAACACCGAGAAAAAATCACCAGGGTATGACAAAAATGCAAGAATATCTCATATATTTCTAATTATGAAACATTTAAAATGTACCTGAGCAAAGGAATAGAGCCTCCAGACATAGTAGGTATGCTCCTTCGAGCCCAGCTCAAACAAGAAGTTAAATAGTGGATTCCCGCGCCCCCTCTCCATAATAGCTTGTTCAAAAGCGCATCCGCCGTCCAGCACATTAAGGGCCATTGTATCAATAACATGTTTGAGGTGCTCATCCTCAGGACAAACGACAGTGATATCCGGAACATTTGGGGTAAGAACCTAAAGATGAAATTCAAGTTAACATAAGAATGTTTGTGCTAAGATCCAAATTTTAACACTGAGGCAGTATTTAGTAACTCAAGCACTTATCAAATACATATGGAACTATTAAACCACATATGTATGCCATATGGACCAAATTTGCATACCAGCTCAGAATTTTGATTTGGAACAGAAGTTATTGGTGGACCCGATGTACCTGAAAAGATTAAGTTGCAGCCCTGCCAAAAAAACAACTATAAGAGTTGCATATAAAACAAAACCAGCAGTCATGAACTATATCTGCTGAAATGAAACGAAGCAACAGTAACTTTCGGGGATGAAGTTTTGATTCGCTAATGATACAATTAAAGTCGAAATGAATCTCAGAGGACAGACCTCCTTACTCCGGATTGCCATATGCCCCGGAGGTGGAGCTGGTAATGCTTGTGATGGCAGAGCAACCGCTTTACCCCATCCAATTTTCAGCTCATTATCGTACACAATAATCCCTGTGAGACAGGGTGAAAATATTTGTAATTGCGTTGCATATCATCACATCACATGCATGGAAAGAAGCACATTTATTGAAGAATCAGATAGTCAAAGATCAATAAATTTATATTGTTAGGATTGTATAAATGAAGAAGGAAAAAATTGAAGTACCAAATAAAAGCAATAACCCTGACCAAAAAATGAACTCCCTACGTATGTCTTCTACTGAATACCGTTATGTAATTTCTTTTCATGAAAATCAGGCTATGCACAAAAGAACCCGATAAAATTTGCTGATCTGAAGCTTTTTGGGGCTAAAATGCTATAGCTAGAATAAGAACCTAAGAAAAAAAAGAAATCTACAACAATTCTTCTTCATTCTTTGATCTTTTGTCATTATGTACTCTGTCTATTAACATCTTTCAGTTAAGAACCCCCACAAACATACACAGTTCGGTGCAGTACGGTTTAGCTAACCTTGCATTTCATCTTTGGCAGCTTGTCCATCGGCTCTATTCATGAAAGCAACAAAGCCACAATGTCTTTGTCGCCTTTTCTCCTCCTCTGTTCTTGGCCACATAATTTTAACACTAGCTATGGGCCCAAACCTTCCAAACGTCCGCAGGAGAAAATTTTCATCAACCTAATAAAGACAATATCACAAAATCTTGGTTAGGGAAGAGAATTATAAAATATTGGCTAGATCAACGCAGGAATTCAAGTTGGCAGTGAACAAACCTTAGGTGAAAGATTCCCAACATATAGATTCGTAGTTTGTGGGTCACCATCGTCAAATGACCCTAGCCTTCCACTGGGATCAAAATCATCAAGTAGCTCATCAAAGCGGCTAGATGACTGAGAGAAGTACAACTTTAGTACATAAAGCAGTACAAATCTCTCTATAAATAACAGTATGTATTTGGATAAGGAATAAAACAGTGATGTAGATAGCAAAGACTATTGTGAACATACCGTGTTATCGCTATGATGGTCATGGGGATTAGCACGATCCTGGTTTCGCCTTTCTCTCATTTCCTGTTCACGCTTTAGCTCCTCCATAAAGTGATCTATGTTTCGAGTCTTTCCCTTTTCTCTCTCCTTTGATCTCTCTTCTTCCCTCTAGAAAGCGGAAAACGTGTACTTAAAACTAAACCATTACTCTACACCAAGAACCGAAATAATTAAAAGAACAGTGACAAGGTCCATCACTACTGACCTTATTCTCTGGTTCTTTATTCTTAGATGCCAATGGTGGGGGGAGAAAGGAGGGAACATACCTGCATAAATTACGTGGAAGGTAATCTTCTATATCACAAGAGAAGAAGAGACACTGATTTCACATCTTTCAAGCCATATGCGTGAACATCATTCTAAAAAAACCTCAGGTAGTTGCTATTTATAGGTGACAGAAGTTTATTGTCTTTCAAACATCACAACCATAAGATAAATGTAATTCGACTCTAGCCATTGTAAGAAACACATCAAAGTAATATAATCATCAACACAAACGTCGAACAATCTTTGCTTATGATGCCTCTGCTAGACACCACTGATTAATCAAAAGAATTCAGTTTTACCTACTCCCCTTCTTTGAAATGGTACCCCCATCTCTGGACTTTTCACCTGTCATCCGCGAATGCATAGAAAAAAACAAAAGGGTCCATACTTTTTTATTAACATGTCCCTCAATGTAATAGAAACATTATTCTACCAATCAACATGATCAAAACAATTAAAACAATACAATGAAGACAAAAAGAAGAAGAAGAAGAAAGCTGTAATAAATGAGCTCTACTCGATGAACCCCAAGACTAACCTTGAGAATCAGGCTTGGGCTTATCATTGGGATTGATTGTCCCACCTCGAACGAAAGTCTTAGCTGCACTATCCCCTTGAAACGATTCCACGAATTCCTGATACAGACGAGCTGTTTCATCCTCAGCTTTCTGCATTACGATGACAAAAATTCCTCATTTATCAATATCCCGTGGAAACCAGTTTCACCCTATTAAGGATTAAAATAGCTAAGAAAAAAGGAAAAACAAAAAAACAAAACCTTCTTCTTGGCTTCTTCTTCTTCTCTGTGTTTCTGGAAGGGCGTTTTCTTTCGAGTGATCGAGAAGGAACTCATCTTTCAGCATCAAAACTTGTCTTGAAACACAAATTTATGCGGGAAACCTATATAGAGAGGGAGATTGCGTAGACAATCCTATAGCATCCACACTAAAACCCTTTGCAAATCGACACCAAAAAAGTATCCAAAACCGAAATTGCAGATTGACAAAATATGTTATCCAGCTCGGATCAGGGGTCGAGGGATCGAGAACGGAGACGAACGATCTCGGAGCTATGGCTCTGAAAGAAGACAGCTCGAGCTCAATTCAAGTAGACGTGATATCCCTCAAATATACAAATAATTTTTTTGTTTTATAGGAGCTCAAAACAAAATTGACAAATCAGATTAATTGGATGTTTTTATCTATAAACTTGAAGAAAGATGTTGATAACATAAACTTTATTTTTAAAGAATAAATAAGAAAACATTCCCATCAAAAAAAAAAAAAAAGAAAACATTCCCATCAAATTTGATCAACTGTACGAGAAGAGATCCCTAGTAAATCATGCGATTAAGTTTTGAAAGTAATAAAAATGAATCTAGGGCTGCAGGTGTTTGGACAGATAATAATGCATAAAATTTGGATAGCATATAAGTTACTTAATGTTATAAACACATCCAATGACCACAACATCATTCTCTTTAAATCCACATATTATCTTGTTGTACATTATTATATAGCGGCTGATGATGTTTTGAGTGGCCTCTCTCAAGTTTTATATATCTTCTTCTTCTTCTTCTTCTTCTTTTTCATCTGGATCCATTGGCAAGTCTCTTAAGATGGCTAAATGCCTTCTGCTTAATCCACAGCCTGTCATATGGCAGATACGCATTCATCGAGTGTTCATAGCTGCAATAGGATAGTGTCACACAAAAATAGGCTTTGTTAGTACAGGAATCATTGTCAAAACCCCTTAAGATTCTCAACTTTGTACAGCAACCAACAAGATCGATAGTATTAACTTAAAGGATCAAGCATTGTTAGGATCAAACTGATGGGCATAACATAAGCATCCGTGAAAGAGAAAGGGGCAGGCTAGACTTACACCAAAGCGCTCATGTCAGCGAGACCATCGATAAAATTGTAAAGATCAGCAATGTCATAACTAAGATTCCTGAGAGATGGGTTAATTTCCTTCAACTTCCTTTCGTATAAGCCGCAAATACCTGTTCAGAAAAACCAGACAGTTCGGCATATGTGGAAAGAATTCGAATTTTTACAACTAAAACAAATTTGTTGTCATATAACCAGAAAAGCTTCCCAAATTCGTTTTAGACTCAAAAGAAAAGGCCAACTTAAAAACAATTTCTTTTCTTCTTCATGCTACTTCCTACGCTCCATTAGCACACAAATTCATAGCCAAAACATGAATCGGATACAAGTAACACGATTTGCTTTCCTTAGATACCATCCAACCGCAATGACATCAGTATGGTTTTACATCATTCATTAATAATCATCTAAATTCTCACCCCTCCTAACAACTCACAGAAGAAGCTACAGAAGAAGCTATAAATTCCAAATCATCAGTCTTGTTACCACAAAGATAAACCTCACAGCATAATCGATAACAAAGTCAAATTGTCAAACAATGAGTAACTATAGCTATGAGTCTATGACCTAATTACAAAATGGTGAATAATGAGTTACCATCCATAGCTTGGCCTATAGAATCATAGTCCATAAACGTCCTGGTTGCTCTGTTGGGACTGTTTTGCAACAAGATGATAGTGTGCCTACTGTTATGATTCGCCTACAAAACAAAGACAAAGCTGAGCATAGTCAGCTTATGAGAGAATCAAAACAAGTTTTCCCTAATTTCCCGTAAAACGAACGAGAAATCATCAGGCACCGAGAATTGACGGCGTGATTACAAAAAAAAATCGAAAACCTAGTTTCCATGACGAAAATGATCTTCAAAAGACTATGCAAATTATTTCTACGCGATTGAGTAAAGAATCACTAAAAATAAGTAAAAGTAACGTAAGAGAAGAAATCGATTACCATCCTCAAGTGATATTTTTGACTTCGAAAGCAGAATTGAGGGTTAGAAGACGAAGACGAAGACGAAGAAGAAGAACGAGCAAAGTTTCACTGTTTCAGAGTGGAAAACGAAAAATAAAAAAAGAATTTAGGGGCAAAACGTAAAATGACAGAAAGTTTCTGTCTCTTAACACGTGACATATAAAACAGCATGTATTCTATTTATGATATGAAAAAACTACAAGCTCTTCTAGTAATTAGCTGCGTCAGCCAGGTATAAATCCAAACGACGCGTGTTCTCTTCGAAATATGATAAACGACATGTAGTTAATTTTCCTCTGTACTACTACTCATACAGTCATACTGTTCGAAAACACTACAGAAATCCGTTTTAGTTCTCTCCATTACAGAAGCAAAATTTGATTATCATCCTCTTCTGGTTCATTCTTTGGCAACGCATCAGACGGCACAAGATCATCCAAATGATCAGAATCTGGAACAAGGAAAATGAAACATAACGTAGTAAATCTCAGGATATTCCGAAGAAGAATTACGAGCCAGAGATTCCCAAACTCGTGTCTGGTAACACCAAAAGCGTGAAGAACAAACCCTCCACCCCATTTACAAGCAAGCTGTCCAAAACTATCAATGCACATCAGGAAGGCAAAGAAAGTGCCTTCGATTCCCAGAGGACAAAGCCTTGTGCTGAGAACCACCATGGGGATCCACCTGATCTTACTTATGATCCTTGAGAAAGATTCTTCGGTTATCACAAAGAAGGAATCGGGTATCCCGAGAGTTAAGTTCCAGCGTTTGATGAAGATGAGATCAAGCATTCCTGAGAAGCCGTATAGAAGCTGTGCGAAGAAGAGTATGTTCCTAAAGGAATATCCTTTGAGCTTCTTTTGGTATATGAGAACTCCAAACATCGATGCCAATGCCCCAATCGCGTAGATTATGCCCACAAACTCCTGCATTTAGACCAGAGTGATTCTTCAGGCTTCTCATCTCAATTCTATACTCTTGTGGCCATATGAGACAGGAAAACCAACCTGGGAAAAGGCGGGTCCAGCTGTAGGATCAGTGTACCAGTAGAAGTAGCCTTCATGAGTGCTGATGTTGAGAGCTAAGGATATGAACATGTAAAGTGTTGGCTTCCATACTTGAGGGTACTTTATTGTTTTGTACATTGTCTTCACCGCTACTCTTACGCCATCTGTGTCCTGAAGAATATACAACTATTACTCAAAGTTTCATCAAAATTCTAAGTGATGGGATATACAGGACGGAAGTATAAAATACTCTTGGTTGAAACAAACTAACACAGGAAAAATTGCTGCGAATGCTTGTGAGAGAGATCAAAAGAGTTGGGATTACAGACAACGCTCTCACCTTTTTATTTTTCTGTATAAGGACAGTAGAGGATCTTTTCTCGTAGATGAGAAACCCAAGTATGATAATCGTTGCAGGTGGCACTGCTAATACCCCTAATGCTCCCTGTCAAATAGAATGAAACACTAGAAACTCTTAGAAGAGCAAAATGATAGAAAGGGTCGAAATAGTGTGCAAATTTTAGCATGTTAAGCTATAGAAAAAAAGAAGCCATATTTCAGTACTACAATGACAAAAAATAAAGGTGAAGCTCAACCTGAGGTCCAAGCCGGTGAACAAATACTCCACTAGTTGCGTATCCCACCAAGGCCCCAGCAGACGAACAAACCATACAAAGGCTCTGTATATCAGTAGCCAAAGATCGGATATTGATGCTGTTTGTTGCTATACAAGCATCAATCACCACATCTGCAATGGCCATAGCTGCAGAGACACCTAAGAGGCAGCTCAAAGCCAAAGCAGCGGGCAACTTACCAAGAACTACAATTGCGCTCGCAGAGACCAAACCAAGAACACCAGAGACCACGAAATAAGGCTTTCTTTTGTAACCTTTGATCAGGAAAATATCGGTGAAGAGACCCCAAATGGGTCTCATGACCCATGGGATGTAATATAATCCCATGTAAAGCTGCACAACCGATGGCTGCACTTGCTGGACATCTTTCCAGTAATAGTCAGTGACGACTTTGAATATCGAACCGGAGAACCCTTGGTTTAGGCCGTACACAAGGACCACACCTAAAACAAAGCTCGGATTTAGTCGAGAACACAGCATTTGTAGCCATAGAAAGGGCTGAAGCAGAACTGAGACAACAGCGTTTCTTCTTGCTTTTGTCTTGTTCTCAGAATGGTCTGAAATAGGTATTAGCAGAGGTTTTTCCACGGAGAAGAGTTTCTCAGTTTCTAGCGTCTCCATGATGTTTACTGTTTGGGAGATGAACATTGGATCTTGAAGTGCTGAAAGCAAGAGTCTTTAATAGTTGATTTTAGTGTAAATGAAACTCCTTTTGGACTTTCAAAAAAGGTTTCTAGATTCACACAGGGGGAAAAACGAAAAATGTATTCTATTCCCACTTGACGTTTAGCTTGTCGACTCTGTAAGCAATGACGTGTTTCTTCAACTACTAGTCTTAAATTCTACAAATCCTAAACCATATTGCTTTACGAGCCAAAGAGTCAATGTTTTTCATCTTCCCACTAAAAAAATCCCAATCCATATCAACAACTACTTAAACAAATAATTAACCAATATGGGTTCAAAAGCTGCGTTTATTCCAAAATCCAATAAAAATTAAGAGGAAAGCGAAGTGCAGAACCTAAATCGTGGGCTTCTTTGGAGGTCATTGTCTTTGAGATTCCCACAAGCCAAAGAGACTACTATAAATGAGTAGTGAGTCATCGCTGGAAACTAAATCAGAAAAGGGAGAGAAAGAAAAAATCAAAACACAGAGAAAATGGCAGGATTGTTTGATAAACAAGCTGATTTATACCTAGACGCCAGACCCACTTACCCATCGGAGTGGTTCTCGAAGCTCGCCGGTCTCACCGATCACCACGGTTTAGCCTGGGATGCCGCCACCGGCAACGGCCAAGCAGCTCTCGCCGTCAGTATTTGATGTTCATGAACTTTGTTTAAGCATTGGATTTCCGATTCGACAGATTTAGCCTCTTTTTGTAAATGATTCAGCTCAGATAAGCTAAATTCTGCCTCCATTTTTTCCGTGTAAACAAACAGGTTGCAGATCACTACGAGAGAGTGATAGCGACGGACGTCAGCGAATCCCAGCTGAAGCTGGCGACGCCGCATCCGAAGATCGATTATCGCCATACGCCGTCGTCGATGACCGCCGATGAGCTAGTGGAATTAATCGGAGGAGAGAACTCGGTGGATCTGATCACGGTCGCTCAAGCCGTACACTGGTTCGATCTCCCTAAATTCTACGCAGTCGCGACGCGCCTCCTCCGTAAACCCGGCGGGATCATCGCCGTTTGGGGATACAACGACGTGCTGGTGACACCGGAGTTCGACGCAGTCCAGTATCGGTTCCACGCCGAAACGCTGCCGTATTGGAAGTATCCGAACATACAGCATATCTTCGACTCGTACGAAGCGTTGCCGTTTCCTTTCGAAAGTGTGGAGATGGGATCGGAAGGGAAGCCATTGAAGCTGGAGATGCCAAAAGCGACGTCGTTTGAAGGGATCATAAGGATGTTCAAATCATGGTCGGCTATCGTGACGGCGAGAGAGAAAGGCATCGATTTGTTACCGGAGAGTTTGGTGAGAGAGCTTGAGGCCGCCTGGGGAGGATCAGATCTGATTCGTTCCGTCGTGTACAAAGCCTTTATGATCGCTGGGAAAGTTCGAGCTTGATGATCAAATGATCCATCAAAACCATCACACTATTGTTTTCACTCGAGTTTGATCATCATATTTGTTTCATTGTTATAGTCTTGTAGAACGTTTTAAAACGATGGAATCATATTATTACAAAAACTTTTAAAGAGGTAAAGATTGAATTACATACTCTCACTAAAGATTCTCAAAGAGTGGGTTATTAGACAATCAAACAAAAAATACAGTATAATAACGTTCACATATATTAAAACCCCTTTTGTTCTGCAACAAAATAGACCTAAAATGCAACAAAAACATTTTTTTCAAAACAAAAAGAAGATAAACTATAATCACCTCTTTCCTTCTTTGTTCCTTAATCACCACCATCAATCATCATCATCCTCCTCTAATCGATCTTAACCGAGGAATAGATGAGCCGTGTGAACCAGAGACAAGCATAGAAGCCAATTGTTCCTGTGAGCACAAAAAATGCATACGAAGCGATGAGCATGTACCCGAAGTAAAGCATCGCAGAGACCAGTTTGGTGATCTGAAGCTTTGTGAAGAAGTAGAACGTGGCGTAGAGGAAGAGATAGAGAGCTGATGAGCCTGATGTGAGGTAAGATCTCCACCACCAAAGGTAGTCCTCACTGCATAGCTGGAAGTAGCAGAGTACCACGGTTATCTCAGCACATGTAACGATGAGGATTACAAAGACTAGGAAGAGGAACCCGAAGATGTAGTAGAACTGGTTAAGCCAGATGGATGTGAGAATGAAGAAGAGCTCGATAAAGACTGCACCAAAAGGTAAGATTCCTCCAATGAGGATTGAGAAAACCGGGTTCATGTACCAAGCCTGCTCTGGGATTTGCCTCGGGATTTTGTTGGTTTTCACTGGGTCATCAACCGCTGGTTTCTTGAAACCGATGTAAGCACCAACAAATACAAGAGGAACCGAGATACCAAACCAGAGAAAGATCAAGGCAAACATTGTCCCGAAGGGAACCGCCCCGGATGACTTCTGACCCCAGATGAGAGCGTTTAGGACAAAGAAGATGGCTGAGACAACTGCAGGGAACAAGAAGGCTGTTCTGAAGGCGATTCTCTTCCACTCTGTTCCTTTGAACATTTTGTAGAGACGTGAAGAGGCGTAACCAGCAAAGAGGCCCATGAAGACCCAGAGCAGGAGCATGGCTGTCATCAGACCACCCCGGTTGGAAGGGGAGAGAAATCCAAGCATGGCAAAGATCATCGTCACAAGTACCATGCCTAAACACTGGACCCCTGTACCAACGTAGACGCAGAGCAGATCTGAATTAGTTGGAAGTCTGAAAACATCACCATGGACAAGCTTCCATCCTGTCTCTTCTTGAGCTTCTTCTTGAGTCTCGAGCTCGTTGTATCGTGAAATGTCACGGTAAAGGGTCCTCAGCATTATCATTGCCACCATACCCGAAAGGAACAGGACGATCATCAGTGAATTGACAATTGAGAACCAGTGAATTTGGTTATCACTCATCAGAAGATAAGCATCCCATCTAGATGCCCACTTTACTTCACTCTCCTGGATAGCAACAACAGCAGCAGTAAATCAGAAATATATTGAGAACAGGAATAGGATAGCATTTATTTAAGACACATATCACAGGGTAATAATATAAAAGCTTGCCTGGAAATCGACATCATATGTGAAGATAATCTCCTTCTTTTGTTCAACTTCTTGAGGAGTAGCCGAGCTCACAACCAGACGTTTGGTGTGAGGATCACAGGTGGTCAGACGAGTCTTCTCACTGTATTCTCCTTCATATTCATGCTTAACACTACAAATAAAGGGAAGGACTATCAATACTTACGGACACGGAAAGCCAAGAAAAGTTCAAATTATGAAGAAATGCACCTGTAAGGTTTGACCTCAAATCCTACAATCCTTGCAGAATCCGTTTGCAGATCTCTGTGATACCGGACTGTAAATGCCAGGTGATTGTGGATGAAGAACTTTTGCTCTTTGCTCTGTGTAAACAAAAGGCAATTTAGAAAACATCTCCCATGCATTCGAAAAGTGTTGACAATCATATCCTACTTACCCCCTCATACTGGCCTTTAAGACCAACATGATAGCCGAGCTGATAAACAACAGCGGGAGAACCCTGATCCACTCTGTCGATTGGAACCACAAGGGGAAGGTTGTCGAGGATCCTAACACACACAAGAAAGAGTTGTAAGAAAACTGACAGAGGAAAGCGTGTTATTCATTTAAAGAATCAAAGAAAAATAATATCTAATTTGGTCCTACATGTTGACTCGGTACTCATCATCGATCTTTTCTTTGAACGCTTTGGCTGTCTTTGCATCAAGAGTGACACGGCAGAGAATATTGCACATTTGTGCCTCCCGCATTTTGAACTGCAGTTGTTTTCAACTCCGCAAGGGTTAGAGATAAAGTACAAAAACAGATTTTCAAACAGCTTGATCAATTAAGAATCGAAATGCAATAGAGACTAACCGAATATGGGGCATTTTCTATCCGGTCACCCCGAAGCACTTCTCCAAGATTCTCAGTACTATCCACTATCTTCTTAGGTTGACAAAAAGGAAGAGAGTAATACGAGTATGGAAGCTGAGTCTTTATGGAGGTTAACTTATTCACTTTCACCTTCAGCTCATCACCCTGCATACAAGGAAATTAAGACTCACGTTTGATTATGATTCCGTCATTTCTGCTCCATTTGAAGTATATTATCCGAATCTTCTAGCAAAACATGCAAGTATACTTTGATTGAGATTCGTAATTTAGCATGCAGGACCGACATTGATTGTACCCACAACTTGCATTTTGTAGTAATTTCAAGCTAAGCAACATTGACAGGGAGAGAGATCACTAAGAACATAACAAAAACAATCAAAAATAAAAACGACTATGACTAATCCAGAAGATCAAATATCGATGAAGCTCGCCTAAAATGCCGACATTGTTCAGATCGAGAGATTCGTGAATCGGACATGAAGTGAGATTAAAGCCTCACCCATCCTCTGATCAAGTGTCGGTGCAGCGAGCACACCGACTCTCATTTTCTGTAGCTTACTCGCGGATCAAGTACTGTTCCTAAAGGAAATGAACACCATATCGAGACCAAAACGCAGATCGAGGAGATCCTATTCAGATCTATAAGCCTAGGAGCACAAATTCGAACGTTTACCTTTTCGAAATCCTGAGGAGCGACACCTGGGAGATAAAAAGAGTGAGCACCATGGATGAAGAGCAGAAGAACGAAGGCGATCACGGATCCAGAAGTTCCCGATATTCTCCGAAACTCCATACCCACGGCTGTTTCACAAAGGAGGAAAGAAATACAATAGCCAGATCTGAAGCTCCGCTACAGTTGTGTTTATACGCTTCGAGACGAAGACAACTTGTACTAATGTGATTGCATCCCGGTTTATCTCTCTCCGGTTTGGCTCGTTACTGTTGTTCGATCCTTATCAACCATTGAAAATTCGCCACGTAGTTACTCACGAAGTCTTTCCACTAGCTATAACTAATGGGCCTAAATCGATGAAGCCCACTATATCATAAACCATTTATCAAAAGCATTGCGAAGTAACAAGTACAGTAGGTGGAAACTTATAAACAGAGTATAATCATAAGTATTTCAAGGTTTACATGTCCTAAGGAGCAATCGGGGAATCCTCTGTTCGATTTTGCCTAGACTAAGTTCTTGTAAGCACATCGTCATTGATGATTCGAATCAAACTAAATTCAATTTCGCAATTTCAATCCTCTGTTCTGTCTACAATATTTGCATTCTTAAATTTTGAGAACCTCAATTGATTTATTGGACTAGTTCTTAACAGTTGAACAAACACAGAAATCTTGAACCAAAATCGAATTTTCAAGTAATACTTTATCATTTGGTACAAGATATGAAACTTGACGCAATAAAGGGATGGAGTCTTTGGTTTTATTATCTTGAAGAGTAGCACAATAAGAGAAGCACAAGAACTCAGTCTTGGCAAGTTAACGAATGAAACAAAACACAACAACAACAAACATCAGACAATAAAAACAACAACGAAGACTCCATATATATACATTGATCTAAAAGCTTTCGACATCATCAAGCACTGGACCAGACACGAGAAGGAACTCTTTTATTACCAACCTTCAACTTTTTAGTAACCTCCCTGAATAAAAGCATTCAGGCGGTCAAGCTCCTCTCGATGTTCACTGACAACTGCACGGACCACGTCTCCTATGGACACCATTCCCACCATACCCGTGTCTTTGATTACTGGAATGTGCCTGATCCTGTTATCTGTACAATGACACAAACCAATTTATTTTACTTGCCTCCGTAAGTTTCAATCCCAAAAGATAAGGATCTTTCATGGAGAAAGTATAAGGTTTCTCTGCTTACCTGTCATCAGTTGCATAGCCCGCAAGACCTTGGTCTCCGGTGTCACAGTGATGAGCTTATTCTGCAATTGCCAATTCACAGATCCAATCTGTTTAATCCCCAAAAGCAAGGAAACATATATGTAATAGTGCATTCTTCATCGCTAATTCCATACCTCTTCAGTCATAATATCCCCTACTTTTGTTGATTTGGATGATCTCCCTTGCACTATGATCTTCCGCAGATAATCTAAAGAAACCGCAAATGTTGTCAAAATAGAAGGAAATTAGTCACGCATATCGGAAGACACACAAACCAAGAACTTCTTGTGACAGTCAAAATTTGACTTACCTCTCTCTGTAATGATTCCAGCAAGAGATTGTTGCTCACCAGGTTTCACAACCACCAAGGCACCAACATTGTGTTGTGTCATCTAACCGAAACAAAACACATCAATCACAACAAAAGAACACTTCCACACGGAGAGATAAGTATATCCAAAAGGCAAAGAGTACATACGGATTTAACAGCATCGTAAACAGTGTCATCAGTAGTACACCAAAGCCAAGATCCATCAGCACTTTTGCCTTTGGCGTTCATAATGTCAGAAATGGTTGTGCTCTCGAATCCATGTTCCTCCATACGAGCAGACTGAGTGGATTCGGAGCGTGTACAAAACACGGAAGGCTGAATCGCCGGGTTCATCACACGGAGATGTTGCAGCAGAGAGGCCTTGACAACATTTCCACCGGAGACAAACGAACGAATCGCAGCTTGCATCTTTCCCTATCGTAATCAGATCAATCAGTTTCAGGAACAGATCATCATCAGAAGAAGAAGCAGAAGCGAATCACTACTCAAAACGAGATCTAGAATAGGAAACAATACGCCAAACAATCATCGGATATCAAACGAATCTTATCTAAGTAGATCGGAAAAGAGAATGATCTGCATCAAAAGCTATACATAAAAAAAAAAACTAAAGCTGCGTGTTTTTGAAGAACCCTAAAACTGGAAACTTCTTCAATCTGACTGATACATATATACAGGAAGACACCAGAAATAGTAGCGAAGAAGGAGAGATTCAGACCTGAGCTTAGAGAAGAAGACGAACAGAACAGAGTGGAAGCTTGAGAGAACCCTAGAGTAGAAGCAAGAGACAGCTGACCAGAGTCGAGTGGAGAGTTTGAAGGGCTGTAATGGATAATCATCAAATATAAATAACTATTTTTGGATAGCGAAACTCTGACGACTTTTTTTTTATTTCCTTAAAAATATATTTAGATAACATTAAAACAGTGATGACTGTTCATTCAATTATTCTGTCATATCCTGACAATTTCTAGAGGGCCACTCACTAAACTTTAAACAAAGGCCCACTTTGATAATAAGGCCAGATTTGTGTACATAAGAATAATTTTATTTCTTTTGGTAAATATCATCTATATAACACGATAATGTGGATAGTCAATGTAAAATCAATTGTCCAAAGAAGTTTGTGGACAAGACAATCTTGTTTGAGGTCAATCGAGACGACGTAGAAGATACTCAACCTCGACGAGCTTAGTGAGAGGGATAAGCCATTCTCCATAGATGCGAGAGACGATCAACGGATCCACTTTGTAACTCTTATCATCACCAGAGATGCACTTTACATCTTGTCCAAACGTTTCTGCTTTCTTCTGGACTCTCTTCTTAACCATTTCTTCTACTTTCTCAAACGTCAAAAGCTTCATCAAAGCCTCTGTATCCTACACAAGGTTTCAAGAAACCCAACACATCTGGTCGTATCAATTCCTACAAAACCACACTAACCAAATCCACATTGTGAGACTGAGACACTAGTATTACCTTAGCGCGGATCGCAGGCTCGTAATCTTGTGGAGCGTCTCTGAACTTGACCTCAGCAACAAATTTACCGTAGTGAATCCTTCTCGAAAGAGCCTTACACAAGATCACACATCAAATTAGACATACACCACATGTAGAAATCAGAATTTTGTTAGTCCAGAGATGATCTGCTTACTTGTAAACACGCTAGATCACTAGCAGCAGTTGACACATAGTTGCCATCATCACCAGGTTTGACAAACAAAGGAAGCAGTTCTTTAAAGTAAATATCCCAAATACGCTGGTTTATGTTAACAGATAAAGCCTTAGGGTGCAGAGCCTAATCAAGAGAAAAGAAAAAGTAGTGTTAGATTCAAGCATTAAAGAGTTGTAAGCAAAATGCTTAAGGACTTTACTACGTACCGGTGGATATTTGCGGGTAGGAAAAACCGACGGAGGAATGTTGTCAAGGAAGAAAGGATTCTCTTCTGGATTTTCGTATCGTCCTACCTATACGCATACATGAGAGCTTCAAGTGAACCAATCAATCCATAAACAGTATAAACAAACGAGATGTAATTTATAATGCAACAAGACATTCAGACAAAAACCAAACCTTTATTGCCAATCTCTACAAGTAATGAGGCATGCTGGTTCCAAAATCATACAAGAAGTTATCACACAACGACGAAAATGTGGACACAAACTATGAAAATGCTGTAGCAGACGGGATAATCAAACATATTAATGCGTTTAATCTCTGTTTCTATGTTTATCCTAGAAAAAGGATCAGTTTAAATGGTATGTGAACCTTGGCTTGGATGATTTCAATCTCTCTGACGAAGAACTCGGTGAGAGAAGAGGAATTTCCAGAATGTAGACAACGAGAATCCTCAAAAGCAGGGGAATTGAGCGGAAACTTAGCTCTCTCGATGAAGCTGAAGACGATGGTGTCTTCTTGCCTAATCAACGATTCCCTGATGGAGTCAAGACTCAGTACTACATCGGATTCTCCAGAACCAGAGTCTGACTCGACGACTCTTTCCATCTATAAAATTGCCGACGAGATCAATCATCGCCGGAAGATAGAGACGAACAATCTGTGAAATGGAGAATTTCAAAAAGGCTTACCTAGCAAATTATTAGGCTTCTTCTTCTTCTTCTTCCTCTCGCTCCCTTATTTTCTGGCTTTTTGAGTCAACGTGCTTGATTCTTTGGAGTTTGGACCTTTTGGCCTCGGAGAAATGCAATTTCTTTTTTTTTTATATAATTACGAAAAAATAAACGTGAGGCGTAGAAAACAAAACCAGATTGAGATTATATAACAGTGTCATAGATATGTACTTAAACTCTGAATCTGTGGTACTATCTACTTGACAATCATCCATAAATCTAGCCAAGAAACTCAAAATAATTATTTTTATTTTCTTTCATTGAAACATGATTTATAGAAGAAGTACAAATGTAAAATGTAAGTTATTTACAAACTTTCATCTCAGGAAGAAATTTCATTGCTGAAACATTTCCATTAAAAGAAATACAAATGTAAAATGCAAATTGGAACGAATTGATTACTCTTAACATGTAACTTCTTACACAAAAATACAACTCTTTGTAATTTCTCAATACTGAAACTTGAAATTACCAAATTCTCACCTAGAGAGAGGGTACCGATGAGTTTGAGAGTTGGATGTGATTCTAGAAGGTTCTGGAATATGTTCAGAGACTATATAAGCAGTGTCTTTCCACCAAGAAGCTTCAGCCTCCTTCACATGAAGCCTTTGTTTAGCATCTTCCAATGCAGTCTCTAGCTCCTTTATCTCCTCTTCTTGTCTCGTCTCCATGAGCTCGTGTAGCCTTCTCTCCAGCTCATACGGACACACACCTTGCTGTTTCTCCATTGGTCCTGGACACATCTGTCCGAACCTTAATCCTTGTGAATCTTCACTCTTCTCTGAAATACCCTGTGACCGTTTTACAAAACATGATAGTTCCATTAGAGAAGAGAATTATGATCTCTAATCCCTAAATGTATAAGAAATTGAAATTCAACAACTTTAACTTACCTTGAGCTTACAACATTGACTTTCCTGGTCTTGACCAATCTGAAGAAGCTCAAACTCAGCTTCAAGTTCAGCTTCAAGCTGATCCATTTCTCCCCCAAAATCTTCTTTCCCTCCCTTGAGTACGTAATGTTTCAGAGACCCTTCACGTCCAACAGAAAAAGAAGTCTCCAGGAACTGTGGAGAGTAATAGTGATCAGTAGAAGATTCAGGGCCATCTACAACATCACTTGTGGTGGAATACGCAGAGGTTTCACTCTGCTCTTGCTGCCTAAAGAGTGACACTTGCTGTTTTTGCCTCAATTCGTAGTTGTGTGATTCTAAGAACCTCTCTATATCGCTACGTAGCTCGATCAACTCTTGCTGTTTTTGCCTCAGTTCATCGTTCTTACGTTCAAGAAACTTCTCCAAATCGTTTCGTAGCTCGACTATCTTGTGAATCTCTTCTTTACCAGTAACAATCAGATGTAGGAGATAACAACTCACCCCAATGCTGAACAAGAATTCCCTTTTTTGCAATTCTACACACCAAAAAGTTACAATTGAGAGAGAGAATTAATCGATGTACTGATCTATATCATCTATGAAACTGAATTCAACTCACACATAAACAATTTAGTAGCTCTTCAATCAATTGGAGTTCTCTGATTGGTTCTAATCTCTTAGTTTTGCTGATTGATTGGATAAGAGATCGTTTAAATTCAGATATTTCAATTCTCAATAACACATATGACTAACCATTCAAAGGGATGAAGAATTTACAATCATACCCACTAAGCCTATCCGATCAATAATTCGCCGGACACTATCCAAACAAAATCGATTTGTTTGGGTAAAACAAAAGATTGTTACCGGAACCGATTGTCCGTGGTGGAGAATCTGAAAAGTCGCCAATTCCATGAACATCCTTGGAGAAATTTCTGATCCTCACAGAGTCACAGTCTCTAACCCGTCCTTCCGCCATAGACTTCTTATTTCTTTTGACCTTACGCGGCGAGGAAAACCACCGATTCATGACTCTCCGTGGCGACGGACACCTGATCCGAATGCATCCTCCTCTCACTCCTCTACACTCATCCATCGGACACTCCAAAGACCCCGACCAAATTAATTTCCCGGCGGATTTCAAATGGTTCGCTAAAAGGAGAAGAGAATTGAATAAAAGGAGTGAGAGATTTGAATTGAGAGAGAGAGAGAGAGATTTAAAAGAGAAAACTCAGAATCGGGATTGAAGAGAGAGAGAGAGAGAGAGAGAGAGAGAGAGAGATGTATTAATGAGAATCACGAGAAGCAGAGTGTTGTTTCGACTTCGATCTACAAATGCGCTTGGACTTTGGAGGGAAACTTTTGAATGTTTTGGAAACTCTTTTAATGCAATCACCTCTCATTTTCTCCAATTAATGATTAAAATCTACAATTATTGGCATGAAAACAAAAAAAAAAAAAAATCATTCATCATCGGTAGGTAGAGAAATTCATTTCACTCTTTGTAACTAAATAAGAATTAGAAAAAGAAAAAAAAAACGTAAATCTTTAGTCAATTGCTAAAAGCACAACTAGGGTCAATGAGTAGAGTTGAGAATTATTTAGCCATAAATAGCAATCGAGTCACGTTGACCAAAGACAAATGGTAATGGAGTAACACCAGTCAGTAATATTGTTATTATGTGTTGAAGACCATTTATGAATTTACCAAATATCGTTGGGAAAAGACCTTAATAAATTCGAGACATGTTGGTGTTAATTTTTTTTTTTGAATAAGAATTTTCAATTTGAATTGACATTTATAACGAAAGCTAAAAGCCTAAAACCAAGATATTACAGTGTAATAAAATTACAGCTGATTTTTACAATATACTAAGTAAATTGGAGAAAGAAAAAAGAAAAAGAAAAGGAAAAACAAAGAACAAAATCGTTGGGTTTGGATCTAAATGGTCAGAGCGAAGATGACATTTGGCTTATGACCTCCAATGTAGCTTTCGTCTTGGTCAAATGATCCATCTACGTACGTTTTTCCAAAACACTCAAATTAATTCATCAAGATTTTTTAAATTACTTTCTTTATATATCGTAATAATTTTTTTAAAAAGGTCTGGTTTCCATGGCTTACCAATTCTTTCTCGCGTGTGTCCTGCGAATCAAAAAACAGAAATCTAAGTGTCAGTCTTTTACGAGAGAGATTATGTGATCGCGAAGAAACTTAAAAGTGCTTTTACCCTAGTTTGAATCTCCTGTTTAAGAGCGCTTATGAGTCTGAACATGTAGTCATAGTTGGATTTGTGCGGCTCCTGCAATCATCACCATCATATACATAATCAAGATTCCAAGCCCTATCATCATCATCTTACACCATCAATAATCTCAGAGATTTGGTGTTACCTCAATGGTATCTGGAAGAGGAAGACCTTCAAAGACTTGAGGAGGCTCTCGAAGCTGAAGGATCTGACTTGGGTCACTTGGTAAAGGAACCGTCCAAGAAGGCGGGTTAGTAATCCCCATTGACGCAAAGCCTTGTCCTGTTCCATTCTCCCACATTAGCTGTTGTTGAGTTGAAATTCCATCACTTGTCATCTGACTTTGTAACTACATAAAAAACAAAATAGCGCAAGAATAAGCATAAGACAATGCTAACAAAAAAAGTGAGAAGTCTCCAGGTTTGTAGCTACTTACCCTTGGGACATTTTCGACTGTGTAAGATACAAATCTAGGCTCTGTGAAGTTGGGAGGCTCAAGAACAGCATATGCGCCTTCGTTTTCATAGTTTCTTGAGCCCTAAAAGCAAAAATGAAAACAAAAGAACCAGTTGAAAAACCAACAGAACAGGTAGCAATTGGATTCCGTTTAATGTAAAAGTGCAATGGAAAATGACCTGTGAGAAATTCGAAGCACTGAAGACTGTGAAAAGCTTTCCAGATTCTACTTCATGATCTATTGAGTAACCACTTAGCATGTTTCCCATGTCTTCTCGATCTGCTCTTGCATCGGGGCCTTCATGTGATCTTATAATCATCTAAGATGCAAAACAGACAAATTAAGTTTCATTTTGGATATCAGTTTTTGCCAAAGTAATTCACTTACCTTTAAGTTTGACTGTTTTAGAAAAGTTTCGGTGCAATCAGCTCCCCAAAGAAGTCCCTTATAATTACTTTCGCTCAGACCATCAGCCATCCATGGACATGACCATAAAACATGGTTAAGAGTGATATTCTCATCATCGTTCTCACCAACTTGTCTCCTCTCAATCTTGTCAAGTTCCTCTAAAGAACCCAACAACAAAGATGGATTCGTGCTATCTTCATGGACCCGAGAGCTTTGAAAGAGACCTCCATGAGTTGTGTAGACGCTATCTGATATCACCGATGCCAAAGGTAACAGTTTGAAACAATCGATACATTTGGAGTATAGCACTGGACCGTGCTCAGCGTATCTGTCACATGTTTCTTTCAAGAAATCAAGCTCTTCTGCGGATACTCTTGTTTCAGAGCTTCCTCGAAGTAAACATACACTCTCAGGCATCAGAATCTGGAATTAGAACAAGTATTGATCAGATGGGAACACATGAACTAAAACAGTAAGAACGAAAAAACACACATCCAAGGCCTTTAATCTAACGCTTTCATGTTAATATTAAGCACACACATATTGAGTTTTCTATATGTGATTCAACATTAACAATCTATAGTAAGGCTTAAGGCCAATGCTTCAGCAACGATAAAGTTACTTTATAATTTAAAGAATTTAAAAGACAAAACATGCGAGAGACCTAACACTTCAAGTTAACGTTCCATCACAGAAATTCCAATTATAAAAAAGAAAGGAAATAAGTAATTAAGCTATATTCTGTACCTTCCAGGCTAAGAGAACCAAGAACACTTCTAGGCTCCAAGAACCTCGACCAATATAATTACCGTTGAACACAAAGCATTGGTTTTGTGAAGGCCTTCCTGATTGATCAAAAATTTTGAGGAGATCGTGTAGTTGACCGTGGAGATCCCCAACCACAATCACTCTAGAATTCTCACTACAGCAGTTGATTTTAACGCAATTAGCTTCTTTGTCTAGAATCTGGGAAGCACAATCCACCAGGGAAACAGCCACAGAATGTGGTAATATCAAAGGGAACTCGGAAACGGAGTTCTTCCATGTGAACTGGTTCAATAAACCCATCAAAGTCTCAACCCATTCAAGAGTTAATTGGGACTCTAAAGGCCATGAGATTGGCTCCAAAACAATGTCACTGAAATCGGCGCCAACAGAATCATCTCCGTTTCCCAAATATATCTCCATTTCCATTGGCTCAGTCATCGCATCTAAATGATCAACAGTTTCTGGTTCGTATTTTCTACTACCCATTCCTTGTACACTTGCAATCATCCTCGTCACCTGTTGCTTCTCTTGGTCATCCAATGTCTCATAGTGAAACCCACGAAGAGACTTTAGAGAACGGTCTGAGTTACTCACCTGCACATACTTCAAAAAGGTAGTAAATTTTGGCATTACATTTACTCAAGAGCATAAAGACGTGAACTTACCACTTGCTTTAGAACTGAACACAGAACTCGGGTCACACTATTTTCCGGATCCTGAAGAAAAGAACGTAACTCTGGCGTCAATGGTGACAAGCGAATATATATAGAGAGATGTAATTCCAAGCTCAGACTAATATGGAGAGTGAATCTAGTTACAACGTTACTTTAAGAACGTCTCGATCAGCACCACGTCGAGATATTTCTTTCAACATAAGCAAGGTTCGCAATTGATTATAGTTCTTCATCCTCGTCGTTTTAACCGCACTTAGCTTCAAGAATGCGAATTTGCAAGCTTCAAGCTTCGCGTCCAAAACCCTTTTCGAGATTTCTACATTAAAAGCAATCAAATGTTACCGTTCCGAATTCATTACTAGTTTTTGCTCGGAAACAGAGAAATTTTCATGGGGATGGGACAAATCAATTGACCCCAAAAAAAAAAACATTATCGAAGAAACGATTACCTGGAGGCGGCATATTGATTAAAATTTGAAAATTGCTCGGCGAGAATGTCAGATGACGAACAAAAGCACAGCTCGGAGAGTTCGTCGGCAAAGTCCCGGCGTCGATGTCGATTACAACCGCCGCTCACCACCGAGGAACGAGCGTTTTCGTGTTAACTTCCTGCCGGTTCTAGGGCAAAGAAACCACGCGCATTTCGCTGCTTCGAAACCGAAAAGGATGTTGTTTTTCGGTACTTATGGGCCGGCCCGTATTTTAAAGGCCCAAACTAAGAAACACAGTCTTTCTCTCTGGAGTCGGAGCTTTTGATAGACGAAACCAGTAAAACTTCTTCTTCTGATAATCCCACATCAATGGCGAAAGAGGTATGAGAAGAAACGGAAATGGCGGGAGCGATTAGGGCGAAGCAGCTACTTGTATGCTCGTCGATTCTCGCGAGCAACAGCAACAAGGTTCTATTACGTTTTCCTCGGCGTAGTATCAATGTAATCGCGGGAAATCTCAGTTCGAGCGAGACGAAGAAGAAGGAGAAAGAGAAGAGGAAGAGGAGGAAAGAGATTGAGGTCGCAAGAGCGACGGCGGAAGCAGTGGTGAATAAGGAAAAAAGGAGGACACGGTCGAGCAGAGAGTATGAGCTCGCCGACGGCGACGAGGCTCCGTCCTCGCATGTGCCTGTGATGCTCGGAGAAGTGGTCGACATTTTCTCTTCGGTTCGCTTGCGAAGTTTTGTTGATTGCACACTTGGCGCAGCCGGCCATTCTTCTTCAGTAAGTTTCTTCTTCTAATTGTTTCCAGAATTCGAGCAAATTGTTGGTTAACTAGGTAAAATCGAACAAGCTCTTATATTGGAGGAAGTCTAATCGAAAGATATTTGCTGATATGATCTTGAGAAATTGAATCACTGTTTAAAATACTATGAGCAAATTCTTATACTTGCCATTGTTAGATATGTAAAAGCAGATTGTAAATTTGTGAATTGTCTTTCAGATTATTCAAAACCACTCTGAATTGAAGCATTTTGTTGGAATGGATGTTGATCCTGTGGCTCGGAAACTGGCTCACTTTCATATTGATTCTCTCATGCATCCAACTTTGAAAGCTTCTATTGTGTTGAAGAACTTCAAATACATCAAATCTGCGATTTCTGATACGCATCCGGAATTGTTAGATGTTGGTGTTGATGGCATTCTTATGGACCTGGGAATGTCATCTATGCAGGTAAATAGTGATTTCACAAAGCAGCTGTTTTTCGTTCCCTTGTATTGTTGGCATCTCTCACCCACGCTTGTAAAATCTTTGTCCGACAGGTAAACAATCCCGAAAGGGGGTTTAGTGTTCTTCAACAGGGGCCTCTTGATATGCGTATGGATCCTCAGGTTAGTTTTATAGACATGTGAATGAAACTCTGACTCTTCCTGCTTTTGGAATCATTTGTAATTTCTTCAGAAGTCTCTCTTAACATATCCTCTAACATGTGACAGGCGACTCTGACAGCGGAGGATATAGTGAATTCTTGGCCAGAATCTGAACTGGGGAGAGTTCTACGGGATTATGGCGAAGAAAGCAATTGGCATTCACTTCAAACTAGAATTGTTAAGGCTCGACTTAGTGGTGGGTTGCATTCTACTGGTGAACTGGTGGATCTCATTCGGGGCATGTCACCACCAAGCAGAGGTAATCTAGTAATTTATATTAAGCTTTCTTGATCTGCATTTGCATCTCAATGCGAGTTCCAGGTAGTGTTCATAGAAGTATTTGGTACAGAACACACAGTAGAGTAAGGAACTATCAATGAGTTATCCAAAATAATAAGATCATAAAAACATAAGACATGAGAGAGTTTTCACCGTAGACAAAAGATGAAAATTTTAAAATCTTACTTGGACTTCCATTTGAAAATGTTGCAGGAGGCAGACAAGGTTGGATAAAGACTGCAACACGTGTGTTTCAAGGCCTAAGGATTGCAGTGAACGACGAACTCAAGACACTACAAAGCTCTCTCTACTCATCCTTCGATGTTCTCTCTCCGGGTGGGAGACTAGCAGTAATCTCCTTTCACAGTCTGGAGGATCGTGTTGTAAAACAAACGTTCCTCGACATATTGGGGTTTCAAAGGGAAGAAATGAACACAGAAATGAGTGTAAAACCGGACAGGCAAATCGGAGAAAGTATAGAGAAGGAACTAAAAGAGAAAGAAGCGTGGATCAAACAGACTGTAATCGGGTCGAAAGGAGTAATACTGACAAAGAGACCAATAACTCCTTCCGAGGAAGAAGAGAGATTGAATCGCAGAGCAAGGAGTGCGAAGTTAAGGGTGATTCAGAAATTATGACCGATTTTGTTCTACAAATGTTCCTTCTCTCTTTGGTTTTGGTTAATATATTTCAGCTATGATTAGTTCATGTTGCCATTTTCCAAGGCGAGCTTGAAATTGCTTTTAGAATTTACGGTTCCAAGTCCCTAAACTGACTTGTACTAATAGCTAGTGAATTGAAGTTATATAGTTGATGGAATTCGTCAAATTCGATTTAGTGGATTACCAAATTTTCAAAGCTCAAACTTTTATCAAAATAGTTCATGTTTGAACTAGAAAATGTAAATTGGTTTCTTTTTCCCCAGTAAATTCGAAGTTCGAACAGAACATACACTGTAACTGAAATCAGATGGAATCTAAAACAATTTTGTTAAATAATAAATTTGTTGAACCAAGGCCGGTCAAAGTGCAAATTTCATTTTGACCATACATCACCAGTTTACCACCTAAGAATCTGACTAGTGTCGCCGCAAAACCCATTGAGACCTTGAAACCCTTTCTCGACTCCTCCTTTCAGCTAAACCAATGGGAGCAATTGATCTTTCTTTCTCACAGAGTATCCTCTTCTCTCCGTCGCGTTCCAATCCTCCCTCCTCCACTCACCGTTCCGTCTCTTTTTTCCAGCCGGGAAGCAAGTCACGGTGCCTGCCGCCGTTGCGTTCAATGAGCCACGATGACGACGCGGCCTCGAAGGAGGCGAAGCTGTGGGGCGGGAGGTTCGAGGAGAGTGTCACAGAGAAGGTGGAGAAGTTCACTGAGTCAATTTCCTTTGACAAGGTTCTCTACAAACACGACATTATGGGAAGCAAAGCTCATGCTACAATGCTCGCTCACCAGGTATTAGCTTTTTCCTAACTTCTACTCGTTTCTTTAATTTGGGATTGTTGAGTCGATTCCAGAGATCCTCTACTTCGTTAGTGATTTTGAAATTTGGAAGCTTCTTCTCCGTTATAATTTTAAGATCAAAATTTGTGCTAGATTATAATGGCTGCTTGATAAGTGATTTAGTTGCTCTTAAACAATGCGAATTTGTAAGTCGGGATGGGTTCTTTTTTTCATTGCAGGGGCTTATAACTGACAGCGACAAAGATAGCATTTTGAGAGGACTTGATGATATCGAGAGACAGATCGAAGCAGATGAATTTGAATGGAGGACTGATCGGGAGGATGTTCATATGAACATTGAAGCAGCTCTTACTGATCTGATCGGTGAACCTGCAAAAAAACTTCACACAGCACGAAGCAGAAATGACCAGGTTGCTACTGATTTCAGGCTTTGGTGTCGTGATGCGATTGACACAATTATTGTCAAAATCAAGCACCTTCAGACATCCCTAGTTCAACTAGCTTTGAAGAATGAGGCTTTGATTGTTCCTGGTTACACTCATCTTCAGAGGGCTCAGCCTGTTTTACTCCCTCATGTCCTCTTAACTTATGTAGAACAGGTTTGGAATTTCTCTTTCGCTCAAGTTTTAGTCTTCCTATGTGTTGTTTTTTGTTTAGTTTTTTAGTTATGCTATGTCATTAAGTTTAGTAGCACCAATCTATAACTGATTTGTTGAGATCTCTCATCTCTCTGACTCTATCATCTTATATATTGTATGTATGTGTTTTCACTTAGTTGTGTTTATATATGTGGCAGCTGGAACGTGATGCTGGTCGTTATATTGATTGTCGAAAGAGGCTGAATTTCTGTCCCCTAGGAGCTTGTGCGTTAGCTGGAACTGGTCTACCTATTGATCGATTTATGACTGCAAATGCTCTTGGATTTTCCGAACCAATGAGAAACAGGTTTGTTCCTAGTTTTTTTGTATTGGTTACATCAACTCTCGGTACTTGCATTAATACTTCTTACTCTTTAGTCTTGCGAGTTCCTCATTTATTAGTCTTTTTCTCCTCTATTTCAATTAGCATCGACGCAGTTTCAGACCGAGATTTTGTGTTGGAGTTTTTATTTGCAAATTCCAACACAGCCATTCATCTGTCACGGCTTGGAGAAGAATGGGTACTATGGGCGTCTGAGGAGTTTGGTTTCATGACTCCAAGCGATTCCGTCTCAACGGGAAGCAGTATAATGCCACAGAAGAAGAATCCTGACCCAATGGAGCTTGTCAGAGGAAAATCTGCCCGAGTCATAGGCGACCTGGTAACTGTCCTAACACTGTGCAAGGGACTTCCCCTTGCTTACAACCGAGATTTTCAAGAAGATAAAGAACCCATGTTCGATAGTACCAAGGCAATCATGGGAATGATCGATGTTTCTGCGGAGTTTGCACAGAATGTCACTTTCAACCAAGACAGAATTAAGAAAAGCCTTCCTGCTGGACATCTCGATGCTACTACTCTTGCTGATTACCTTGTGCAGAAGGTAATGCTGTTTTCTATTTACGGAAATCTTCCGTTTTTGTAGCTAAAAATCCAAGAAGATAATACATTTTGTCTTTTTGTCTTTCACAGGGGATGCCTTTTAGATCATCTCATGACATAGTTGGGAAACTAGTCGGAGTTTGTGTCTCAAGAGGCTGTGAACTTCAGAACTTGAGTCTTGAAGAGATGAAAAAGCTGAGCCCTGTGTTTGAAGAAGATGTGTTTGGGTTTTTGGGCGTCGATAATTCAGTCAATAAGTTCAGTTCGTACGGCTCAACTGGATCGAACTGTGTAGCTGAGCAACTCGGCTACTGGGTCAACAAGCTGAACATTACTACCACCTGAGTTGGACCAAACCATCAGGCGAATTGTTGCAGCGGTTTGAGGAAGAAAAATGCATTGGGGTTCCTTCTCTAGCCAAAAGTCCCCCAAAAAAACTAAAAATAAAGCTTTGTTGAAGTTTACGTAGTATTTGAAAGTGAGATATTGTTAAAATTCTTACTATTTTTTATCATTTTGAGTACACTGTACGATATCAACGTTTTGATATTCTACAATGCGAAGAAGATTAACTTAACCGACTTACAAGAAGTTAACCAAGACCACTAAACCAGCCTAACACTTAAAAAACTTAATAAACCTTTAAGACATGACAAGAGTATCACAAAAAGTGAGAAAGTTTAAGATACTGTTGACATATTTTGGTTTAGTAAAAATATTGGCATAATCATATGAAGACACTGTTGACAGATAATATAGAGAGTGTTTACTTCAGGAAGAATAAGAGTGGAGTGGAAGGTTCTGGTTGAAGCTAAGGAGAAGGATCTTGTGGGAGCTAAAAGACTTGAAATCACTTAAGAGTCTATTCTGTAGAAGAAGGTTATGCTTGTATGTTATGAGTAGTAAAACAAAATGTATTTTGGTCGAATACTGTAAAAAACACATCAATTCACACATTAGGTTGCCCTAAAATAGTTAATCTTAATCAGTCATCGATACAGCATTCAAATTCAACGAGAAGTGCAACATAGTAACTTACCATACCATGGTGGAGATTAAAAACGTTATCTTAAAGTCTGAAGATAATTACTTCATCAATCGAACCTTTGCAGACTTGGATTTTCATTGAGATTTTCGATTTCTTTTTTCAAACCCAATAACATCCAAGTCCAAAATAAAAAAAAAAAATTAGTACTGGATTTTATGAAATGCAACTGGATGTGATTTTCTTTTTAACACGGAGGACCCTACATGACATGGAATCCTTCCTTAGGAGGTGGAACATTTGTTCATGTTATATATAAACTTTTATTATCCTTTTGTCTTCCAAAATGTCATTCTTCATTTCTATGACCAGATGACCACACACACATTGACACACATACGCACCAGTAATGATCTCATTGGTGTTTCTCTTCTCCTAATATAGTTAGATTTTAAAATTCAACACAAACACTCCATTCTTCTCGATTTAATAATATCCACTGATCGTGGAGTCATTTTTTCTGATTGTGATGCAGTCCTTGTCTTAGAAAATCCCATGTTAGTCACTGATTGATGCTTCTTTTGGATTATTGGTCGGGAATTAACTTATAGTGAAAGATTCTTTCATTTTTTTATTATCTGATATTCATTGGATTGAGTTTACCGTGAACCTCATCTCTCTCTCTTTTTTTTTTTTTAATCCTTGTTTTTGTTTTGTACCCATTTTTAACGTTTTAGGGATTTTTCTTTCAGTTAGTTTAACTTCTACGCCATTAATAATTTTTAGGTGTATTCGCATGTTGTAGAATGGTGGAGTCGATATAAAAATGTTTCAGATTATTATTACATTTTGTCACTATGCTCATTTTTTATTATATAAAAGTACAAATTAAAAATATGAATTATTAGCTTGTCGTTTTGTTTTTACAGAAAAAAATAATCGTTTACAAGTCAGCCATACTTATTTCTAAATTCAAATATAGATTATAAGACGACAAAATTCTAATGTAAACCAGTAGACTACAAATATACCGTAATAAAAATGGAATATAATGAATGAAATTGTCGTGTTATAGTCTAATAGTTTACATTAGAATTTGATCCAATACCCATTCGATCTATAAGTCGGCAAATTTTTATAGACTATATAAATAATGTATGTATGAATAGATCGTCTGCTCATTTATGCAAAAGTTTCGGATTAGCATTATCTTTATCCCATTAGTCCCTTCTTATCCCTATATTACCATTACGCCTAACCTAACTACAGCTAGACATGTATAAAATATAATACTAAGTCGTCGAAGAATATTAGCGTAAGTGGAGAGGACAAAGTCAGAACAAATCAATTTTTTTGTTTGTCCATTTATCTATTTATTCAACGACTTTGACTTGGTAGTTATTATTAACAAAAGGCGGATCTTTACAAGGTCTCTGAGACGCTACACGTGGCAGTTTTCTTAACCAACGCAACTTATTATAACCGAACCATAAAACTCCAATGATACAACGACACTCAAAAAGTTTCTGAATTCGACCTAAAACCAAAATTAGATTGAACCAAAGAAAGTCTAGGTTCAATATGTAAACAGTTCTTATACTATGATACATAAACCGAAGACCGGTTAACTCAGAACCAAAACTATTCAACAACCTTGAGAAGTAGACTTGTTTCCATCGGGTCTCTGATTAACAGTTGTATTGTCGCCGTGCCATGACCAAACGATGTCGTTCAACGCCGGCCGGACTTGTTCTTCGTATAACCTATCGTACTCCAGAGTATCCCCCGCCGATTTGCAGAACTCCACCACCGAGATCTCCGGCGCTACTTCGAACACTTCCGCCGTCAACGAGAGCCTTCCTTTTCTCCCTTCCGTTTTCCCCTCCATCTTCACCTTGAAATCCTTCGTTGTCTTTACATTCATGTTCATCTCCTTCGTAACCGTTTCGATCTTCTCCATTATCTCCGTCGCCGAAGACCGTGACGTGAATACCGATTGCAGCTTCCTCTTGCTCTCGAACAAGCTCGACAGATCGAATCCCGACGACATCGACGAGATGAATTCGAAAGCGTTGAAGAATTTCGGCGATATCTGCTCTGTTTCTTCCCAATAGCGAGCCTCGTCTTCGTTGTCGCTCTGAGAACATATCGGCTCGTCGATTTTGAAAGCTAACGGCGGCGCGAAGTTTTTCCGTAGCCATGGCGTTCGCATGATTGCCGGCATCGAGATCCGCCGATCGGGATCCACGACGAGGAGTTTCGAAACCAATCTCCTCGATTCAGGCGAAAACCACGGCGGTAATTCGAAATCCGCCCTGAAAATCTTCCGGTACATGTTCATCAGGTTCTCGTCCTGAAACGGCAAACATCCGGCGAGAAGAACATACAAAACGACGCCGCACGACCAGATATCCGCCTTCGCGCCGTCGTATCCCTTCTTCCGTAGAACCTCCGGCGCCACGTACGCCGGAGTTCCACACTGCGTGTGAAGCAATCCGTCCTGAAGGATCTGCTCCGGCAAGGCCGATAAACCGAAATCGGAGATTTTGAGATCCCCGTTCTCGTCGAGGAGAAGGTTCTCAGGTTTGAGATCGCGGTGAGAAACGCCTCTGCTGTGGCAGAAATCGACGGCGGAGATCAACTGCTGGAAATATCTACGAGCGGCGTCCTCGTGGAGCTTACCCTTGGCGACCTTAGCGAAAAGCTCGCCGCCTCTAACGAACTCCATGACGAAGAAGATCTTGGTTTTGGTGGCCATGACTTCTTTTAATTCGACGATGTTGGGATGACGAACGAGTCTCATGACGGAAATCTCGCGTTTGATTTGATCCATCATACCTGGTCTCTTCAACACTTGTTCCTTGTTGATCACTTTGATGGCGACGCTCTCGCTCTGGCTCTGGCTCTCGCTCTCGCCGCCGATGATCTCCTTGCCGTAATAGACTTTCGCGAAGGTTCCTTTGCCTAATAGCCTTCCCATCTCGTATTTTCCGAACAGAATTCGCCGCTCTTCATCCATTTGATATATACGTATCTCTGTTTGATATTGTTTCTGGTGACTCTCAGGGAGAAGAAGGGATAGAGGGAAAACGAAAAGGAAAAGGAGATGATGATGATGAAGGAGGAGTAATGAGTATTAAGAAAAACTGAAGTTGATCCATGAGTTTTGGTTAGTATTGCGGCAGAGAGGGATCCATAAGGATATACATTCAGAGCTGAACAAGTGTGATTTCATGTTCACCATACAAGAGAAAATGGTGGTGAAGAAGACAAAGATAGAGTGTGCAAAATGGAACAAACTACCATACACAGGAGTCCGTTTATATACTTACTCTCTCAATCGTAACCACGTAATAATCCCCACTCACAATGCAATATTTAGTTTTCTATCATAATGAAAAACAAATTTTAAATTTGTAAGAATGTTAATATGTCAGGCTCTATTTCACGAAATAACTAATTAAAAAATAGTTCTTAAAATTATTTAGAAACTGTTTAAAGTGGTTTAGAGAAAATAGAACAATAGGAGAGCGTATTTGTGCTAGAAAATACGTATTTTATTGTATGCTATTTTCTACACATGGTAGATTGTGCTTGCTAGATTTATTCTTAAGAAAAAGGATTCAGACAATGCCGTTTGAGTTTTTTTTTTGTGTGTCTAAATTCGTTAATTAATTGGCCAAAACTAGGTCTAGATGCTACAAATAATTTCTAATATACGTTATTTAAAAATACTTAATATGTATACCCTATTACCCCATTTGTTACATTTCCTTCTTGTTTTACACACTAAATTCTTATATCCTTTACTATATCAAGTACATGTCACGAATCAATACCTATAAATTAACAGATAAAATTAATTTTAGCTGCAATATATCAATTTATAATAATAATAAAATTTTGAATGTTAAAACAATCCACGTCAAAGTAAATATATTTATAGCTTGAATAAGAAATAGCTAAATTTATATGAAACTATCAATTTTCTGAATAAAATATAACATGCGTATAACTGAAATTTATTTTGAGTATTGTTGAAATTTCCGTTCTTGATCATTTCTGAATTTATTTTGCAGTAAAATTTTCAAAAAATAGTATAAATCTTAACATTTTAACCAAAAAAAAAGGAATGTGATAGGTTAATGTTTTAAGCGATGTATTAATAATTGACAAAACTTGAGACACGCCTTCAAATAATGTCAATAGTTCCCTCCAACGGTCTAATACCTTTTGTCCCCTTATCTTATACGGTGGTTCCACCCAACCTTTCGTATATAAAATTTAATCTTAATTTAAAATTCAATTTCATAAACTAGTACAAAATTATAAGTTTCTGGTGAGTATAGACTATGGAACTCTAAGTTACATATGATTTAACCCGAAAATCCATAATTATATATATAATAGCTCAAAATCAATTATAACATATTTTTCTTCTCAAATCATATATATGTGTTCAATTCTATTATTTTCTTTTGATATTAGAAAATACTACATGGTAAATTCCAATCATCTCAGAATTTTAATAGAGAAAATATGGTCAATGATAAATGTTTATAAAGTCTAGTTCAAATCCGATAGAAAAAGAAAAACCATTTTTAGTAGTCATTATTTTACAAAAGTTAATAAGTTTTAATCCGCTAAAAGTAGATATTATTATTGTATGATATGGTTCATGAATATGCTTTATCACATGCCTTCATATCGGTGACATCGCTTAAACTATTCAATCCCAAAAAAAAGGAAAGACATCTACAGAGAATATACAGATAAAACTTTATATTTTATAAAGTCTCAACCGAAAGGAACTCTAAAAGTTCAAGTCTTTAAGACATGTTTCTTATTTGCGAGGCTCGATAAAAAAATTTCACTGATCTCAACATATATTTTGATTTATGAATCTGTCTCATACATTCTAAAACAGAAACAATAAATAAAATAATAATTCTTGACGTGTAGTTTGAGTGTTTTAAAAAACAGTTTTAACAGTTTTTCAAGTATTTTGAAACGGTAACTCTATTAGCCAAAAGTGAAAAGTTTCATAAGATAAATATTATTAGCCAAAACTTAAATATCATAATTCATAAGATAATAGTTATTAGCCAAAACAAATGCACCGTGACGAGCATAAGACAGCTTTTGCTATCCTGGGATGTAAATTTTTCCAAAGTAGGAAGATCTGAAAATAATCATTGCGTTCACGAACGAATGTTTTGGTTTATGGTTTTTTTTTTGCTTTAAATAAATTTAAGGGATTAAACAGCAACGACTCTGCTGGCAATCGAACCCAGAATGGTTTCGTAGACCATCTCCTTATGTTTTGGGCTTCCTGATCAGAAATTGGGAGCTTACCATTAATAATAACTTTTTTAAAAATAATCATATACGAACTTTGAAAGAAGTAGGTGGAAGCCAAAACTAAAGGTATAAGAAAACAACTAAAGAGAACAGAAAATGTGAACTCAAAGAGAAAAAAGGTTGATTTCTTACAGTCAAAAGAAGCCAATGTCGAACTATACAATAAAGAAAAGCTTAAAGAAGCTGTGCATGAGTTTTACAGAGAGAAAAGCTTTTGCTACATTTGAAACCTAATCAACACTCTTTATTATTCGTTTATTCATATTCAAAGCATCACCTTCACAAAGCAGGCTTTTTATATCTATACAGTTTCCTCCTGCTTTTTCAGCTCTGAGTACATTCAAATGGATGGAAGTTTCCTTCTGCAAACTCTTGCATCCTAAACCTCTGCAAAAGCTCCACCGACCTGCAAATGTATCAATCCACAACAACAAAACATCAACTTCACTTTTATGAACTCTGAAACCGCCTTTGAAAGTATCACAGAAAAACTTACAGAGGGTTCTCTCGACTGCGGCTTAGCTTCTGTTGATTGCTCTCCATTGCTTCCACTACATTGGCCGTCGCAGGCCCAGCTGATCCACCCGCTACAATCGACGAGACTGATGCGATGGGGCTCCAAATCTTCACACACATTTTTTTACTTGCAAATGTCAATTTAAGAGTTATTGCAGAGGATATATAGCTTTTGGGCACTTGCTTACCTTTATTGTGTTATCGATTCCACTAGTTGCTACAACGCTATCAAACGGATGGCACTGAATGCAGTTCACAACTAGAAACAAAAGATTAACTTTTTAGCCAACTAATGAAATTCGGGTTAAAAAAAAGTTTAACGTAATGGAAAAAGTGCAGAAAAAAAAAAAAAAAAACCTGCTTCGTCACCGACAAGCACTTTCATAAGTCTCCCCGTCTGTTTCTCCCATATAAACCACCTACCATCATCGCTTCCACTCGCAATATATTCACCTGAAATTAGGTAACAAAATGTTCACAGAAAGTCAATAATACCACACTGGAATTGCATTCAGATAACGTAAAACGTAACCCAAAAATCTTACCTCTCTGACCGAGAAAACTGGCTTGCTTAATATCAGTTCCAACGTTACAGTGGCCCACGAATCTACGCTTCATATCAATGGCTCCTTCTGGCTGTACTCACCAAAATACCAATAGTGTAGATGGTATTCGTCAAACGAAAAGTGTGTAACACAGCATAAAAGAAGCTAGATATTAACTCGAAACCCATTCAATCTGCTAAAATTGTTCCTATTGTCAAATCCAATTAAACTATATCATAGTTTAGAAACTAACCTGATAGGAGGTTCTATCATTTTGAGATGACGATGCAGTTCCTGATGAGGCATTATCCCCAGTATTTTCCATGGGCTTATCATCCCCTACTCTATGAATTCTTAGATTTAGACTGCCACGCATAGCATTCGAGTCTGGATCTCGTCCTTCATCATCCGACATGGAAGTTTGAATGTCAACCTCCAACTCCTCATCATAATCAGATTCTTCTCTTTCGGATCTCGACATGTCATGTGAACTGTCACTGTTGGCTTCTGATCTATATAGTATGTCGCTCAAAGAAAGTACTCTAGCAGTTCCACCTTCTGGCTCTTCATTTTTTTCGGCACCAGCTGATTTGTCAATCAAAAGACAAGTACACCAATGTTAAAATGTAAAAAGATATTTCCTCGCCCGTGGAATCATGAAAGCTTTTAAATACATAAATACTCCTTCGGAATGAAAGAATTCCCCAAATCTAAAAGAAGTGCTCTAGTTCTGTTAATTTAATACACATTTGAATCAAAAAAACAAAAATTTAGGCACATTATACAGCAAAATATTCACTGGACAAACAATCAGAGGAAGAGAGAGAAGCCTGTCACGCTTCAAGGGAAGAGCCAAAATGGACTTGAAGATGAATCTACGAATCCATGCTTATGACTCTTATCTCGCGTTCATGATATATTCTCCTCATTGATTACTAGTGACGAATGGTTATAATTCATTACAAATTAAAAACAAAACAACTAGGCAGAAACGTCTTGAAACTCTATCCTAGCTCAACGGATAAAACAGAACCAGCAGGAAACAAAACAACTAAGCAGTTCATCTGTAAGGAAAGAAATACATTATCGGTCACGAACCTGCTTGAAGATCCCTTTTAATGCTCTCCACCTTTGCCACTATATCGGCATCTGATGGGTTCAACTGTTGCGCAGCAGTCGCAAATTCTAGAGCTTCTTTACATTTTCCCAACTGTGTGAAAGCACAAATAGATAACAAAATGGAAGTGTGACTTAAATAAATGCTTATTGCTAGGATTATCTCTATGTCAAATTGTAAACTATAATTTAAGGATGATTAGAGCTATGAATATACTTGCTGCAATGCTTCCGACATGTAGTAATGAGCTTTAAAAGAAGAAGCATTGATTCTCCGAGCGTTTTGGCAATCTCTTACGGCCATGTGAGCATCATTCTTCCACTTTCTCTGGAAATTAATGGATTCAGCTGATTGAGGTTATCAAGAGGATAAATGTAGGGATTAAAGGTAGTTATAGACACCAGTTCAAAAGAACCTTGAGTAACAATGCGGCACGAGTACAAAGGCATTCATGCCTTAGCGCGGACTCAATATCATTATAATGCGCATCCAGAACTTCATTAGCTGCCTCGATTGCATAGAAAACATCTGTACCCTCTTCTAAAGACCTTTTGGCAATTTCTACCAATTCGGTGCACTTCTTTAACTGAAAAGAATGGAGTCAGATGCACTAAGTATATGGAATGACAAGGTCACTTCACAGAACAATTACAAAGGGAGGTGCGAACCGTCGTAGCAATGCCATTTCTGTGAAAGCCATTTTGAGGAGAGGTGGAAACCCGAGGTGGAGATTTTACATCGTGGAGAATGTTACTGAAAGAAAACAAGTTGGTTACATCTCCTGGTGTGTATTGCATGGTCCCAGTGCCTACAAGTGGCAAACAAAAGAAAGAATCAACAGCTATTGAGCTTAAAACATAGCTGCAAAATGTAAAAAAGGGAGATTTTCGATGCCCAGAGCACAAACCAATATTTCTAAACTAAGTGGTGCAAGTATAAATTGTCAACTCGATGAGAGAAACAAACATAACAAAAAGTAAGCAAAGTTCTGATGGGTTAATATATTCATCATTCTTATCTATTTTTCAAAGGGGTTCACATGATAGCAAAACCATTTGAATCCTCCACAAAAATCAAATACTATCCAATTGATCCATGGAGGGTTTTCATGCAGGAAAACAATGTCCTCAGCGGAAGGGGCATTAGAAATGAAAGTAAAGAGACATAAATTAAAAAAAAAACTTTATTTTGATAGCAACAGTCACTTCTCACTTAAAAAACACAAATATATACCGCATGCTTAACTATTCACAAATATAATCTTAATGCATTCCAACTGGAAATACCATTATTTACATTCATCAGGTACACATGCTCCCCGCTGTAACTGAGCAAAACTTCTTCGCCATTAGGACTAAACGTAACATGAGTTAGGTGCAAATTTGTTCGCCCCTGAAATATTTCAAAGATGTAGCGGACAGTGAGTTTGGAAAAAAACCTAACACAGCAATGCAAAAGTAGCAGATATCTAAATATCAATCAAATTAAACTGACACGTTCAGATAGATGCATGGGACAGAAATAATTGACACATGGAGGGGGAGGCATCCTTTTCCGACATGATGTCAATGGTGGGAGCATCCTTCTATCGTACAAACGAGCAAATGCATCACTGTCAAAGAGTAAAGAAAAGAACAAGAAGTTAATATAGCAAACGAGAGGACTCTTATTCACTAACACGGAGGCAAGTACCTTCCACCAACGAGAAGTAGGTGTGGTCTTGTGGCACTTATATCGCAAGACTTCAGGGAGAGAGTTTGCTTAGGAGGATCAGCTAGTGCTCTTTTGGCACCACTTCGAAGGTCAAGCTGCAAAATTCAGAGCTATCAACATGGCTTCAATTTGCAGAAGAAAAACTTCATAAGAGCCACACCATATACAAAAAAAGTATATAACGTAATTGAAAACAATGTAACCAGAGTTTGGAAATTACGAGAACACTGCGGCAATCTTGGTGAGCGGATCCAGCAGGAGGACAAGAGGTAGATTCCCGGAAATCATGCTGCCGTAGAGTCCCATCTTCACTAGCACTCCATACAACATTGGGGTTACCAGGTTCGACCTACATGATGGTAAAGACATCTGATAAATAAACAGCTCAAAATGGAATATTCAAATACCAGTCAAAAAGTCTTACAGCTAGTTTTTTCACTCTTCGCGTGTGACATTGGTACAGTGCCGATGGTACAATAGCATTGTCATCATCTGCTCTACCGCTTAACCCGGATAGATTGAATAGCCTAACCTATAATATACGACAAACACACGCACACACCCCAAAAGAAAGTTATATGAATACCAAACTCAAAAAAAAAACAAATGAAAGCACAACCCAACATGAGTAGTTTTATATACTTCAGCATCTCCAGCACCAGATACCACAAGCTCGTCAGAGGTTTCAGGGACAAACTTTGTACAGAATATGTTCGCTGTATGTCCTGTATCTACAGAATGCAGAAGCTTTCGACTGGAGTAATTCCAAATATTAACCTGCAAATTAAAAGAAGATGTAACGTTCAAGACCAGTCAACTCTACAACAAAAGAATTCCAGAGTGTTTATCTGGTATCTAAAAGAATTTCATGTACCCTTAAATCATCTGATCCAGATATCAACAATGAACCATTAGAGTTCCAAGAAATAGCATTAACACAGCCTTCATGTCCCTGCAACAGACCAACAAACATATTATACACCAAAACCATATTTAAACATAGTCAAGGCTTCAGTGATTGCAGAAAATCCATTCATCATACCCGATTTCAGTTAAGACAAATAAGTGCTATAGAACAATGATACATAAAATTCAAAAGGAAACGCTACCTCCATTTCCTGTTCCTGAGAAAGTCTCCGAACCAAGGAAGAGTGTAATTGCATTCTTTGATCAACGTCCTACATAGATAACACTCGATCAAAACCCCGTTTAGTAGGCCGCGAAATTTCGAGTTGAAGCAAGAATTGAAATTCAACTATATGTTAACAACACCTCCATAAAATCAAACTCGCGCACTGTAACTAAAACCCTAGCAATGAGAAAGAAAGGGAAGACAAATCCGAATTGGACGCAGAGGGAAAAGAAAAAGAGAAGAAAAATGAGAGTTACGTACATGACTTGGCTCCTTGGACCTTGTTTGGAGGAGATTGAAGATGTTACCATCGCGAAAGCTGAGATTCTCCATGGAGAAAGCGATCGACACCGATCAGACGGAGAAAGAAATAACAAAATATGGAGAGAAAACGAAAGAAGAGATGAAAAAGCCCTTTGCTCTTCTTGCCTTCCCTCTTTTGCAATTTTTCCGTACCAAGTTCTCTACATTCCAACACGACGAGATCCTCTGCGTGCGTGTCCTGGGTATCTATGTACGGTAAACACATCTCAGCCGTTCGATTTCCTACGATTTAATTTCATGGTGGTGAGATGACTTCTGACTGCTGACTGCTGAGCGACCATTTTTGCTTTTGATAATCGGTAGCAAAATTATTTAATTTCTTAACTTCTTTTTTTTTTTTGCTACATTGTAGAATTGTTGTAATATATTCGCTTTGCATTTTGCTGATATATTAGGTTCCAAATAACCTTATGAAAAGCCCAAGATTAATCTTGCTTAGTTATACCGAAAGATATATTTTAAAATTCCTCCAAGATTAATCTTGCTTAGGTATACCGAAAGATAAATTTTAAAAATCCTTTTTCAAAAATCAGGTTATTTTACTAGTTTTTCACAAAATTGAAAACTCGACCCTTTATTAAACCTTTTTAACATTTCCTAGTAGTACTACTAGTAGGTTCTAGATGCATGTGTAGGCTATCATGCTTCTAAACACATCAGAGCCATCCATTTTTCCTTTTCAATTTAATTACATCACCAAAACAAATCAAATAAATTGATATAGTCTTCTGCAAGTCCGTATGATTTAACGAAACCGAATAAACACAATTTTTGACTATGCAAATTAATCACCAAAATAAGTTGGTCGTCTAACGAACAAGCTGAAGTGATAAGACGGAAATCCATAACAATATACGAATAAATCCAACTAATCGAAGGAATCAAATACTCCAAAAATTGCAAGTTCCCGTAGCAAGACTAATCTTGACATGAATAGGTTACTACGTAAGGGTTTTTGAAAGCTTACCCAGAAAGAGTTACACATTCGTTGTAAAATAATATCCAACAGAGAAATTGAGTAAAGACATATGAAGAAAATGGAGAGGTTTATGTTGTGTATATATGCGGTTTTATATATGTTGTGTATCGATGTTTGAAGTCAAATTCCAAAAGCCACAATGTTTTCTGTGTTCTAGTTTTGGTCATCTGAGAAAAATATAAACATTTGTGATACAAGTCATCAACTATTCAACTACATACAACTTCGACCAATAGAAATAAGAGAAAACACATGAAGCGTGATTCCATATTCAACTATTCATGTTTTTAAAACGTGATTCCATATCCTATGGATGTGTTAAATGAATAACTAGAGACATACGAAAAACTTTATTAATATACAGAAATCTGTTTAGCTAAAGTGTTTTCGCTATTCCATTTGATCATTCAAGTATTCAACTATTACTCTATATCCACTCACATGACTAATCTAATATTCATGTAACCCAATCAAGCCCCAACTAAAATTTAATACTATAATAGTTAAACTTTCCTACTAATTTTCATTTGGTAGACGATAATCATTGTTGATAGTGATTATGAGGCAATCAACAGGGATAATCAGCCACCAACAATCATCTTTCACGACATGCAACAATCGGAGATAAACGATCATACTGATCATCCGTATCCGTTAAACCATATAAGTTCCAACCTGCTTCTACTAATTGTGGCTGATTATCCATGTTGATTGCACACATCTACAAAAGACCTTAGATCACAAATATATATTAACCAAACCAAGACAGAAACTACAATTCCCCAATTTCTGAGCTCATCAACTCCACACTTTGGTTTATCGCCATTAAACCATCAATAAAACCCAATATCATCCCATGGATTCAAGTGCAATCTGCATAACTTTGACTAACCTTTTATAGTTTGGACCATTCAATGTAACAGTGAGCTTGAGTCTGCCAGGAAAAAAAAAGTTCATTCAAGTAGATACTTAGAACACAAACAGCATATATTCCTACGAGTCTAAGAAGCATAAAGACCCAAATAGAAAAAAGACATTAATTGGATTCCATGAGAAATTTAACAAATTATATGCATACACAATTCAGACATACGTCATATGTGTAAAATAATCTAATACAAAATCTATAATTGATCATCATGAACGTACAAAGTTCTGAAACTACATCATTGCCAATCAAATTGAGAGGATGTAAATAAAGAAAGATAGATGCAGCATATGTAATAGCTAGGGGATGCAATGTGTATACATAATTTGGAATGAACAGATAAATATGAACACATAATCACTAAGATTCAATAAAGATTCATGAAGGAGAAGTTATGACAGAAAGAGAGTGAGCACGCAAAAGCAACCGTAAAAGAGATTTTTATACAACTTCCCCTTTGTGTGCTCACTCTCTTCTGTCAACTTCTTTTCCCCCATCAACATCTATAAGTATGTAAAAAGCGAATAAAAAACAAGAATATATGTATATACATATGTACATATAGCCAGGATATTCTTAGTCCAGAAACCGATGATAAAAGAAAACGAATAAAACAGGAAAGTAAACCAAAAAAAAAAAGATAACAAGTACAGATCGAAGGTACTTGAGATCAAATCTGGCAATAATATGATCGATTGATCCATAAAAGGAAAGTATAAATTTCAGTACGGACACTATAAAGAATGCAAATTAGGGTTTCTTCTCTAATTCTCAGCTTTAATTTTTTTTTAAAGGAACTAACTTGTGAAACAAAGGTAAAGGAGATAAACTCAGAAGTGAAACTGCAATTCAAAAACTCCTTTTTTTTTCTTAATTACTCCATCTATCTCATGCAAAGTATACATGTGTCGGGTGCCTCTTTCTCTCTCGAACGAAAGAAATGAGAAAATAAATAGAGAAATTTTAAAACCCTAGAATGAGTGAAATCTGGAAACATTTTCCAGAAATTAGATTAATCGGAAGGAGAAGAGATAAAGAGAAACAGAGAAGAAGGAAAATAAATAAAGTACGGATGGGAAACGCTTGGTTATGGTTTGTCGGAGAGAGAAACGTGTCTCAATCAAAGGCCAGTTGTTTGTCTTTGGGTCGTTGATTTGACCTGAGAGACGTTGTGACCCGTTGGATGTGTCTTTTTTTTTAATCAGTTCCGTCTCTTTGCCGTCTTATCTACTTAATGTCCTTTGTAACTTATTAGAGATTAGTGAGAGACACACACGCATCACCTTTCTCTTCCTTTCTTCATTATCTTAAATCTTGATTAATTCTGGTCAATATAATTTTTATAATTTGTGCCACGTTTTATAGATGAACTGATAGTCTCATAATAAAAAAACTGCTCATTACCAAACCACCATTTCATCATAGTCGCGAATCTTGAGTTAAATTTGTAGCAAAAAAAAATCTTGAGTTAATTTTTTTTTTTTTTGTTAACAAAAGAAAAGTTGTTTTGTTTGTTGTATTTAAGACTTCTGAGAAATTTGATCAGAAACTTCTTGTCTCATGAAAATGAGTAAATCAACAACAACACTTTAATGAATCCGGACACCTTGAACCCACAGTGAATTTAGAGGCCCGATTATACTTAAAAACTGCTTTGCAAGTGAGAACACAAATCATATCAGGGAGGGAATGAGATTAAATGGAAAACATTCATTCACAATCATAGTTCAAGAGATTAGCTTTTCAACCTCAATCCATATGGCTGCACATTTTCCAAAGCCTAAAGCCCTAAGAGCCCTAATCTTAACGAAATAAGAGTTCACTGTATAATTTTTTTTAAAAAGCCATGACCTTTAACAATGGCTTCCTACAATTGGTTTTGACTGTCTTGTACGGTGTCTGCACATGGAGCGAGACCGCGAAGCTGATGCTTATGGCTAAGAAGACTCTTCTATCTCTTCCTCTTCACTTCCGGAACTTCCTTCTCCACCCTCTTCATCTCCGGAACTTCCATCTCTTCCCTCTTCATCTCCAGAACTTCCATCTTCTCCCTCTTCATCTCCGGAACTTCCATCTCCTCCCTCATCATCTCTGGAACTTCCATCTCCACCCTCTTCATCTCCGGAACTTCCTTCACCTCCCTCTTCATCTTCGGAACTTCCTTCTCCTCCCTCTTTCTTCTTCTTCCCCTTCAACTTCTCCATCAAAGCTTCTATGGCCTCTGGAGATTTCTTTAGCAAAACCGCCAGGGTCTTGGACTCATCATCAGATGTATCAACATCATCAGCATCACCATCTTCATCATCAGTGTCGTTACTCTTGATCTTTTTGGAGGAAGTCCTCTGCTTTTTCACTTTCTCAGAGACAGCCTCTGATGTAGATGAACAAGGCCTTTTCTGTTTTCGGTTGTCAGTTATCTTCTTGCTGGACTTTAGAGTCTCTTTTTCCAGACCATTCTGCTTACTTTGCACCCTTCCACTCATGCGTGAGGCCGCTGCAACAATCTTTCCGCCTATATCACCCAGATTACTTCCCGTCTTTTGGTTTTGCTTCGTCTCATCATCCTCTGGTTTCTTACCAGATTTGGCTTTAGACTTGCTGTAAAACAAAGGGAGTAATTAAACTGTGAAAATCCAAAGCAAGAGAATAATGTTGTAGTTTTTATAGCTGCCTCTATGTTATGAATTCAACTCCATAATGTGTATGTGCATATGTACATACATTGATTTCAAGTACGTATACGTAAACATAACCAACCTCTTTGCTGAAGAATCTATCTTCTGTTTCTTTTTCGGCATAGCTTCATCCGCCTTTCCTTTGTCAGATGACTTACCATTACTCTTAACATTCTTCCTGTTAAGCCTGTCAATAGTTAAGACAAGATGTAACAAACATCACTGAGAATAACTTACCACTGAATTTTAAAACTCTGAGATACATTGCACAGACTCATTATCTTAACTCATGATTATTAAGGGTTTAAAAATATTGGTACTACCTAACACAAAACAGGATCTGAATCAAAACCTAAGCAAGTATAAGGAGAAATCTCTACTTTGCAATTTCCAAAACGGGCAAGAAGAAAAGGGCAAACTTACGCTTCTGGGGTGGCATCAGAGCTCTCATCGGCAGAATCGTCCTGTAATGAGAACTGAAAACGGAATATTTGAACCATTAAAAGCCAGTAATTCACAGCAGCAAATCGATAATAAATGATAAAACGCTCTATACCTCATCCGCCTTGTCATCATCTTCTTCAATCAATTCCCATCTTTCCTTCTTCATATTCAATGTCTCTTTGTCACCATCATCATACAAAACCTATTATCACAGGATGATAACAATGTAGAGTAAAACATTAATTCACAAAGAACCTAATAAATGAAAATTGAATTCACATGAGAAAGATAAATTATCCACCCCATATTATCCAATTTAGATAGATATTCAGGATCCTAGAATTCAAAAAAGTGATAACGTAGTTCATCCATATCAATATTCCATTTATGAAGATGCAATTCAGAATCCAAAAATAATCAATAGATCAACACTGAAGCATATAAACAAGAAACAACAATGATTATATGAGTTACCCGATGTTTCTTCTTGGAAGAGTTATATGAATCAACCACTCCATTGTAGAATCTGCAAAACCAATAGATCTGTAAGATTCATCACAAGTTAAATAAAGATAAACCCTAAATTTAACAAAAGACTGAATTCTCACTGGCCGTCAATCGGCCACCAGACTCTGATTCTTGAGCCCACTAAGCCTTGGCCGTAATCTTGGCCATTACAAACCTGGTAAAATCAAGTAAATTTCGAATCAATTTCGCTCATAAAGACATTAAACCTAATAGAAGAAAGCAGAAACGGAAGAATCAAAGTTGAAGAGATTGATTGAAAACCTTGTGGTCCTTATCCTTTCTGGCAGACGAACGCTTCTTCGAAGCTACCATTTTTCTGACAAGAAGAAGGAGTCTGTGCTTGGTGTAAGGGTTGTCTTACACAGTCGAAGGATAGATGAATCGATGGAGACTGAAGAAGAAGAAGAAGAAGAAGAAGAAGAAGAATCAGTTTAAATTGAGATGATTTTAGGGTTCGAAAGGGTGTGAAAATCCCCTGAAGATGTCGAACGAACCAACACAAAAGTGGCACGTGACTTTACAAAATAAGGAAGGATCGGTCACGTGAATGCTGACCACATGTTCCAGTTGTGCACTGCTGGATCCTCTTCACTGTTCAGCGTATTGTTTTTCTTCCCTTCTCTGCTTTGTATACATGTACTTAGCCAATTGTTGGTAAAGGAAAAAAATATTATTTTTGGCTATAAAGGAAGGAAAAAAATATTATTGCTATAAAGGAAGGAAAAAAATATTGCGTAATACATAGAGATTTGTAGGTTTTTTTGGTTTGTAATTCTATGTTTAGATGTATCTTTTTAAAAATAAAAAATAAAGGTTTTTTCGGCACAAAACTTTAAAATATATTAGTGAAAAGAGGCGCGAGAATGTAAGAGTAAAACAGTTTAATTAACGTTTGTTGCAGCACGGTTTTGTATGCAATTCATGCGTGTCTGTCAGATACGATTGAAGATTTCTTTTGTAAGATGTGATAGTATTGAATGTTTTTCATGCCCTAATATGTTTTATATTTAATGTCGTATGTTGTTCGTAATTAGCATGTATGTGCGAATCAAATGTTAAGAATTAAGACCTTATATTATGAGAAGAAGTCCTCTTGCGATACGGGTGGAAAATGTGTTGCCTTCGCTTGAGTGCGATGACTTGCGTATGGGATGATTGTTGCCTCAATATGACCTAGCCACCATTCTCGAAAGGACCCTCTTTGCATATGGTTTCCTGTGACGTGCTATAACTTGACATATTCTAAATATTATCATTTCGGATATCCTCAAAATTTAGGATATCAAAAATTTGTTCACTCCTAATACTTGAAACTATGGACAAATACACACATTTCTTATTTTAAGAAGTGATCATATAGCTCGTATTAAACGTTTCACTTTACATTTTTACAACAACAACAACCAAAAAATTGGATAACAGCAATTGCTTTTTTTCTGTTGGTTAAGTAGTATTCCACATTTAGATGAGCAAGCAAATACGCATTGACATTTTCTTTTTGGATAACAAGAAGCAGAATCTTTCATTTTGGTGTTATGTGTTGGTGGTGTTATCTGTTGGATTCCAACAGAATTTTCTAAGAAAATGGATTGGTAGATCGTAGATGATGAACTATTATTGAGAAGTGCTTTTATTTAAATGTGACTAACTATAGCTTGTTCTTATATGGATTACATACAAGTACACATTATTGAATATACATTAGTATGCATATATTAATTTATATAAATATATGAATTAATTAGTACAAAGCCGTAGATTATGTTTCAGGTTAAGTGGGAAGCACGATGATGCCTTGACTCCGTAATATAATGATCAGATTCAATATTCCTTTATCCTTTTTTCTTCCCAATAATTGTCTTTTTTGTCCAATTAATTCTGAGTTGGAGAATCGTATCATGGATTTTTTATGCACAAAAATAGAGGAGAAAGTTCGAAGCTGTTTTGATCTAGAAATATGGTTCTATACTTCTATACATGAATGAGTATGTTGTAAATCACTATATATATAAGATTTGTCTCTGGAGTAGCTAGTTCCGACTACGTAACGACATTGAATATATATATATATATATATATATATATAATCATTCAGGAAAGAAAAAGAAAAACATCATTGAAGAAAGAAAATATTTTCTAGGCAATAAGTAATTTATACTAATGTATCCATATGAAACATTGAAACGTATTCGTTGTATGCGAATATCTAAAGTCAATTTTATAATTACAACTACTTTGTCTAATCTTTAAAATATAACAACTATCTTGACTTAACTTATTCTCGATATGTAATCAAATTCAATATACCGTCTAATCAATATATACAACTTTTGATATGTAATTAGGGCCGGATTTGAGATTTTGGGAGTTTGAAACAAAAAAAATTGAAAACCATTAAATTTATTTTATAAAAATATATATTTTTAATTTTGTATGCCAGACTTGATCAAAAAATTTGGGACTGAAAATGTTTTTTTTTAAATTTAATGTAATTTTTTATTTAAAATTTTTATTATAGATTAAATTGGACTGAAAAATTTGGAAACCAAAATAATTATTTTAATTACCTTGTAGATAATAAGTTATAAAATACTATAATTATTATAACAATGTAACAATATATTTACTATAAATTATATTTAAAATAAAGAAAAAATAATATTGGAGGTAGGTTTAGAAAAGCATTAAAGAAAATTAGGGAACTTACAAACAAACGGAATTTCCGTGATGCACATTAATAGAAAGAAAATGGTCATCAATCATATGAGAAGATTATATCACATCATCTATTTAATATAAACAATTATTATAAATTTGTGAACGGACAATTCGGATAAAATAATTGGTAACTGGCCAAAACGTAATGATTGATGTAAGAATACACACGGTAAAACGTCGTCGTATGAAGCTTCCAAAAACCATTAGTCAAGCAAAACGGCATCGTTTTTTGATTCACCACTTGTCTCAATGGCTTCTCTATTTATCACTTCATTATCTCCAAAGCCTTACCCCCTCTCTCTATCACTTGAAACCTCAATCTCTCTCTGGTTGACCCGAGAATTTCTCTCGCAGACACACAGATCTCTCCTCGAATCCGCTAGATCTGTTCGTTTTCGGACATCTGTATTGCGAAATCTGAGGTTTGTTCCACTTGTTTGTCTGATTCATTTTCTTAAATCGGATTTTATTACCGCTTAGGGTTTGGTTTTCGTTCCATTTCACCCCAGAGAAACGCGATTTTTCTGATCTTCTTCGGGTTGTTTTTGCTTTTTGTTTTTTTCAGATCGGAAGATTTCGTTCTCAGATCTATCCATCTTATCTCCGTACAGGTTCTCGTGTCTCAGAGTTGACGTATGCTGTGTTTTCAGATCTGGGTTGTTTGTATATCTAAATCTTGTGTCGAGAATTGGAGATGGCGGAGACTCTCAAAGAAGATTCGATCATGATTCGAGAGGTTTGGAGCGAAAATCTAGTTGAAGAATTCGCATTGATCCGTGAAATCGTCGACAAATACAGCTACATCGCTATGGATACTGAGTTTCCAGGGGTTGTATTGAAGCCGGTCGCTACTTTCAAGTACAATAACGACCTTAACTATCGGACTCTCAAGGAGAACGTCGATTTGCTGAAACTGATCCAAGTCGGGCTAACATTTTCCGACGAGAACGGGAACCTACCGACTTGCGGGACGGACAAGTTCTGCATCTGGCAATTCAATTTCCGTGAGTTCAATATCGGAGAGGACATCTACGCGAGCGAGTCCATCGAGCTGCTGCGTCAGTGTGGGATTGATTTCAAGAAGAACGTTGAGAAAGGTATCGACGTGGTTAGGTTCGGGGAGCTTATGATGTCTTCAGGGATTGTTTTGAACGATGCAATCTCTTGGGTTACTTTCCATGGAGGATACGATTTCGGGTACCTGGTGAAGCTGTTGACTTGCAAGGCATTGCCTGTGAAGCAAGCTGATTTCTTCAAGCTGCTTTACGTGTATTTCCCCACGGTTTACGATATCAAGCACTTGATGACTTTCTGCAACGGGCTCTTTGGTGGATTGAACAGACTCGCTGAGCTTATGGGAGTGGAGAGAGTTGGGATTTGTCATCAGGCCGGGTCAGATAGTTTGCTCACCTTAGGCTCGTTTAGGAAGCTCAAGGAACGTTATTTCACCGGGTCGACTGAGAAATACACTGGAGTCTTGTATGGTCTAGGTGTGGAAGATGGTACTACTACTACTGTTGCTAATTAAGAGAAGAAAAAAAGAAGCTTAAGTTTCAGGGGACTGGATTAGATTTTTCTTTAGTCTTTGTGAGTGTGAGACCAATTAGAATTCTCTCTTTGTGTAAATTGGCAAAAATTGGTTTTTAGTAAGTGACTGTTGTGTCTTCGTTGTTAATTTCTTTTCAGGAAAACCCCCTTTTGATCAAAATGAGGGGGTTTTGTTTAGCTTTGAGTTTCTGAATGTATATCAGTTCAGCTACCCGTTTCATTAATAAATAATCTCCAATTATAATTATTTCTTCTTTCGTGTTCTTAGTAGTGACATTTTTAACTTCAGTGTCTTGGTTTGCTTTGTGTCCAGCTTAAGAACTGAAGTCGACAAATATGCCCAGACTTGTAGCAGACAAATAATCCAAAACAAACTAAAGTTGTCAACATAAAAATAAGAAACATGTCTCCATTAAAGAAGAGTTTTAAACAGATTGAAAAAGCATTTCTCAGAAGACTGTTCTCACAAAGTCAGTGTTAGAACTTCTCCTGGTCCCACATTGTAATGTGCAAGTGACATGTTGTTGTCCTCTAGAAATCCGGCTTTTCCACACAAGTTGAGTTTGTTTGCTGGAATTTGGATCTCCACAGCAATTTTCTCCTTGAAACTTTCCACGATAGACGAGCCCTGAAAAAGGAGTATGACTGCTTTGTTAGTTAGACTTAGACATATATCAGATGAAAAGAGAGAAAAAAGAGAGAGTCAAGAAGAAAACATCACCGGATGTTCCACAAGGGCTGGCTCGTCGTCAAAGTGGCGTCTCTTTGGCTCTGGTGGTTCCCCAGGCTGCGTTTTTGAATACAAATTTGCATAAATATGAGTCACATCAACCAAAGCCAACTCCATTCTCAACAACGGTGGTTGTAGCCGTAGTACAAGCAGTAAGAGTATTCGTCTTGGAAAATTTGGCGGCATAGCCAGCAGCAAGGCGGTTGAAATAAGTGATTGGTTTCATAAACTCAAAACGACTGTCCATATCACCGCTATTCATCAGACTCCTATGGAAATTCGACCCATGACGCGCCACAAACTGCGCTGTGAGCTTAATCATATTTCAACATAAAAATAAACTTTGTCTAAATTCAAAAAAAATATATATTAAAAATAAACTAGTTAAAGAAATGAATTTTTCAAAACATTCATCTAGCAAAAGATGAAAAAAAACTCTAAAACCCCTATATTGTTTATATTTGTAGTTTTTTTTTAGAAAAAATTAATCTTTAACATAACTTTAAATCATAAACACCTAATTGGTAACAGAAATATCTTGCAAAAATCCCCGAGCCTAGCCGTCCCCATTTTCTGGTTGCCGTCGAGGCCGTCTCCGTAAAGTACCCATCTCCAAAACGCTTCTGGTATGGGAAACGTAGGGTAGATGACGTCCCCGTGCATCACAGGGAGGAAACATAACTATATAATTGGTGGGAGGCAGATCCTTGAGCTCGAGTCCAGCAAGTTCACGACTCATGATCCCTTCATCATCATCATCTACACTAGACTTGGGAAACTCGGTCTGCTGCTGCTGCTGCTTCTGCTTCTGCTTGTATTCGGAGATCTTTTGCTGGTAAAATTCGTGATAAGGATCTGAGCTCCAGAAAAAGCTGAACTTTGGATTCCCCACGCTCTTGGCCTTGACCCTCTTCTCAAACTCCGGCCCATTCTCGCAAACCAATTCCGCCGATCTCTCGATGAAAAATCTGATCACTCTAGATAAACCCGCCGGAGCCGGACCTTCACTTGATTCCTCCAATTCACTCTCATCACTTGATTCCAATTCCAATTCATACTCATCACTTGATACCAGTTCATTCTCAGACATTTTTTCCGGTTTTTTTTTTTTACCGAATTTTAGTGCTTTGAGACGAAGCACACGTGATATATTTTTATACAAGTATGTGCCTAAATCGACTAGGAATATTAACATATTAGATAACACTAAATCTCTTAGAATAAGGAAAATATCCTCATCTCAATAACACGCTTGCTTATTGGGGGAGGAACGCACGAAGAATCTTATGAATCTTCCGTTTCCTCTCTCTCTTTTCTCTCTCACGCTCGCTTATAACCCTCTCTTTCTATCTCAACTTCTCCCCCTTATTCTTCAATCTCTCTAATTCTCTAATTCTCTAATTTTCTCGGATGATCCTTTTTGTATGGGAGGCGTCTTCCTTTTATAGCCCAAGCCCTGTTGCTCTTAAAACCGACTTGAAATAGGTTCTCGGAGATGCCATGGAATTAAAAACACAAAAACAAAAACAAAAAACTTTATTAACGTCTTTTTTTATACTACTAATTGCAATATTATATGGATAAGATCAACTTACCGAGACCTAAACAATGAATGCATTTAAACTATAAAACACTTCAGAACTTGGGATCTAGCGACGAAAACCAAGAAAGAAACCCATTATTACTACACCAAGCATACTGATTAGAGAAGAAAAATATTGCATTGTATAATATTGTTCTTTACCAGACAATCTAGATGATTGATTGTTAAACTCGATACTGGAACTTCATAAGGAATATGAGAATCCTTGATCGTGTTTACTTCTTTTCCTTTAATGCATTGCCTGAAGTAGGCGATTATGCGCGTATCCCTCATCAAACGAGCATCCTTTTGTATTAAAACGCTGTACAAAAAGAATACATATATATCAGATGAGAGTGTTCGAAGAACTAGCTTTTGTACAGGAGATTTAATCTCTATCAACTGAGCTGTCTCATCATCATTACCGTTTAACCAGAACAACCCAGCTGGTAGGTTCTTGCTGAGAGCAGATATGTTGATTTTTACTTACGTGGGAAGGAGAAACATATCTCAATAACTCCACCAATAAATCATAGCCAATACTACAAGACAGTAATCATAATATTATTGACATCACACACAAAGAGATACAGAGAGCGAGTTACCTTTAACCCATCCTGGTGTATTAATGACAAGAGGTAATTTGGTTTTGTTCTTGCTCGACTTGGACAAGTGTAGCCTGGTAGTAATCGAATAAGGTATATACACTACCGTAAATACGCCTTTGGATCCCTCTTTGAAGATGCATCACCATAGAAGAGAAAAGAGGACAAATGGCTTTAAACATTAAACTAAAGACTCGGTGCTACTGATATCATGAAAATTTGCTCGAATCAAATTACCTCTCTGGTGTCTTTACACATGGAACTGTTCCGAGTCTAGAAAGTAGAAAATGTAAACCAGTAACATAAGTGATCGGAACAGCGTTATAAAATACAGGTTTCAAGAATGTAAACAGCAAGAATCTTCAAAAGCATCAGTATGAATGAGGTACCAAGAATTGATTTATCGACAACTGTGAGAGAAAGAAAACCAGGTGCAGTGAATTCAGGCTGGCCAACAATACATCCGTGTCCAAATAATCAACCCTTTTGTATCTTTAAAAACCACAACTGTCAAATCTTCAACAAACTCATTCAGACAAAGCAGCCATGATAACAAAACAATGAAGGAAAGATTCCGTTCTCTAACATAAGTGTCAAATGTCACTCTGATTGGCAAGCAATGAACTTTGGAGAAGAACTTGAACAAGGTTACGGGAAAATGTGCTCTTGCCACTGTGCTTAGGGCCACAGACCAAAGCTACAACCGGCTGCAACGAACTGCAGGAAACAGAACTTGCTGCATCCGACCATTCCTCTGGAATTAAAAGGCGATTTCTTTTCTGCTTCCAACATTGCAGCCACACCTTTGCCACTCAGTCCTTTCTTTGTGTGCAAATCTTGTTAGTCAACAAAATTCAATAGAAAGCCAGCAACTTACTATCAGTGCTTTGAAAAAGGGTTTCACGCTATGGCATAACAAGAACAAAGGTTCATTTTTTTACACCTAAACACACGACTATAGACTCTAAACTTGAATATGATCCAAGTAGAAAGACTTCACCATTCGATTACCACACGATCTAACCTTGATTCCATTACCTAAAACATCACAACAAAATCGTTTCTAGTCTAAAATTTTACGATGATACACCGGCTAATCTAGGTGAAGGCTCTACGAACCTATGGGATGGGTTTCCAAGGTAACATATCGCAACAGAAGCTCTACATAAACATAATTGTTAAATATCATGCAGAGCGACGAAACTGGAAGCCGTCGGAGAAAAAAAAAATTACCGGCGATTTGGAGCCGTCTGAGGAGAAGAAACGACAAGCAAGATTTAATTGCCGTCAAAACCGAACCGGAAGTGACCCAAAATTTATTCGAATTGAGTTAAAAAATTTAAAACCAGTATTTTCAAACCGGGATCAATCCGGTAAATAATTCGATCCGGATCTATGAACCGGTAAATCCGACGGTTCATTTGTTTATTTATTTATTTATTAATAATCCATTGGATATCCTTCACCTTAGTTGTTGAGCACCCATATAATTTTTTTTTCATTTGTTAGAGAATCAGCTAAACAGCTTAAAGGTTCTCAATATATTTTAACAGTAGAGTAAAGTGTGAATTTATTTTTCTAAGCGAATTTTAGACAAATTTCTGAATTTATGAAAGCATTGGCTACTTTTGTCAGCTAATGCATTCATCATATAAGTCAACAATGATAGAAAACAGAATTTGATTGTTAACTCTAAGTTCACTTAACTTTCAAGGCGGGTTTACAAAACCATTAAATATTTCTATGGTTTTGCCCATAAAAACCTGGATATTTGAATTTGGTTGATAAATCCACAGGAATTTGTTATATAAATCTATGAACTTTACTATAACTTGCACTATAGATTATGAAACAAAGAATCGAACACTTCAGATTTTTCAAAGGCACAAAAAGTTGATATCATCCAAAAATTTGTAGCCATGTCGTGATCAGGAGTGATCTTGTAGTCCATGGAGTGTTACGATTGAGTTTGAGTTGCTCCTTGGAGATAACAAAAGTTATAATAAAAAAAAAAAAAAAAAAAATCACCAGCCCGTTACGTGTAATAGTCCAATCAAGATTTAGTTAAAATAGTTAACTAACACAATTGATTCTCGAATCAGCTTCCCAATTTCTTTAATTGTAGATCGTTTCGTAACATTGGACCCACCAATTATATAGGTCGCATTCGACAAAATACACAACACATTTAAACTACTTGTCCTAACAATTAGATCTTTGGATTTTACTACAGATTTGTTTTATTTATTTTCTTCTTCCACTACGTATTAATTTAGGCTAAAGTTTGGAGAAATTATAAATATATCTAAGATTCTTATCACAGCCTAGATGAGACCCTTTGTCGTTTCACTTTGTTTTCCCACCCAAACGAGAACAATTTATTGGACTTCGAAATGTTCAAATGAGCCAAAACAATATTCCTTTAATATTTTTTTTTATATGACGTTATCTTCAATCACTATCAGGCAGCGAACACTGAGTCTAGACATCACTATATTTACAAGCGATGTCAAATTATTAGGATAAATGTTAGTTATTACCTAAGGAAATTAGAGCTTGTACTTGAAATATATCTATTGTTTAAAAGAAAAAGGATACTTTCACTCTACTCTCAAGTGGATCTGAACAGCTAAATTGGCTTTAAAACCAAAGTATTCATCATTTGTGAAATAGAGTGATATTAATCATGTCCCTTAATTCACAATAACATTCAAGTGGAAAGCAAACCATAGTAAAAAGGTTCCAAAAATTATTCATCAATATGGATACAAATACAATTCTACATGATCAATAAAAAACAAATTAAGCAATACTGGTCTCAACAACACAAGAATGGGACATGTGGCTGAGGTTTTCTAGAGACTATATATGGGCACAAGAAAATTTTCATGAAAAAGTGGATATCACTTTGAAGTAGAATGTGTCCTCTGAGTTTGGGATTGTGTACTCAAAACCCCTTCACCGTAAAATCCGGGTGCTTGCAGACTATCGAGGATTCCAATGGTTATAAGTTATAACTTATAAAGAGGAAGGAGAGTGAATATGAAGAAAACTTTAAAAGGAGGAAGTGAAAGAGGACAAAATTGAGAGAGAGAGAGAGAGAGAGAGAGAGAGAGAGGCAAAGGAGTTAAACAGTAGAAAGCTAAAAGGAAACAGGCATGGCCACTTTCCTCTCGAAGTTTCAAAAGTACACAGAAACATCAAACATACCTGAATTATATCACTTGGTCCACTCTCTCCTTCTCTCTCTTGTCATTGAGCATCCTTTTCATTTCATTGTCACTTGTTGTCATCTTCATCTACTCCGTGAATATTACAACAAGTTGTCGCTTCATCCAACAAATAAAACCGGTCCCAGTTTCAGAAAATCTTTCGAAGTGCTCAGCTTTCTTTTGTCTTGTTCCCCTCATCCAATTCCTTTTTTCCTTATACAAAAGAGTCTAAAGTCTCCATTAGTTTAGAACTAGTGAATACTGTACATATATTCAATGACACGTTTGAAGGATGGGATACTAAGGAGGGTTTAGTAATTTCCTTACATATTTATTCGCAGTTGCATAGGCTAATATAATACCATATGAAGACAAGCTTGCCCCTATAAGAATCCGTCCACAGAAAAACAACGTATCCATCAATCAGAGCAGGATTTTGCCTAGTCACATGGCCCAATCGATGACCAAAATATCAAGAATAGTTCTTGATAAAATCTCACCCGGAATAAAACTCATTCGAAAGGCTTTCTTGAATAAGGGATCAAACTTTACCTGAGGTACAACAAAAAGATGTGACATGTAAACTCGTTGTTTAAGAAGTTTAAGCACATAAAGGCACAAGACTGAGAGAAAAAAAAAAGAAGTTGATAAATTTTATGCAATGATAGAGAATAGATATTGGTTTATCGAAGGAGAAATTAAGCAGACAGAAAAAGGTTGATGTGAAGTGAAAGTTGTTCCTACAAAAGGATAAACACAGGTATTAGATGGTGGAGTTCCCATCAGCTTCAAGTGTTTTGTTGTGTCTTTTTGTGTGTGTGTGTGTGGTGTGTCATCAAACCAGACCTACCTATCTCTCTCTCTCTCTCTCATCTTCTTACTACTTTTTCCACTTATTTATAAAAAAACCCAAAGCATTTGTACTGAGTCTATTCTTTCCTTATTTAGTATCAACTTCTGCTCCCCCTTCTGAGAAGATTATGCATTCTTTCTTTCTTAGGCAATTTCAGATATTAGCCATTAATCCGAGAGCAGAAAGACAACTGAAGGGAACAAAAATATAACCTGGAAAATCATTTTACTCTTGTTATCTCCCTCATGGATGCCTACAGGGACGAGCCAAGGCAGTCAGATTCCGCACGCATAGTTTCCACATCCACCACTCTTCTTCCATTTCCAGATTCTCTAAAGCTGAGTCTAAAAATTTACAACATAGGCGCAGAAGCGGCACAAGAAGAAGATGATCATGACCAAAAAGCAGGAGAGGAAGGTATAAGGCTTGACCTTACGCTAGCAGAATATGACTATAGTCAACCACAGCTCAATCAAGAACTCAATCTCATCGACAGCTTAGACACGAATGTAGTCACTCCGAGTAATAACGGATCAAGTTCCACTGAGCAGAAGCTCTTCTCATGCAACTACTGCCAAAGAACGTTCTACAGCTCACAGGCGCTTGGTGGTCACCAAAACGCCCACAAAAGAGAGAGGACTTTGGCAAAACGAGGGCAACGGATGGCATCTGCCGCAGCTTTTGGGCATCCATATGGTTTTGCTCCGGTCCCGTTCCACGGACAGTACAGCAGCAGATCCTTGGGTATTCAGGCTCACTCAATGAGTCACAAGCTAAGTTCATATACCGTCTTCGGTGGTGAGTATGGTCAGATCAACTGGTCAAGGATACCACTTGTTCAGCAACCAGCCATAGGTAAACTGTCTTCAACAGAGAATCATCATCAGATGATGATTGCTCCATCGTTGACTTCAACATGTGAAAACTTCCGTAGGTTCGATGTGGGAAGGACTCCAGTGGAGTTTCCAACTTCCGAACTATGGCGAAGAGGCGGGGAATTGTTGAAGCCTGCTGAAGAAGAGCAGCAGAAGAATCTTGACCTGTCCCTCAAACTCTGAGATTCTTTTCTTTTGGTTTTGCTCTGAAATTGTTTTCCTCGAGCCAAGCCTCTGCTCGAGTTTTGTTTTCTTTATGCTGGTTTTTTTGTTGTCATTAATTGATATCTTCACCAGTTAGTATTCTTTGTCTAATATAGATTTATGATGTACATCTTTCCACATTTCTATAAGTATGAGGGTTTTTTTAACTAGACATCAATGGATATGTAGTAGGCACCGAACCACCATAAAAGAACTTGGTGAAGCTCCTAGAAATAAAGAGAACCTTTTGATTGTATAGAAGAAAGATATGATATTGAGATCTATGGGCAGATTTGTTGTCATGGAAACAACACACACAAAAAAAGTTAATATAAAAATACAGTTGGGTTACCTAAAAGTAAGAAAAACATTCTTTTATTGGGAAGTGGTTAACAAGACACAAGAAAGAAAAGCAAAACAGATATAAAAGAAGAACTTGTTGTTAATTGTAATGATGACAAGAAGCAAAAAGCTGAGAAGAACAAACACAATTAATACATCAGATGATCCTAATAATGCAGCAAACAAAAACAAAAAACATGAAATAATCAAGAATCCAATGAAATCTTTGTGAGTCCCCAAAAATTGTGTACACTAGACAAATAGTGACCAGTCTTTGGCCTTTAGGATGAGCCTTCATGCACTAGCTACATATACATAAATAGAATGTACACAATTAACCATGTGCGTATGATACACAAAAGGTGGGACAAGAGTCAAAACCATGAGACTAGAAAACAAATTCAAAAGGAACTTCATATCATTCTAATGGACGGACTCCAACTTCTCTACATATTCTCTTGTCATTTTTGAGATGAAGAATGTCAAACTCTTCGCGTAGAATCAAATTAGGAGTATGTACATTTTCTTCCCAGTAAACACTTAGGCAAAAGACAGATGATGTTGTTTGTTTTCAGATACACACTGGCCACAACCAACGAAAATAAATCAAACAGCTCCATAAATAAAACAAGAGGAAACACCAAGAGAGACAATAACACATGCTAAAAAAAAAAAAGAAAAAACAGAGTATAATGGAACCAAACCTCATTGATTACTAGCTCTTGGGTCCAATTTTATCTTCTTGTATAACATTCTGTCCACAACAATATTCTTCAATCTGAGTCACATCTTCCTGAAACATATGCAGATTTCAGTTTTTTTTATGGATACATTATCAAGTTACGTTGCTACCAAATTCGACCCAGATATTAGCAGACAAATTGAATCAGTGCAAAGGAAAAGTATCCGTTTTGATGCTCTGTTCCTCGTGCCAGGTCCGACGATGAGATGAGCATAAGAAAAAAATAGAGAGAAGGATCAAATAAGAACCAAATTGATTATGTTTTCATGACAATGAGACATTTTCCAGGTTGTCTTATTCACAACACCATTGATAAGCACGACGAATAGTCAATGCTAAATAAGTGAAATCAAGCTATTTTCATTGTTTTCCAATAGGCATCATCGGGGATTTTAGCATCACTAGTTTTCCACACAAAAAAAAAAAGGGTTAACAAAAACAATGCTTACAGCATACAGTAGTATTAGCGTTATCGTCGACGACTGACCGATACTGTATGATATGTTATCGGCGATACACGGAGTTGAATCGGTGACGACGTGAGAATTCGTACCTTACGAGGATGATATGTTAAACTATGAGGTAATCTCTAGAGCCCAATAAAAGGCCCATAATATCCATTTTATTTGGGCCATCTATTGTCACGAACGAGTGAAAAGTGAAATAAAAAGGTCTTCCCAGTTTCCTCTTCGAGTATGTATATTATCGACGTAATAAAATTTAAATAACTCTAATAAAACAAAGCTATGAGGAAGGAATGTTCATAACTTTTGTTTAACCAAATTCACGACATCTATTACGTTTTTAGTGTTTTAGTCCCAAATTACGCGACATCCCAAAATCATTAATGTATTTAACAAAGGAAATCGACTAGAATTGAAAGAAATCAAAGAAACTTCATCATTTAAAAAGACTTAATATCATTGTTTAGCTTCAAGGAGCTGTTGAACGATTAACACCATGTACTTGATAAGGGAAAAAGAAGAAACAAAAACAAAAGGAAAGAATCCAAACACTAATAGTAATACATGATCGAAAACTAATTGAAATTTTGAGAAACTTAAGCACGTTCTCCACGAATCCGTCTAGCCAATTGAATGTCCTTGGGCATGATCGTAACCCTTTTAGCGTGAATCGCACAGAGATTGGTATCCTCGAAGAGACCCACAAGGTATGCCTCCGCCGCCTCCTGAAGAGCTAGAACCGCGTGGCTCTGAAACCTCAAATCCGTCTGCAAATTTCCATCAACAAAACAAATCCAATTAGAATCAGATCATAGCTATCATACATAACGTAACATTAGGATAATCAAAGAGATTAATTTTACCTTGAAGTCCTGGGCGATTTCACGAACAAGTCTCTGGAATGGAAGTTTACGGATCAACAACTCCGTGCTCTTCTGGTATTTCCTGATCTCACGAAGAGCGACAGTTCCGGGACGGTAACGATGAGGCTTCTTGACTCCTCCGGTCGTCGGAGCAGATTTCCTCGCCGCCTGTGTTACATAATTCGTTAGAGAAGCAATCATAAACTCAAACACGAATTACAAAATTCTACAATCGATTGAAAACCCAATCAACAACTCTTAGATCCAACTCAATTTTCGAAAACCTGACATCGATTTTATCGATTTCATTCACAGAACCTAGAAATTCAACCCCCAAATTTAAAAACCCTAGATCTTCATTTGTGCGTTCAACAAAAAGAAAGAAAGAAAGAAAGAAGATCAAAGAACAAACCTTGGTGGCAAGTTGCTTCCTGGGAGCTTTTCCTCCGGTGGATTTCCTAGCAGTTTGCTTCGTACGAGCCATTGTCTTCTCAAATATGCGAAAGGATTTGAGAGAATTGGATAAATTGCAGAGAAGCGAGTTTTCTTTGATGTGGAACAGTAAAAAGTTATTATTATGAATATATATAGGTCGATGTTTAGTCGGTTAATCTTGGGAGATACAGAAGGAGTTCGATCTGGCCATTTTCGACGGTCCAGATTTAATTAATGATGGAAGAAAACTGACGTGGCGATCCGCGTCTTCGCATCTCATTGGTTCAATCTTTGAAAGGATCGATGACGTGGACTTTTGTGTTTCTTTTCTTTGTTTCAACTAATGACAATTTGAATGATTGGTTGGTGATTAGCGAATTTAGGCCAACCCGTGTTTCTTGACCTTGAGTGTTTGTCAACGATGTAGACGTTCGGCTTAGGCCCAATTATTTGAAAAAGTTGTATAAATCATCAAAGCTAAGGTTTGATCAACCCAACCTGAATTTGGTCCGATCTTAATTTGCTTTAGTCGATCCGACCCGAATGAATTCTATCGAGATTATTTAATGGTATAACAAAATCATAAATGGACTTGTTAGTGAAATAATAATAGGAAGAACAAAAAATGATTTAATAATATGAGTCGATTCATTCATCTTTTAATGAATACTTTATATGCTCAAATTGTGCGTATTATATGGTGTACAATGGCGGAAAAATGCATCCAACGACGATTCATAGCACCGATTCGATCCCTCTTGTATGTAGCACTGTATATAATTGAACTGACAAGAAACATTAATAAATAGCTTCAGAAACATTAATGAAGATGTGCTTACGAAGAGCAATAAAGGAGGAGATCCTTAGAGCATGTCCATTAGTGAACTCTTCTTAAAGGATTCATCAGATATTAATTTTTTTTTCTTTTTTTTAATTTGAAAATTAAAAAAAAACCTTCGTTCCAATGATATCTTGCCACCTGGACGAACTTGGGTTTATCAGGGATTCATCAGGGTTGTCTTGATGAACCGATCCTTCTCATAAATGCATTATTTCTTTTTTTTAATCAAAAGTGCTTATGAACTCGAGCCGAACCCTTTCTCCAACCTCCCAATAGACGTAGTCTTAGAACACAACAAGTAAGGATGAGTAAGTAGATCCATGGGGAGTGTATCCAAAGCTTCCATAGCATGCACTTGGATTGACCCAACTTTATTTATTTGAATACATATATTTCATGATCTTTACCCGTAAGTCATCTTACATATATTTTTGACTCTAATACATGTACATTTATCCATATCCAGCTAAACTGATATTATAATTGAATATTGATATAAGTAAATCACACCACATGGAGAATATGTGATATGTAGGAAGGATAGGAGCTCGAGGTTTGGATAATTGATCAACCAATTTATTTTTGTATTTATCTAGATCAGTCCCACTCTTTGTTTAGGGTGATATATTTGGCTGTGTAATTTATTAATTCATTTTATTTGCAATGCATTAAGGGGACAATATATCGGATCAAACTTAACCTATTATGCGAAATACTGTATGTAATTTGACAATTAAATCTCACATGAGATTGTACGATATAATATAATGATGATATGAGAGAATCAGCATCAAGTTTATATTTTCCCCAAATATAAAACGAGAAATATTTTAGGTTCTTGTTGCTGAAAAGATGTTAGGAGATGAGATGTATGCGCACATGGGGGCGAGGACACATTCGTAAACTACAAACAGTAGTGCTTTGGTACGCCGCGTTACATTATTTTCCATTTTATATACATACTTACCTATCTTAAGAAAATTAAAAAAAAACCTCCGGTGAAAGATAATGTTTACTTTTATAATTATGTTTTAATTTAATATTCAACTTAACATTTCCTCACTTTTCCAGCTACGCATGTGGGGGGGGGGGGGGGGTTATTTCTTCTATTAATTAATTAAGCCCTCATACTTCCGTGCGCTGAAATTAAAGTAACCTAAAAGAGACATAACTATGGAGTTTAAAGGTTTGAAAGCTTTGACCCTACGGCGGTTGTAGCCACGTAGGAGCACGAACTAACTTGGAGCATTTTCTTAACATCTTAAAGCATGGATACATTATATATGTTTGCAATCTGTTGCTCAATATTCAAATACTATATGGCCGGTTTGCAAGCAGTTGCTAACTGTGCAATCATTTAGGGCTTCTTAGTTTCGACGTCGCTTCTTATAAACTACAGGCTTTGCTGGTCAATTATCCTAACCGATATCAGGAAAAAAAATTTCACAGTTTGGTTCGAGAAATAGCTACATTATATAATTTTAAATTTAACTAATGACATTAGTATGGCAGAATTAGATGATAGAATGAAATATTTTAATATACCTTTTTGGTTTTTTTTTTTAAGTACATATGTATAATCATGCTTCAAACAAACTATCTCATATAAGTTATTTGTTTTTTCAATGTGAAGACTTTTGTTATAAATCAAATTATCAAACACGATGTGAATAGAAAGAGCGACATTGACCCTTCATGTCTCTAAAACACAAGGTGGTGTTTTATGTCCTTCCAAATTAAGTTCGGTCTTCTCTAATTTTTTCAGTACTCCTTTGTTAATTTACATCATCATTACCACTTGCTGTTATTTCCCTACCAAGTACTAATCACTTTTCTTTTTATAAAACAAGACACTCCTTTATCAAACCAGAATTATTGAGTTATTTCAATACCATTACAATTTTACTTAACTAATAGCTTCAATCAATTAGTTGTCTTTTAATGACTGCGAGTTTATCATTCGTTTTCCATGATAGGGTCATTAGAATATTTATTAAAACCTTGGAGTTTATATGTACCAATCGACCACTAAATTTCACATGTCGAATCCATCATTTGTGTATAAATATATATCAACACATCCAATGTATCAAGAAGAAAAAAAACATACAAGATCTTTTAATGCTCCTCCTCAAAGAATCGTATCTAATCTTTCTTCAAACAAACTAATGAAAACTAATCTTCAGAATAATTAATCTAATCCATAACCCATCACACACTAATAATCATGCTTCATCCGACGCAAGAAGCCAAAAGTAAGAAGCAAGGTGGCAATCTCGTAATTGTCTCGAAACCTGAGGGCAGTGTGTTACTCCCTTTACTACATAAATCCCCGTCCCTCTAAAAAAACTCAAATCTTTCTTCCTCAGTTTATCTCCCTTTCTCACACTTTCTCGTCGAACTCTCTAACCGAAAAAAAAAATGGCGGGAGGTGTCGCAAAATGCAGCAAGATCCGGCACATTGTGAGGCTGAGGCAGATGCTGCGACAATGGCGGAACAAGGCGCGAATGTCGTCTGTCAGACGCAGTGTACCGTCTGATGTGCCATCAGGACACGTGGCGGTCTACGTTGGGAGCAGTTGCAGGAGATTCGTGGTGCGCGCGTCGCATCTGAACCATCCCGTCTTCACGAATCTTTTGGTCAAGGCCGAAGAGGAGTTCGGTTTTGCGAACCACGGTCCGTTGGTTATCCCATGTGAAGAATCAGTTTTCGAGGAATCGATTCGGTTGATAACCCGGTCAGGTCGGTTAACTTGTACCGACGATTTAAAGAAGAGCCGCCACGGTGGCATTAGGAGCAAGCTGGATCTATTGATCGAATCTCGTCCGTTGCTTCACGGTGTCTCCGAGAAGGCTATCATCTGGTGACCCAGCTGACCCGGTTTGAATCGGGTTCGGGTCTATGGTGGCGGATACACAGGAGATGGCCGTGAAAGGTGGATGAGTCGTTCCACCTTAGTCGTCCCATACACGCAAGAGAAAATTGTGGTTTAATTTTGGTATTGGCTGTAAAATTGATTCAGCATATTATTATTTTATTCATTATGATTTGATTTGGGTACTGGCTGTAAAATTTATTCAGCCATTTCCATTATTTATTTGTTTATTCATTGTTATTCTCCCATTTAAATCTTTTCGAAATGAATATTGTTGTCCAACAATGAACGCATAGATCAATAAATTTAAATTTTCGGATCAATATGGGTTTTTTTTATATTGGACTAAACGCAAGTCTAAGATCTTTGTTTATTAACAGCGTGGTCTTGTATACGGTGGGACCTTTAACCTCGTTGTTAAAGGTCCAACTAATCGTCTGATGATTTTAATTTTGTAAATGGCATTTGAATGTGAACAATGCAATTCTTTTCAACATGTTTACGTAGCATAATCAACTCGGTTTCTTTGATCAAGGTCAACTAACCAAGTCAATCAATCTTTAATACTAAATAAACTTCACGAACATGGTACAACGAGCTCAAAGATTATTTTTCACGAATGCTATCTAAACTTCTTGCTGATACATATGCATGTCTCTTCATCATTTATTCAGAAATTCTTCAACTACATTAGAGTTTCAGTGATCGGACTTTGGGTTTTACTCCTAATTGATCTGTCACATGTCTATTTACTAATAACTAAAATTGAGTATTTCCTTGCTTCAGGATCTAAGAGTTTGCCCCATGGAAATCAGGCCTAAGAAACCTCGTGTCTTCAAGAGTCATCTCATATAGCTAACAGAATACATTTTATCGCAAGCAACAATTTTGCAATGGAAATATACAGTTTTTATTTTGTTCATCCGTGGTTTGCTAAAGTAATTTAATTTCCTTTTCTTTTTTGGTGGGGCGAATTAAAGCTGCGGTAATTTTGCAAGATAAAGAGATTCAAAACGAATCAGGACAAATGAAAACTGAACCAAAGAGATATACTGGGCCGTGAAGGACTAGGCTGGCCCATAAAAAAAAAGCCGATGTCAACCATTCCTTGTAAAATTCTCGAGAAATTTAGACCGTAAGTTCGGTCAATCTGGAAATGTCTGCGTATCATTTAGCGCATAATCGGCGCTTATTTCACATTCTCTGCAACTTGTAGTGATAACAGATGACGAAAAAGTGGTTAGTATCGCAAATTCAGTAATTACGAGGCGAAAAAGAGAAGAGTATGGGGGGAGACAGTGGGACCCACTATTCACATGCTACGTTGGTTACTTTGTCGGAAAACATGAAATATTTCCCAAAAGGTGCCTCTCTCTTTTCCCTATCTTAAGCCCCCATCACCTCACACGCCACACCTCAATGATATAAGGAAAACAACGCCTACATTACCTTCGTTTCACTAATATTCATCCCTCAACTTTTAATTAAAATCCAATTGCACCCTTTCTCTATTCAACATGCATAATCCACCTATATTTCATTCATTTACACTCTTCTACATTCCCTCAATAATCCATCTCCCTACCCTATGTATGGAAACATTATATAATAAAGTATATCAAAGAAGGGACCACCAAATAGTAAATAAAAGGAGCAAAACCATAATCTTAGTATAAAAATCGAACTGGATCCAAAGCTCTAATCTGACTATTATCCAAAACCGCTGGAGTCAACATGTAACACCTAATCGTCTCAACTAATACAACAAGAATAATGTCATAATATATCATCAACCTTTACTTTACATATTGTACTCAGATTTCTTAAATCAGAATTATCAAATTTCCTTTTTCAATTTACTTGCGATAGATACAGTATACGAAAATTGATTTTATATAAATTTACGCCAATATTTTCTCTTCTCGTCCGTGATTTCAGAGCGGGGAAATAATAATGTAAAAAAATAAAAAACAAGAAACAAAAAAAATTTGACCGAAACAGTATCTTTCCTTTTTAGTTTTTTTTTTACCAAAAATAAAAACTAACGTCACTTAATCCACGCGTAAACCAGCAAGGAGAATCCAAGACCATTGCCGGAGCCGGAACCGGCAGATCCTCCACCGCCATACTCCGCCTCATCGGCACTACTAGCCCACTCCAAAACCGATGAGCTACAAGCCGATGAAGCTGAAGACATGGAGATCGACGACGACGACGAACTCCTCTTGCTCTTAACGAATCTCTTCCTCATCTTCCTCCATTCCACAATCCCTTTAATCCCCAAGCTGCTTCGACACTCTTTCGGCTTCCACAATACGACGCCGTTTCCGTTTCTCTCCTCTTCTTCTTTCCTCTTCGTCTCGCAAAGCTCCTCTGCTTCTGGGTCGCTCTCGAATCTGAACATAAACACGGCGTGTCCTCCGTCGCCGGAGCTTTTGCTCTGGAAAAGCCAATTGTAAACGTCCCAAGAGATCTGAACAGGAACTCCGTCGATTTCCACCTTCTCATTCCCCCTGAATTTCCATCTCAGCCGCTTAATCTGCAAAACCTGCTTCGAATCGACGTTGAAACAGAGCCTCGCGTCTTCGTCGACACGGCAATCGATCGAAATCTCTCTGCTCTTACCTCCAAATCTCGCCTTGGTGGAGAAAACCCTAGCTCCGAACACGTGCTCTTTCCTCAGCAGCAGAGCTTGTGGATTCGTCGGCGGTTTCGCCTCTTTAGCGCGAGCGTATGCTTCTTTGACTGAATCTCCGACTAAGAGTCCCATCTCTCCGTCGACGACCACGGCGATGTAAAATCCGGATCTAGGCTCGGATCCGGAGTCGAATTTGGCGCGGGTCAAGTCCCAGAAGACTTGGATATTGGGGGTGACGAATCTGGATCCGCGTTTTCTCCAGAAAGCCAATGTGTTTAAGTTGAGGTGGAAGGAGACGGCGGAGGAGAGAGAGAGATCGGCGGAGGAGAAAGAGAGAGGGGAAGAGTGGTTGTAGTAATCTTGAGAGTGGAGGAAGAGATTCAGAGAGTGGCCGCCTAAGAAAGTTCGAGACCATGTGAGATAGAAGACGCCGTGATCTGTTTGGTAGAGACAGGTTGTGAGATTCGGGTCGCCTGAGACTAAAGGAGAAGATGGTGATTGCGACGGCGGCGGAGGATGATTGTGATCGGAGGAAGGGCGGAGCCAAGCGGAGATTTGGCGAGAAGGAGACATTTGTGTTTCCGTTTTTTTTTTTTTGTTAAATGCCTTTCTTTTTTGGGGAAGAAGAAAGAAGAAAAAGAGGGGGAGAGAGAGATTTTTTCGGGAGTTGTGTTGGGAGGTTTTTCAATGGGTTTTTCTTTCTTTCCTTTTTTTTTTTTCTCAAGGGGGACTTTTTATATGAAAACTTTCTTAATTCAGTACGAAATTGGAATATGGTTATAATGATGTTTGGCTCGAAACATACGTAACAAAAATTGGATGTAGGCTGCCAAAACAAATACTTAATAATTGGATGAAGATAGATAGATAGAGACGTAAGATTAGAATTATGAAAAATGGATCTTCAAACTTGCAACTTGTAAATTTGGACATGAACTGACTTTTTCAACTTGACTTCTTAGAGGGATTATGAATTCAATATTACATATATTCATCCTCCTTGTTTTAATTTTTGTCGTGTGTAATACACGATTTTTGTTTTTCAGCATTCAAATTTTATCTACAGTTTTTTTGTTGATCAATCTAAAATTTGTTAAAATCCGGGGTAACCACTGTTAAACAAAATTTGGTTAACGAATCAGACCAAACTACTAATCAGCATGAAAATTTACTCCGATCGAATGGAAAATAAATGCAACATTAAAAGTTTTGGAAGAATAATGTTATTCTATCACCAAAAAAAAAAAGAACAGTGGAACATTTACAGATGTAGTATATTCCTTTGTCTTTTACGAGCTATTGGAGTTAACAGTAAAAAAAGCGTGTGTTGTGTGTAGACTGTAAATATTAGGAACATGGTATGATAACTGCCTGCACACTTGACACTTCATTGGAGAACATAATCAATACGGAGTCCATAATTTCACATTATAAAGCCAAAAAGTGATTTAAACTTAAAAAAAATAGTAAAATACCCATTTCTAGTTTAAGTTTAAAGATATCTACACTTCCAATAATGCTCATTGTGTCTCAGTGTCTGTGTTCGTTATTAATTGGATATACTTACATCTAAGTATGCTTCAACTCCTAAATGTAAGTATATCCAATTATTGTGTTATATTCAGTACTGCTAATTTTGGAAGGTTATTTACGATGCATCCCTTCTGCTGCAGGAAGAATTAAAATAAGTTGTTCGGTCGAATAAATATACTATCGCTACTGAAACATCGTTTTCAGTATATTTCATTATTTTCGTTTTCAGTTTATTTAATTATTTTTATTTGAAGTCGTATTTTATTGATTCCTAGAGTTATTCGGATACGTTGGCAGACAGCTAAAAAGAGGTGGATAAGTACTTATTGAGTCATAGAAAAAGGCATATCCATCCGTTTATTGTTAATTTGATATTTGGTTAGATCTGTATGTCAGTATATCTTATACAATCAAATAAAATGGGTTTCGAAACTTTATCTTCAAGAAATTAAAACTGTAAGACAGCTAAACCTCTTTTACATAAGTATATAATTAGCCACATGTATAACAACCCATTATAAGCTATAGTTTTAACATTATTTGACTTCTTTCGCCGTGAAATGAACACAAGAAAACTATTTAGAAAATTTTCTAAAAGAGCATTTGAATAAATAAAAAAATCTTTGTCCATTTGGCAAGTAGACGATTGTAAACTATACATTTTCACACAATGAAATCGCTATGTTTCAACTTATATTCATTTATTTTAATCATTTACTTATTTGAATTGTTTGTTTCATCTTTCAACCACTTCAAACCATCTAAAAAAGTACTACAATCAAATCCTATGTTTATTTATTTAGAGAAATTAAGAAGAAGAA